AACTGCTGCATGTTTAAATCAGAGTAGTTTAATATAAAATGGTTCACTGTGGAAAAACTTACCAAATCTGATTTCTTTTCAGTGGTATTGATAGGAAGCAGGTCTACAAAGCAAATATAGCCATTTCATTTACTATCCAAAATGACTATTAAGCCTACATGTGTCTTCTGCGTTTTTATGTATGGACCATTGTACCAAATCAGCTCAAACTACAGTCCAACAGTAAGTACGTAAGTAAGTAAGTAAATAAATAAATAAATAAATAAATAAACAAACAGTATTCAGATCTTAGATATTTACAAGCATTATGTTGTGATCTATTTACAGTCATTGCATTGATAAACTAAATATATGCAAAATCATTATTAATATGGTACTTTCTAGTGGAAGGTGTTTTTCACAAACCTATAACCTCTAAATAATTTTAAATACTTTGTTTTGTTTTTGTTTTTTTAGATTTTGTTGATTTCTTTTAAAGTGAAATTGAAAGATTTCGATTTTTCATCAGTTAAATTTTTAAATAAAAACTCACTATTAAAAAAAAAGCTGTACATTGTTTTCATTGTCATTACCAAAACACAAAGAATTTTGGTTCATAAGTGGAGTCTTATTTAAGCCACACCATTGCATTTTAAAACAGGAAGTGAGACTGCATCCCTGTGCTTCATGGCCACATGGTGAGCAGTTAGAGCCTACTGTTTTAATGTGTCCCAAAGTCTGAAAGTCAGTGTGTAACCTTAGAAATTGACACTAAGAAAAACGCACATTTCTGTGATTAACTAAATAACTGCTAGTAAGCATGTGTTTTGATATATACTTGCTAAATATTTGTTTATGTATTGCCTATGTAGCATACAGCATGAAATATTTCATTATTTAGACTACTGATAATGTGTTACGGTTTCAGTATTCTGAAATTCACTTAAAGTACTACGCAGACTAAAGCCTCCAAACACAAAGTATATCAAATCTAACCATATTTCATATGTCCACTCTTTAGTGCAACCTACTGCACATTTAACTCTCATCATTCAGTGAGTTACAGCTGTGTCCTCCCAACAAAAGATGTTTCCAAAGGAGTTACTGACATTATGTTCCCCTTCAAAGAGACAATAACATTCACATAAACAAACCCTTCATGTATTTAATTTTTAATTTAATTTAAGTTATACATTTTTCAGGAAATATTTCTGAGGATATTAGATATAAGATAATACACTTGCATAAAGAAGACAAAAGTCAAAGGAAAACAAGAAAAAAAACAGGAGATGTAGAGAAAATGGGTCTCTAAACAACCGTGCAAGACCTAGTAGACCACCAACATTGTCGCCATCAAATAGGCAGAGAAAATCAAGCTCCACTCTTGCTCCAGATCTGAAAAAAAATCCACAGCTGTTTCTGTCCATCCTTCCACTGCGAGAAGACAACTCAATGCTAGGGATCTGAAAGGATGTGTAGCTGTTGTAGCTGTCAAGTGGCCATTACTGAGAAAAGAAAAACATTTGCTTATCAAACAACAAGCTGCTGGTGCTTTCAGAATAATAAACTGGCCACCAGACCTTAACATCACTGACACCGAAACAGGAGTAACTTGTACTTAATGGCCGTTTTGCCTGGAAATTAAATAAACACACACACACACACACACACACACACACACACACATATATATATGTATATCATTTTTTTTTTTTTCATCAGTAACTGTTTACTATGCAATTTCCTTGAGGCTGTCTGACAGGTAACAAGGCTTCTTTATACAGGCAGCAGAGGTCAGCAGAGGAAATCTGGACTGAGTGTCCCTACTCACATCCCAATCCCCCTTTTATCAGTCCATGACTACTTTCTCTCTTCCTGTGCAGAGCTCAGTTGCTCAGTTGGGGCGCTGAAGTTAAACAGAGGTTTTCCAGCTCTGAGCAAAATATCTGTTTAACTCATCTGTTAAATTTAGAGTCAGACATTTATTCACAAGCTGTTATCTGTACAGTGTCTCACTTCCACAATGTCTTTTTCTCTGTTTTTGAACATATAAGCCACTGCTGAACAGCACATTTCACTGTATATCATTCATTAATAAAGCCCTTATAAATGTCAGTACCATTAAATATGCAGTAATGTGTTCTTCATAGACAGCTTGTGCAGCAGGGTTTGGGGGGGGTTGTTCAGTAGTGAATAGGCTGGTCTGTGTGCTCTGAAGGCTGGAAGCAGTGAGGCAGCGGAGAGAGGGAGTGTATGAAAGAGCCGTTCAGCAGCAGTGTGAGTCTCAGTGTGGTCGGAGCAGTCCAGAGAGGGTGCGGCACATCCTGCGTGTGCAGGACACACACATGAGGAGCCTTGTTTCCAGCTACCCAGCCTGCGTGCACAACGTGGCCTTATAAGAGCCGGCAGTGAAGTATGCTTATAAGCAATAGCAAAGTCAGTGAATTAAAGAAAACAAGTGTGGAAAGGAAAATCAGACTACTGTAGATGTTTGACTTCACTGGACTCTCCATTTCCATGTTGCATCTGTTCCTGTATGATGAGTTGTGGATAATACTGAGTGATTCATGTTCCATTGCTTTATGGAGAGCACAGTTACAGCTGTATTGAAAACAGCTAGCATCTCTTTTTATGACTTTTTATGACATTTTATGACTTCAGGGTTAAATGAGGGTGAAGGTAAGAAAAAGCCCTCTATAAGAAATATGCACTATAAATATTTTGCTATATATATATATTATACTTGTGTCATACTTGGAGAACACATTGATCACACATACAGGTGTGTTAAATGCAACTCAAACCTGTATTTATAATGCATTAATATCTGAGTGTTAAATATATTTACCAGATAATAACATTAGAATGTGTCAGACCAAGAAACAAACATGTCAAACAGAAGATGATGAGACAACAAATATTGAAATAGACAGATATCTCCAGAGTGAGCCTGACAGTGACAACCCACCAGGCAAAACTTTAAGTTAGATCTCTGTTAATCCAAAGTCATTAGTCAACAGTGTGAAATCAATCCTAAACATTAAACTCTTGCTCAGTGCCCCGGCTACAAAAAATGCAGAGCATGTGGAGTGTGCTTAGTTATTTATTTGTTTGTTTATTAATTTAAACCTGTTTGGATGGACACACATTACATCTACTTGCATAAAATCAGATTTTGTCTGAATTTGTTAACTGTACCAACTGCGATAGCTAATGTAATGCTATGGTGACCATGGTGGTCTCTGCTGCTCAGCTCTTCTGCTTGGTGAAACAGATGTTCCACTGACTGTACTTTGCAAATATCCCTCTCATGAAATAAGGTCTTGATTAAAGTAAGTTAAATAAGCTAATGTTACACTGAGTGTGTATCACTGCAGTAGCTAAACAGTTCCTAATATAAGCTAGATTGGATGATGTCAGGGCACATCAGTTTGGCAGAGGAGACCACGACAGTTGCCAGAACAACCATGTTTAATAATTATTAATGCCAAGTTTTAATAAGTATGTCTTTTTTTAAAAGCAGCACCTGTTTTCTTTTTTTGTTTGGTATTGAAGCGTGCTTGTTAAACATACGTTAAAATATAAGAATCTGGATTTGTATGCAGAAAACTGAAATTTCAGCTTACTGTCAAGCAGTACCTGTAACATTTTACACATCATAAATCCACAATCAGTTATTTTTTCCCTTTTTTAATAAGAGCCCTCATTTTACCATTTAAGCTAGTCACTGTCTGATGAAGATTTTTGTGAGGAGGTGAATCTGACTCCAGCATCTTAAGCTATAAAATCTATGAAGCTATCATATCTTTTTGCATGAGTTTACTCTGCCTGATGTCAAGAACAGTTCTTTATCAGAATCTCCTCAGATTTTCTTATTTAACCTTTTCAACTCCTTGGGACCACCGGTGGTTCCTAAACGCACTTCGTCATATTCTTCATAACTTTCATATTTCATAAGCTTCATTCAAAAGGTGGGTGTCATATGAGAGCTGTAACTGTCTTCATTCCAGTCAAATAGATGGGTAATGTAATTTTAAACCCTTAAAACAAAAGAAGCTGAACTCAGTTTTTTTTCCACAAATCTGGGCTATAAACTATAAACAGATGTTGTCTCTTCAGTGATATACTCTGTAAGAACTATTTTTATAAAATAATACAAAGACCGTCTAAGATTTTTGGCTTTCAGCAGTAAATTGTAAGCATATAGCAATGTGTATGATCATAAAACACATTTTCTGTTAATTTGAGGGGAGCTTTTACAAAAAATAAATAATTAAATAAAATAAAAATTTACATTTATTTCATGCAGTTACTGAATAATATGCCTTACGATTTGGTCGTATGGATTCAGATGGAAAAAACAAAATATACCCTGGTGAATAGCTTAATCCTTGAGTTACCCCTTTGCAGAAGTAGAACACAGACACTCAATTTTTGGTGCAAAATAAAATGATCCCTTTTAATAGCATTCACTTCAATTAACTGATTAAATATCCATTTAAAACATTGTACCAAATGTACAGAAACAACTAAAGGCACGAAAAACATTACAGTCCATTAGTTTGCATGTGCAGAAGTCTGTTTCATTCTTTGGCTTTTTTTCTTTCTTTTTTCTTTTTTATTTTTGGAAAATAATGCCTTCATTGTGTTCACTGAACACTGTACACTTTCAGAGTCCTTCATGCTTCAACAAAATGCTGCCTTTCCCAGAGTAACAAATGCCTAGGTCATGTATACTGTTAAAAATGTATACTGTTTTAAAAGCAGTGACTTCTGATAACATTTTGCCAATAGTAACAACATACAGCTCAGTAAAACAAAAATATGAACACTTCAAGTTTAGTCAAGCAGTTCTTTGTCAAGAACCTTCACTGACATTGACTAAATGCCTACGGTCACAGTTTAGAGTTGAAAGACTAACAGCAAGAACTTCATATGCTACACACTTTTACACACACACACACACACACAGACACACTGGAACAATTATGAACCCTTTTTAAATACAAGCAGCAAATACACTGAAATAATCATTCATTATCTCAATTAGACAAACTCAGCTGAAAGCACTTTGTCTGATTAAAGCTAAACCACAAAATGAGAGCTGAAGGCACCACAGTAACACCTGCGTTCCAGTGTGCTACATATCTGCTTGTGTCAGTCTTGGTTTTTAGTACCTCAAACAACATGCAAAACAGGAAACAATTTATGATAAATTAAATTGTTTTTCTTCAAGCAAGCTAACAGACTTATTAACCAGTGTCTGTTCACTATCAGCAAACTTATATCCAAACAGTTCCATAGTTGGTCCACAAACGTCTTGAACAACTTGTACCAAGTTGAAGGGTATACTGAAGCGCCACTTTTCCACCTGTTCAGAAGAGTTCTTCTGCGTAGAGTATACTCCACTGGTAACCTCAGAAGCATGCGTGTTCTTAAGGATCCAATCCTTGGCCTGCGATGTGAAGGGAATCCCAGTAAACCTGTACATCTCGGCTGCTTTCTGCATGGGATACCTGGCAATGTCCTCATAGCGCACTAGCATGTAGCGGTTCTCTAGCCAGTCTGGCCGGCTCAGGCCCAGCTCGGCAGACATGCGGATTTGATGGCAGTTTCCTTGGAGTCGTTTCACCTCTTCATCTTCTATGGGCACCTCTCCATTCACCGCCCAGCTCTTCCAAGTTTGGTACTTACTAGAGAAGGCAACCATCCTAGAGGCCAGAATGGCACGCGGGTCTCTCACCAACTGTATGACCTTGATGTCCAGTCTGGGGTCCTCTACTAGTAAGCGAAGTGTCTCCAGCTGCCGGACCCTTACTGATTTGATAGCTCTGTATTTCTTACTAAGGCAGGCCACAGTTGCTAGGGTCAGGTTGAGGGGTCCACACCGACGTGTCTTGCAGCGATATCTCTCAAACACATCCTTTACCACTGGTGTGCAGACTTGCTCCTCACACAGAGCCATGCTGGACTCTCTGCGGAACAGAGCTGGGGTGACATGCTCCTGAGGAGGTGGGCTGATGAAGCGCTCCAGTAAGGAGAAATCACACAAAAAGAGGCTCAGCAGCACATCCCTGTAGGCCAAAGATGAAACCGTGGCATTAGGGATGTCCATGTCCTGTGATAGCATCCTCTCAACATGCCACAGTGGCTCGAAGAGGTAGAACATGTTGGACCCCAACTGGTTGAAGAACTCGCCTACGAAGGAAGATCCAGTACGTGTGGCCGCCAACAAGAGGATGTGTTTATGACCACCCTGATCGGCCTCTAAAAGCCGTGTGGCATTCTCTTCACTCATTTCACCATCATAGTCCATGACAACAGGTGCACTGGAGCCATTGTAGAATGACGGAGGCCCTGCAGTCTGTGCTGTCTGCTTGAGTGTGAGCTTCTCAGAGACCCTGTAAGAGAAAAAAAAATAAAAGAATACTGCAGGATTTTTCAACCCAGTCTGCACCTGCTGCATCTGTATTGCACTGTCAGTTACCATTGACAATAATTTTTATGACCTTCTCTGTACTTAGAAAGGAACTGAAAACCCACTGACTTGAATCTAAGCTTGGACAATAATGTAAATTTACAGTTATTGTCTGCAGAGTAATCATTGTGGTAATTGATGGAACGATATAGAGGTTGCAGATAGAGATTAGGTTAGAAAGTGAGTATTTCTTTAAAAGACTGTCAAATATTTGCAAAGCCACATCTGAGTATTTGATAAGGGACCATTTCCAGTCCATTTACAGTTGCACTCCACTTGAATTCTAAACAACATTGTCACTACATTGCCATCAAAATAGTCTAAAAGGGAGTGGATCGAATAACTCACCTTGATATGATATTGTTTTCCTTTTCAATGATGACGAGTGCCACAATGCAGATGACAAGGATAGCATATTTATTCCTCATTCTTTAACTGGATTGTGTTGAAGACGGTGGAGTGTAAATCCCTCCAGAGTCTTTAGGAACAGCCGTTTACTGTTGCCACACCTAAGATGCTGACTTGAACAGCATTTGGGTTCATCTCAGGTCAGGACATGACACAGAGTTGACCTGCAGTAAAGAAAAGTACTTTTTTACTTAGTGTTTGTGCAGTTTAACTTTGTACAGAATACACCCAAAAGAAAATGCTTAAAATCAACTAGACTGCTGGTTACGTGCAGCGAAGCAGACTACTGACAGTGGAGAATTCATGACCACTTAGCACAGCAAAGAGAGCCAGCACACTCAGACAACCTCAGCTTTGTTCCTCTATACCAAATAAACAGCAACTTCTGTCATCACCTCCCCACTCATCTCAGTGAGGAGCTGAAATGCCTTCAGTGGCACACTGTCTCATTCTTGTTTAAGAGCTGCTACTGAGTATATTAGCCAAAAAACGCAAATGTAGCATTTTCTACAAGCTGTTGTCTTGAAGAAAACCGAGCATTAGACTGTGGCCCATGAGAGCAGCAGTTAAGTAATACACTCTGATGCCCCTTCTATTCTGTGTGTATAAGAATGTATTGAATATTTTGATGGACATTATTTTGTTAAATGTAAAGATTATGTACTTGATGTGTATAAGATTCCATGTTATCTGCCAGAATACACCAGGAAAGGTGTCGTTTTTGAAAAACAAAGGCCTCTAAATGAGCTCATGATTTTCTATATTAAGCTCCCTCTTCAGATAGCTGTCACTGAAGGCATTTGTTTAGTACTGTTGATAAAGTTTGTCCAGGCTAACACATTGGTGACTCTTTCAGTGAAGGTTCAAACCCTCACATTCCACAGTGTTTATTTGCTCCTCAAATGCCTGGTGTGGGGGATGGGTTTTGAGGTGAACTTCCAGTATGTACCTCAGTTTCAAAAAGGCATAATTTTTTAAGGGTATTTAAGATGTTTATGTTTATGTATATACTCTGTTAATCAATAGAGTATCACTTGAAAAGCTTGTTTGTCTTAATAAACTTTAATACATACATATATACATACATAGACACTACCCATTTGTAAAATAGATAGTACTGATGCATTAAATATCCAGTGATTTTTGTTCTGTGACAAATATGAAATACTTAAATATGAATGAACAAAATAATCAATCCATTGTTTAGGCTAAAAGTTTGCTTTATAAACAATGTGAATCCCGTATTCTTAAAGAAACAGGTCCCTTCATATGTGTGAATAAAAACAAAAATCAGGCTACTTTCAATACAAATTCAGTGTTAAAATCTATAAATGATTTAAAAATCAGCCTCACACCTTAGGCAGGCAGCACAGATACAGCAGCAGTACATGAATTACCCATTATTGAACTGGAATTAAAGGGCTGATGTAAATCTGATCTAACTCAGCATCTGATATTTCTCCTGACAACTTGGTAGGGCTCAGAATATCGATAAAATATATTGTGATTGCAAGCTGGAAGATGCCTTGTGAAATATTAAAACGCAACTGTAAATACTTGATATAACATGGTTAACAACTGTGCTGCATTATTTTGACATGCAGTATGAGTACTGCACATGCCAATACTGTGATAACAGTTAACAATTATATATTGTGCAGCCGTATAACAAAAGTTAGTTAGCTGAAGCACATAAGCAACAATTATCTTCCTAATTCCCGCACCATTACCAAGATCCTCCTCTGCAAAAAGGGAAAAAATTTCTAACCAATGTCTCAGTCTTTCAGGGATGCCGCCTGCAATATTATAATAGCTGAAACTGTATAAATGTGGCACACTGTCAAATATATTTTTCTAACTGTTTCAGAGTCAAACCAACAGTCAATGACATGAAATGTACATTAAGTGACATAAAATGTAGGCAGAATCTTTCCACTATTTGGGTCCATCAAGTAAGTAAATTATCTGCACAAAGCGTATCATTTAGGAAAAGACACAATTTTCAGGCCGTCAGTGAATGATAGTTTGCACTGTAAGTAAATATAAACCAATTATGTGAGCTTATTATGCCATAGCCATCAAACTGTCAGCAGCGGCGGCTGAGCTGAGATCTTTACATATTCAAAACCCACTGAAGCGTTTGACAAATCTGATGATCTGCTGAAGCAGAAACGGACATCACTCTGTTTATCATCCCCATACAAATTACATTAATGGCTGCTCTCACAGTCTGAAAGTGGCATCACGTGTAGCAGGCGAGACAGAGAAACATGGCAATTCAGTTATTTACATAAACATACTTCATTATAACTGGATTAAAAAATCTGACAATAAACGTATGCTATGAAAATTTTAACATTTTTAAACTGCCTGTGTTTAGTTTGTTAGCACATAGTTCCTCATATTTTTATTGAGTGATACAGGCAAAATGGTTAAGAGGTCAATAAGTTTGTTCATTCACAGTAGACATAGCACATAGTGTAACCACACGAACATCCCTTGGTGGGGCAGTTTTGTTTGTTCCACTGAAATAATTTAGTGCTATTTTGTGTCAAGGAACATGACACACAAGGTGGAAGCTGGAATCAGTATCAGAGGTGTAAGCTGTGTGAGTCTAGGGAGCATGTTTCAGCCCTGTGTTTTTGTCTTGTTTCATTACTGAGCGCTTTGCGGTTCAGCAGTGCGTGATGGCGCCTCCTGGGAGACAGGCACTGTTTAGAGGGAGTTCTCTTGCGAGATAAATCCACTATCACTAGTGACAGGCTCGCTGGTGCCGACTGGGTCCACAGGGTGCAGCTGTGGAAGGGAAGGGCTGTGGTGGAGGCAGGATAAAGGGATGGCAGGCACACGGGACAAGTACATGTACATAGACTGATTTTTATTCTTTTAATGGCTAGTATGGGGCATTTTTAACTGATTGAGCTGTTGTTGGCTCTTTGAATATCAATTCAGCCAGTATCTCACTAAGTAAACCACGCATTAAAGGATGTGTATACAGTATTGATACTGTGTACTGTTTCTTGATATGGTGAAACAATGGATGTTTCTGCACAATATATTCTTAATCTTTATTGCCGAATCAGCCTATGCAATACAGATATCGTAGTGTTCAATATACAGATTAGCCTTTAACCAATCAATGAATGCTTTATTGTGTGCTGCAAGCATCTTAGCCAATCATAGATGTTCTTCGATTATTTGGATACATCAAGGCATTCACATTTACATTATTCAACAATTAAAATTGGTCAAAATCATGCAGGCCAGTCTTTAACCATTTCACATCAAGGTTTTGCTAATGTGTTTTAAGTATATTGGTAGATATATTGCAATCACAATATTTAGCAATATAATTTCAACACAGTAGCCCTAACCAGACTACTGAACTCCTGTTTCGTTTTATTATCCCCTTTAAACGCAACCATCTTTGGCTAAAGTGATTAAAAAAACCCATTTGGAAATAGTCTAATTTCTGACTCATTTTTGACTTTCAATTATTGCTATATTCATCACAAAACCCCAAAATATCACAGTGTGACTTGTCATTCAGCCCTTGTTGGAGGAATTAACAATTAGTTAACTAAACACTACAGGGTGCCAATTATACCGATTTTGTAGTGAAATTTATCATTATTTCCAATACTTACAATGTAATGACATGCAACATGCATACACATCCAAAAGTCAAAAATAACAATAATAAAAAAAAAATCATAACTAAAGCCATAAATACTGGCCTTAAATATCATCTTCTTCTGACCACTGTTACTCTGCAATTACCTTTATAAAGCCCTGCACACATACAGGCTAACGAACCTTGAAAATCTTTAAAACTCTCCTGACACCAAAACCTGCACCACCTGGCATCCATCTGTCTATGACAGTAGATAAAATTACAGATCATCCCTTATGTTAAAGGGGATTTCGTAATTTCTGCATAAATCAGTGGTGGAGTTATAAAAAGTCATTCAGAGTGTTTAGATGTGAAAAGATGCAACCTCCCAACTCAGATTTCTTTATAATGGTGGTAACAGGGTCACAGTGTCCATGACGGCTTTTGGATAGACCTTTCCAAATTCCCAAGTAATGTTGATAATGGTAAATAAAGGTAAGTAAGTAAATAATATAATATAATATAATATAATGTAATATAATATTTGAGTACTATTTGGCCTATGCCAAAAACATCATCATCAACATCATACCGTCTCTATGGAATCGGATAACGTAACCATTTCGTGTAATGGCTTTCTCTGAGGTAGCTTTTACTGTCATTAAACCCTCCAGACATCTGGTTCCTATAACCACCGCTGTGAACAATTGTGACTCGGTCAGTTTCTCTAGAATGGAGCATTTCACATCTAACCACTCTGAATGACTCTGTTTACATCGTAATGATTTAATTATGCAGACATTTTGAAAAAATTGGTGGAATTTCCCTTTAACGCCACAACCGCCTTTCATGCAAGGGCCAGTCCGAGCAATAAGGCTATCACGGCTTCCATAGTTTGGAGTTGCTAATTACACAGATGGAAAATGAGCAGTAGCCTAAATGAGATTACAGAGTTAAAACATTCACACAGTTTTTAGTCCATCAGACACTAGCTCAGACTATCATCTGGTGTATATGAGAAGAGCTTGTGAGGGAAGCAAATTGGAGTTAGCCATGGCTCTATAGAGGCGTTAAAATAGGTTAGTGTGTTAAATCTCACAAGTAGTAACATGAGGGAACATCGTTATGGCTATCCGTTGTCGAGCCACAAACACAGACATTACATCAAGGCACACATTCCAGAAACTGTGTTATTAAGCATGACTCACTAAAGCCTCGGTCAGTCAAGAAGTCTGGTTCCACTCTGAAGCAACTTTTTGAAGATTAAACCGCTGAATAATAGCGGGTTGTCGTGTTTATGCCGACAGTGCTGAGGCCATATCTACCTTTCTCTCGCTTTACGCGCTTTCGCGTGGCTGCAGTCGCGCGCCCGGCAGCATCTGGCTCGCGCTCCACACGCCGCTGCTTCGACTTTAAAAACTCCAAACGAGCGGCATCGGTACAGTCAGGAGAAAGAGCACAACTCGACCGTAACTTCAGAAAACGATTTTATCCGTGCACGCGTCTTCAGTCAGATGAACTGATTAGAAGTTTTGCCCAAATGAGCTCTAAATGAAGGTTTATGAGGTAAAGAATGGAAAAGACTTAAGACTGTGCTTCCAAACAACATAGAAACAACCCAACGCTTCATGTAGCCTCCTGCTAACTGTAGCCTATGTGGAAACACACCGGCCTATATCTCTCTGTGAACCCCAACCTCCCCCGCGCGACTCCTTCCCACCGCTTCAAAGGTTTTTTTTGTTTTTTTTTTGGTGGGCTCAAAGTTTGGGAAACCCCTGGAAACGCCGTCACGTGGTCCAAGCCTCCTGTGGTAGTGCTCACAAGCATACTTTTGTTTCAGGAGCCCCTCACGACTCTCTTCACATTGATTAGTCTGATTCCAGAGGGAAAGGAGCGAAAGCTGGCATTCTTAAGGATGTATGGTTTACATCCATCCAGGTGTATGACGAGATAAACAATGGACCAAAATGGAACAAAATCAGAGAGTTTTATGAAGGCAGGTCCAGCATCCCAGCAGCTGAGGGACTTTGTTTTGCTTATTTGTTTTCTAGGTCCATTCTCAGTCTTGGTCCTGAAGTAGCCCTGCTCTTCACAGGTTAGTATTACTAGTAACTCTGCTCCAGCACACCTAACTCAAGTCAGGAAAGGGCTTCTGAATTAGCTGGGGAGTTGAATCAGATGAACAATATCAGAGGAACAGTACCCACTTAAACAAGATGGTTCTTTAAAGGTTCTTTAATAAAGGGAATAGTTTCATTTAGAGTTCAATATAGAACCATTTCATGCTTAAATGGTTTTTGCATGGTGAGTAAAAACTGTGCCGTAGACCTTCCTAGATAGACAGCTTTAAAAAACACTTAAAAACAGTACAGTGGGCTACCAGAGAGGACCACTTGAGGGCACTAAGGGACAGCGATACAGACTCACACACCAGTTTTAGAGTGAGGTTACATATTTAGAGCACTGGCATACTGTAATATAGACAGCATAGATTTATTTATTTTTTTTTAATCCAGGACTTCAGTCCAGCACGTCATGCCGAATGTTTAGTAAAAGTAACAGTAATAAGAGAAGTTAACTCATTATGGAATCAGGTTCTATTTGACATGATCTATTATGGCACTGTATTGTGTTTATATTTGATTAAATGTTTGTCTTTTCTCCAAATGACATAGCACACCATAAAACTAACAGAAAACAATGGACTGTTGTGTATGTAAATGAGAGAAAAAGAAAGTCTCAGCATTTTTGGAGAAAGTGAACTAAAGAACCATTGCTGCAAGAAAAGCAACAGTGCAAGGTTAATGCAAAATGATGTTTTTTTTTTGGTTATTTTCTTTATAACATCCTTTAAAATAAAGATGATCTGTAATAAAAAAAACAGAATTGCACAAATGCCTCTGTTTTGAGATTATAATAATGAAATAAGCTTAATATATGGTTATTTATGTATTTATTTATTTATTTGTTTATTGTTTCTTACTATAGTTCGGAAAAGGGTCCAAATGAAATCAAAACATGTAGTTCTGTTCCATCTTTTAAGGAAAAATGCACTGCTTGAACCCAAATTTATATGTGGATAGATTTTAAATATAATTTCAATAAATAAGTAAAACTACATCACTGATAATCATGTGGTGTTTCAGACTCATGAAATGCACAAGTACTTACACTGTATATCCTCAAAATGTGATCTTATTAAGAAATGTCTGGATTTCCCAGAGCAACATGGGAAATATTGCCATGAGACAGATTTTATTAATATCTCTGAAGTAAATATTGAGTTTCTTTGGCACATTATTCTTATGTTTGTTATTTTGATTTCTACATTTCATAAGTGTTGTCCACAGCCTTAGCCAGAGTCTTGTTCTTAATCCCTTCTTTTATGATCTTTCAAAATTCAAACTGTAACTTGTGTAAGATATCTTGCAACTGAACATTCTTTATTTAAACAAGGAAATATGTGATGCCAGTCTTTAAGGAGAAGCTGATATATTACCTTAAATACCAGATGATGTTTTTCTTTTTTTTCACTTAGCAAGGCATGGATTTAGTATGTAAAATCAAAATATGGAATAAAAGTATGAAAGAGGAGATCCTTGTCTAGTATTCAATTAGTATTGCACATGTTATTCTAGTGATGCGAAACAAAATAGGTAAAACCAGCCTTTCTGTGGTCACTTGAAGACCGCTGGGCATATACAGAAATAAGATGATTTGGCGAAATGTGGAGCAATTTATTACATCTAAGATATCAGATTTGTAGAAGTGACTTAATACTACTACTATCTCTACTATTACCACTACTACTACTACTACTACTACTAATAATAATAATAATAATAATACTGACTTACACAGAAACTATGAGAATATTTCTGGTAAGTGGCAGACCTCTGTGTCATTGATAGTAATGTGTTGTATATAATCATCACTGCTCAAAAGACTGACACAAATTTCCTTCACATTTTTCCATAGTAGATTATATTCAGCTATAAGTTATACATGTAACATCACAAAGAGCCATCAAATATGATTTTGATTCAGTTGTATTTCATCATATTGTCCAGTTACATTGTTTAGTAAAAGTGTAGAAGCTGAATACACAAACCTCAGTATAGATAATTTGATCATCTGTAAAACTGTGAATCTCACTAGTATAACTAAAGTGGGGAATATGCTTTGAATTCAGCTTGTCAGTCTTGTCCTTGATGTAAATGGCGAGTTGTCTCTGGTTTATTTGTCCCAGTAGACTGGCCCTGAGTACTGCGAGATGATGAAGGATTACACTGGGTTAATCTGCTTGCCTGCCATCTGCCTGCTCCACGCAAATTAAACCTGAAAGCAGAGCTACAGTCACAAATGTTGATTGAGGTAAATTGGCAGGTGTGCCTTTTTTCATTTACATAGTTGCTTTTTTATAAATCCATTAAAAAAAAAGACATACCTTAAAGTTCTGAAATTAATGCTGTTTGTAAATAAAATATATATATATTGTTAAACATGTATGCAATTTGTTTATTTAAACCATACCTTTTTAGTATCATTATTCTTTATAATTTAGCCTGGTTGTCTGTAAGGTGTGACCCTCAACAAAATATCTGTAACTTGGTCTGTCGTTACAAAAATGATTTAAAAATAAAAATTTGTCATTAGTCATGGAAAAACAATTCCATCCCACAACTATACAAAAAAGAAATGTGTCAAAACATGGTGCATTTTTAATGACATACCCCCCCCCAAGATTTGGTGGAACAAACAAACAGTGACCACAAAAACAGCCATAGAATTGTAATACAGTCAAAAGAGGGAGGCTAGTTACAATGCAAAAAGAAGAAAAATGTATTCTCTTTTTATGTAACACTGAACACATATGTAAGGCTTTAATAGGCCATGGAACATCAAGTCATAGTCAGGGATATTGAATGGGACCTTAGACATTAACGTCCCCTCAGACCATCTTCGTCCTCACTTCATTTATGCAAACCAGAAGCAGTCAATCTGTTAAAACCAAAAGACTGTTTTTGCAGTAAAATGTGATAATAAACCATAGTTAGGTTCTGATATGTTTATTTAAAGTGTACATTCTAAATTGCCTCATGAATTGTTTTCATTTGTCGCATATTTTGGGTCGGCTATCGCTATATGAATATCTTTAGCTCAGTAAAATTAGATGCCTACACACTTAAAAAAAAGATGGTTCCTCAACAGTTCTTCAGTAAAGAAAATAGTTTTATATAGGACCATGAACACTCAAAGAACACTTTCCATGATTAAAGAGTTCTTTGCATCCTGAAATGGTTCTTCTGATTGATAAAGAATGTGCTGTAAATCGTTCCATATAGAACCCTTTTTAAAATGGGTTCTATATAGCACCAAAAAGGTTCTTCTATTGTTACAAGCTTGACATTGTAACAAAAGAAGAACCTTTTTTTGGCACTAAATAGAACGTTTTTAGAACAGTTTCACGAAGAACTATCTACAGCACATTCTCCATCAGTCTAATGAACCCTTTCACAATGCAAAGAACCCTTTAATCATGCAAAATAACCCTTGAAGAACCATCTTTTTTAAGAGTGTAGTTAACAAAAATGTGGAGTGAAATTGTGTTTTGTTTTTTCTAGCTTACTGTATGAGTAAGATATGTTTACAGTGAGATGTAATGTAGACTCTGACTTTCAATCATCATCCACCATCTGCTTTATCACTTCCTTTATGTGTAACAGAGGCAAATCTGTTATCAAAAGATCAGATGACTTATTTTTCTCTGAAATATGATAATAAACCTGTTCTAGTGATCTTTTATGTGAGCTGTGAAGGTGGTAGCTGTGTAGAGGGGGCTGTTATATCTTGATAATACTGAGGGCTGAGGAGAAGCCTTACATAACTTACTCGAGAGTTCCCCTACTCTCACTGCAAATTGGATTGACAAACAAAGAGATTAAGTGTATTCCTTTTCTTAAACACTTTGTAAAGGGGGTATCTTTGACCTTGAGAGACACTGACCTAGATGAGTAGACCCACTGTTGAGAAATAAATTGATGTAGTTTATAACTTTTATTCACTTTTTATTGCTAGTCTGTACTAGAGAGAACAGCTCCCTCCAGTACACAATATGGTAAATACAGTATAGCTTTTGATGCTCTGATGTCTGCATCAACTCTGCATTTGGTTGTGAATGATAGTCACATTAATACACTTTAGCTCCTTGTCTACTGCTGTAGACTGAATAGGCAGATATACAGTCGTATGCAAAGGTTTGGGCACCCCTGGTCAAAGTACATGTTTTGTTGATTTTCTGAATAGAAAACAAAATTAATACATCCTATGCAGTGAACACTTTTACACATTTTAGAGCACAATTACTGTTTATTTGCTGATAAATAGTGATTGTAGGTACATGAAATGTCACCTGTGTAAAAGTTATGCCATATTTTTTATTTTATGTTTTCTTTCAATATGTAAAGTTTGTTCCCTGCAGAGGATATGCTAACTTACTTTCACAATTTTCAAATCAACAGAGCATGAAATTTGATTGGGGTGTTCAAACTTTTGCGTATGACTGTATGAAAATGCTTAGATTTTTTTGACATCACAAAAACAATGAATTTTAAACGGGTTGTTGGTTTTTTTTAGATTAGTTTCCATATTTGGGGACTGGGGAGCCTTTAAAATCTAAATTCTAAAATGCCTTATGAGTTATTTTCTTTCATCCTGTAATTCCTGCAGGCTACCACTTCGACTACATTCACATTACAAGCCTCATTGCTCAATTCTGATGTTTTTTTGCTCAGATCTGATCAGTTACCTACACAAATGTGAACCACCATGATGGTTCACATTTATGTAGGTAACTGAGTCAAATCTGACATCAATGTGAACGACACTGTGACCTGAAAGGACCTGTATACACCATCCTAATCAATAACGTCACATGAACGAACTGCGTGCGCCATGAACAGCAAGTAAGGTAACCAATAGAACAGAACAGCCTTCGTTGCAAAGATAATTTGCCTCTAAACTGTTCTCAGCTGTTCACTGTTAAAGAGAGTCTGTGGCAAAAAAAGGGTCTGATGCTTTTGCATGGATGCTTTATGCTTTTTTTTTACCGGCACTGGCTTTAGGTTCAGCACTGCTGCCTCCTTAACTCTGAATGATGGCGCATGCGCAGTGGAAAAAAAATGCATGAATTCCAGTCTGAGCATTCTCATTAATGTCCCATGAATCAAATGTTTATGCAAACTAGGACCGCATATGAAAGTGGCTCAGGTCGGATTTGAAAATATCAGTTTTGTTGGTCCACACTGCTGTGAAAAAAATCAGATCTGTGTCACATTAAGGCAGAAATCGGATTTGTGTCAGCCTGGTTATGCGAACATAGCCTTTGTATATCTTTAGTTCACTAAAATTAGAGGCCTAGTTGATAATCTTGGCTGAGAGCTCCTGTGCTATAAGAACCAAGTTTGAAGTTTTTTGTTTATTTGTTTGTTTGTTTTAACTTACTGTGTAAGTTAGAAGATGAGTTTGCAGTGAAGTAGATTATAGACTCTTTATAACTTTAAATTCAAATCATACATGCATTCTGGCATTTAATATTACACATTAAGGTCACTTACATTTGACAAATCAACACTCATGCATGTATACTGTTGTAAAACATTTATAATGTCATCTGAGTGGAGCAGCTCAGGAGCCCCTGTTGCGGGCATTAGCTGATGTGCTAAAAGCGTGGAGGTAGGGAAGGGGTCTAAAAATGTTCCCAGGCTAAGACCTATCATTGGATTAGGCTCTTAGCATCTGCTTTAGCTCCTTTCAGTCTGCAATAAACACCTTCAGAGGGACACTTGCTTAGCTTTTTCTGCTAGTGCTTTTCTTGGCCTACATCTTTTTTTTTCCTTTTTATTTTTATTTTTTTTTTTAGGATGAAAATTGATAAAGGAATACTTTTTTCACCGCTTTGCTTTTTAGTGCATATCTGCTTTGGTGAGTATTTCATTCAGAGAGTTTGTCTTGATTTAGAATTCTTCCGGGACATCTAATCTTGAAGATCTTTTTGAGTAATAATGTTCTTCTGTGAATGTACTTCAGTCATTTTTTACTGCTTATACTGTATGTATTTGTTTCTCCCCTACGTTTGCATTATCTGTGTACCTGTTCGAACAGTAGCAAGTGAGTACACATGGAATCTGGTAGAACATTTAATTAAATTAAACTGACAAACTTTTAAAAATGTTTCTTTTTCCTGGTTCAGAATGCTCAAGGGGAATGGATTCATGAAATGATAGTAAAATATGCGCATAGATATATTATGGCAGTGGCTGTTTCTTTTTATATGACGTAAAAGGAGCAGTAATCCTAGGAAAGTGGATAGAAAGAGGGTGGCTCAGTGTTGTCAGTATACTATGTTGCATGTAAAACTGTGTCCTGTGTTAAGATTTAGTTGGCCTAACAATAATTAACAATTAAACAACCGTTAAAACTACAATTAGTTAAAAATAACTACACTTTTTGTTTTGTCTGACATACATTTATACCTCCACAGCACAGGGTGATTATGCACCATATTTCTATGACAATGGACCCCACAGTAACAATGGCAATATGGCACTGTTCAGTCTTTCAGAAGATACACAAAAAGGTAAGTGAGTGACCTACATAGGGCATTTATAACACATGCATAAGCAGTGTATAAAGTATTTTAAAAACTTGAGTATTAATGGGGCGGCACGGTGGTGCAGTGGGTAGCGCTGTCGCCTCACAGCAAAAATGGCCTGGGTTCGATTCCCGGCCGGGTGACCAGGGTCGTTTCTGTGTGGAGTTTGCATGTTCTCCCCGTGTCTGCGTGGGTTTCCTCCGGGTACTCTGGTTTCCTCCCACAGTCCAAAAACATGCAGTCAGGCTGATTGGACATGCTTAATTGCCCCTAGGTGTGACTGTGTATGTCTGTCTGTCTGCCCTGCGATGGACTGGCGACCTGTCCAGGGTGTATCCTGCCTTCCGCCCAATGACAGCTGGGATAGGCTCCAGCACCCCACCGCGACCCAGAAGGATAAGCGGTTTAGATGATGTATGTATGTATGTATGAGTATTAATGGACAGCTTATGTCAGTATTCACAAAATGACAAAATATGTTTTATGAAGTGTTGTTTTGATGTATTGGCCTTTAAACTAAACAAACAAACGTTTGTTGAGTTCATAACACTATGAAGCATCATTCCCAAGTAATGCAACTTATAAAGCAGAGGCCTATTTACAAACAACTTGTACATTTTTTTTATGTTTCTACTTGAGTTATACTACATGAAGTCAATTTATAATAAGCAGTTCTGTGTGGCTGCAGACATGAAAAGCTAACTCAGTTTTTATCTCTGCTACATCATAGGTCTCCTAATAGAAATAGTTCATAGATAGAAGTGTTCATTGGTAGGTAGAATATTCAAGTGGTATTTTATTAGGAGTATTTTTATATATATCAATATGTCAATAATGTCAATAAAATGTTATTTACTCCATAAACCATCTCATTTCATCTTGTGAATACTGACATAATCTGTTCATAAATACTCAACTATTGCTTTTTAAATATGTTATTCACTACTTATGCATGTGTAATGAAGGCCCTATGTAGGTAGCCTTTAAATAACATATTACCAATATTTTATACAGTGTTCTCCTTTAGCTACCTTTGTCCTGAATAAATAGAGCACTACAGATTAAACCAACATCTGTGTCTGTGCTCACATTTGCAGCTCATTAGAAGATTTAAACTGCTTGATGTCACTTGTTGACGTGTTCTCTGGCTGCCAGTAGACAGCATTAACATGAATGCTGTCCAGCAGCTGTACCGTTCTGTCGCAGACTAGAGGTCTGATTCTGTATTACTGTTTTGTTTTACCATCGAACACTTTCTGGGTCAGATTGACAGATTGCTTGACTGTTGTGTTTTAGGCAGGGTAAGGTCCAGTTTACATCATCTCTAAAGGTGTAATACTAAAGACTCTTCTCATGCACCATTTGTCAGCCCTTTGTGTCACTCATCATTGGTTGATTTCTGACCACAGGAACACTGTTGATCTGAGAATATATGTGTGGCGGAAAATCAACAGGAGAGGGGCATTAACATGGTAGTGGTTATGTGCTGTTACAAGTGTATCTCAGACACAGTGGTGTAGAAGGTTATACACATCGCTGTCACTCTTAGGTTAAGAGTTGTTCACTACTCAGAAATATCCGACCAAGTGTGTCTCTGAGGTCAGGACCTGACCACTGATGAAGGGCTCATAGATGATTATCACATATTGTGCAAGACACGGATGGGCTGCAGTCTCTAACTGTAAACCAGCAAGTAGGATCTGTGTATCTACAAGGCAGGTTTTTCCATCAAAGGGGCCAGTGAGCATACATTAACAGAACAAAACAAATGTGAATAGAGAAAAGGTTGATGTAGAGAAAAGATGGATGTAGTTTATCATGTTCTTAAGAATGGTTTTGTGGTGCCATAGAATGATTTCTGGGACATTTTTTCTGCACTACAGGAACACAGATATATGTTCTAAATGGAACGGATCCAGAGGGCCAGCCGGTAAGATATGGCCTGTCCTTTGATCCAGGATCTAAAGAATATTTTCGTGTTGATCCAAAATCTGGAGTAGTAACCCTGATCGAGGAGCTTGACAGAGAGGTAAGCAAACAAATAATAGTTTCTAAGAATGGTAACACTTTATTTGTATAGCCCACTGCAGATTTTTTATGTGCCTATCTTGCCTATCTTTAACTTACATTCAACTCAATATCTGATAAATTCAGATTAATTGCCCCTATCCATAACCCTGGACCTAACCTTAACCTTAACCTCAAACCAAAACGTAAACCTAACCCCTTATCCTGATCCTAAACCTAACCCTGGTTCAGATTTTTACCCTAAACCTGTTGCTGTTGAGAGTTAACTGAGTTTTGCCAAATAGTTCATTAATTATTTGAACATCTATTGATACACTGTAGTGGGCTGTCCAAATAAAATGGGACTCTGGGCACAAACACAAATATAATTTTCAATTTGTTAACCTGTCATTACAGGTGCATGATGAGCTTGAGGTTCTTGTCAGTATTTCAGATGGCCTTAATAAAGTGAGTGGACTGAAACTTATGGCTGTTATAATAATAATTACTGAATAAAAGCTAGTAGCTATTATGTTGTCGTAATAATTTACATCACAATATATCACATTTTTTTCTGCGCATATTTTGGATATTATCAGTCCTTCAAAACACTGAAGAACTGCAAGTTTTATAACAATGAGAGAATAAATAGTCCTGTCTAACTGGATTTAGTTCATTGCAGTATATGAAATGTCGAATAAAAATCATTGTACTTTAGTACTGTAGTTTTTGTTAGTGTTTTTAAATGTGGCACCACAGGTTTCTTTTTCGTCCATTCTGACTAAGCAGATGTTCCAAAAAAATATTATGACATATTATTAATCTTGAAAATTTCTTGAAGTATCATGGTGTTGTATTTTTGCTGTATCACCCACCCCTAGTTAAAGATCTGAGTTGGTGGCGCCTTTTTCCAATGATGTTATTTAATATTTTTAAGGTAGTTGAAAAGGTAAGGGTGTTTGTGATGGATGCCAATGATGAGCGACCACAGTTCCAGAACATGCCTTCCATTGTGGATGTACCAGAGGTAATGGATGTGACGTTCTACTTCTATATTCTTATTATATATTCTTTACATTGTAAATCAGAATTTTGTGAAACCCTGAATTTCTTTTGGTGTGTGTGTGTGTGTGTTTGTGTGTGCCCACTATATGCAGAACACACCATCTGGCAGCAGTATCTACAAAGTGCAGGCTGTGGACAGAGATACAGGCTCAGGCGGATCTGTCACCTACTTTCTTCAGGTAACAGATTGCTACCTTCTACAACCATTAGGTCAGCACAGAGCTCATTTGTGTGCATATATGACTCATCAACATGTATCCTTTTTTCACTTTCTTTCCCCTCAAAACCTTTAATAGAAAACCCTTGTAAAACCTGAGGATCGGAGCGTTAATCTGGCTACAATAAAATAATACCACTCTATAAACATATCAGACACTGGACTTGTGCTGTCCAGCATACTATGCAGTTGCTCTGTTTGGGATTAAATTACTATTACATTTGTGTCAGGTACTAGAGGCTTAGCTAGCAGCTTTGCTCTGCTGAGGGTGGTTGGGTGATGCTAGATTGTCCTCAGAGTACAAGGACATGAGTGACACTGCAGCTACAGCACATCTGGACACATGAGCTTTCACCTGCCCCTTTATGACACATTGTATGGCTACCCTGAACCGACAAAATCCACTTGCTGTAAAAAGCCCAGTGATGATAGTAATACTGTCTATTCAGCTAGCGTGTGATCCTGTTCTTTGACCCCAGAAAGTGCTCTGATATATGACAATTAAGGACAAAATCTGATTTGCATTAGTGTCTGTTTCAGATACACAGTTAAGCTTTTAAAACACTGCATTTGTCCTTTCTAGAGCAATGACCCAAACAGCAAATTTGCAATTGACCGCCATAGTGGAGTGCTGAGGATAAAACCGGGTGAGAACCTTGACTATGAGAGGTCCAGGACACATTTCGTCACTGTAGTGGCAAAGGTGAGACAAGCATTATGTTGTTTTTTTCTTCAGTCACAGATACATTCTCAAGTTGAGCTGTCTAACAGATGAGCTTCAGTTTTTTGGGAAGATTCCAGATTGCCTTACTCTTATTGCTCTGTGTACGCCTTGTACTGTACTGTTACTGTTACAATTCTGCAAACAAATGCATGAAAAGTTTTTTTTTTAGCACACAATGTAACCTTATTAACATTACTTGAATGAAAGACAAAAACAGATATCAGAATCTAAAATGACACCCAAGTTTCGTAATTCAGATTTGACATATGATGCAAAAGGGCCCAATTTTTAAACAAGTCAGTTTTGCTGAGATTTATTACCAAGCATCAGTATCTCAGTTTTGTCCTGCAAACAATTCCCTAAATCCACTGAGAGATATCTGACAAACAATTTATTAGCTTGTCGACAGGGTCTTGACTTTCAGGCGGAATATAAATGTATAATTGTGTATCATCAACAAAGCAATGAACATTTTTCTCACGTTTCCTGATCACATTCTCTAAAACTCCAAAAGGAAGTGCTACATTTTTTGATGAATGATTTCCCAACACAGAAAGAAACTGCTTGTTTGTCAAATATGATTTGAACCATCTGAAATCACTATATCATCCATCACCATACAGAAACTTCAGGAACTGTCAAAAACAAGACAGATGGTTGATCTAAACAAGGCAGGTAATAAGCTGTGAGAAAAATAAACCAACAGTTTTGAACATCTGGACACACTCAAACTTGAGGAGGATATAACCCATTGACCTCCTGAGTATAATAGAAGATGAATGGATGGAAAGCGATGTCATGGTCACATGAAAACAATACTGCAGTAATTGAAAGCATTTTATATTTATTAAAGTTTAACCAAAAATCTTGTGTCTTGGAAGCTGAGACCTCACTGCAGGGTCCAAATGTAAAACATACATCAGCAAACAGATTATTCTCCACTGTGAAGACATGAAGGCTTCAGTAGGAACCTTTGAGGGTTCTTATTGAAATTAAGACAATGATAATTCATATAATGCATATATATATTATATATATATAGATAGATAGATAGATAGATAGATAGATAATTTGTCATTTTTTTCCTGGTTTATTAGAATTTAATCATTATGCATACATGATTTTGTGCAGATTGAATAATTCTAGTGCCTCAGTAACAAACTTGGCTAAAATAGTTTACATGATTGCTCTTGTTGTTTTAAGGATGGAGGTGGAAATTATAATGGGAAAGTACAGGTGATGTCATCATCTGCTACCTTGACAATCAATGTGATTGACAGCCAGGACTCTCCTCCTGTCTTTGTTGGAACACCTTACTTTGGCTATGTCTATGAAGTTTCTTCACCAGTAAGTACCAAGAAAAGTTTTGCTTTTCTTGGTAATTCATGGAAACACGATAATCTCTCAAGGGAAAGATGTTAGTGAGACATTTGTTATTATGTCTTCTGTATGAAATAAGACCTCTTAAATGTTACTTCAGGTCCCCTGAATCTAATATTGTGTTTTCCCTAAGGCAACACACAAATGAACTCTTCAGCTGATTATCAAGCCCTTTTGAGCTTGTTGAGATGTGTTACGCTGAGGAAAACACAAAAATGTGTAAAACACTAGGCTTTAAAGTCTAAGATTAGGAACCATTGCCATATTCTGAAGCTTAGCAAGATTCTTTTTAAATTGTTTCTATTTTTGTCTTTAGGGATCTGAAATATTCACTGTATTTGCAAAAGATGGAGATGTGGAAAATCCTAATCCAGTTGTTTATTCTATTGAAAGTGGTATGTATCATTTGTATTTTTAGGTAATTGGGTAGATCTAGGTTTAGCATAATAATATTGAATCTGCAACTCTTTCATAAAAGTTGCAACTCCTAGAAGACGGGATTATTTTAAATTTGTTTATACTTCCTTGCAGTTGCTGAACATGTGTTTTATGCATTTTTTTATAGGATCCGATGGTGTGTTTGGCATTAACAAAACAAGCGGATGCATCACTCTGCTTGCTTATCCAGCCCATTTGAGAAGAGAAATATTTAATATCAAAGTCAAGGTCAGTTTTGATTCTCTTTAAAGTTCACTCTGTCTGCAAGTTCACTGTAAAATTCCTCTCTAAAATGTGTTCAAATGTGTTGAATGTGTATGTTAATGTATTGATCTCTTGCTTTGTTGTGAAATTCTTTGACACATGATTCATCTTGTTGATGAACTTGTCTTTGCCTTGAACAAACTAATGTGGTAGGATCAACATATTTAGTCTACTTGTTGGTCACACCATCTACACATGAGCTGCTTCATTGCTTAAGTATTGCTTGAATAATTAACTAATTAATTGTTTTTGTATTATTTTTCTACTGCTGATCTCTTGCAAAATTTTATTGTAACCTCTATCATATCCATCTAATTCCCAAATTCAAATTGTTTGATTAACCGAATTGTTGTGTTTTTAAAAAATTATCAGTGTAATGGACTGTTAGCAGAAGTCAAAGTAGGAGTATATCACTGCAAACAAATGGAATATTCAGGAAGAACTTCATGTTCCTTTCTTTAGATTTCATTTTTCTTCTGTCTGGTAAAACTGGTATTGCAAATAGCTGCATTGCGATCAATTCCTGAACATTACCAAATTTCTCTGTCATCAGGCTTCAGAGGTGAATGCAGAAGGAAATCTCATGGACTTTTCTGTCACCACTGTAACCATTCGAGTTGTGGACCTGAATAACCATCCCCCTACCTTTTATGGAGAGAGCGGCCCACAGAACATGTTTGAGCTGACCATGTATGAGCATCCTCCAGAAGGAGAGATCCTGAGGGGCCTGAAGATCACCGTCAATGATTCAGACCAGGTGGGCTCCTCATTCAGTTTTCTTCAGAAAAGGTAGGCAGCTGTCAGATATCTGAACAAAATTCTGTGCATACGATTTAGATGAATGGCAAATTTTACATATATTTTAAGATATCTTGGAAAGACAAACTTCTTACCTGATGGATGGGTATAACAGATTGTGTCCTGAGCTAGCTGTTGTTCATAAGCTGAATGGGATGGCCACCAATGCATCACTTCAAATTATTTATTTATTTATTGGCAGAAGAATGGTCTATCATTTAGAAACTGATATTTTTTTATTGTTATGTAAATGGAAGGAATCAGCCCAAACACACAGATGTGCCCCTTTAAGCTTTTATCATATTATGCAATGTTGTTCCTCTTTTCAGCTTTTTCTCCTGTGTAATTGCAGAACTCATTATACAAGTAAACACTATGAATAGAATATTATGAAATCAAGTTCATCTGAGTCAACAGCTGTCGTCAGTACTTGTCATTCGCATGAAGATCAATACATTCATTTTGAAAACAGAGATTGCGTTGATTACTTCATGTACTGTTTTTGTTTTATATATGTGCACTGGATACTCTTAGTGAGCCTCATTGATTATGACGTGTTTTTCAGGGCGCAAATGCAAAGTTCAATCTGAGGCTGGTGGGGCCAGGCCGCATGTTAAGAGTGGTGCCACAGACGGTCCTTAATGAAGCTCAAGTCACCATATTAGTAGAGGACTCTGCTGCAATAGACTATGAGAAATCTCAGTCTCTGACATTCAAGGTGGTCCTACTCAAGTTTTCACAAATGCATAAAAAACAATAATACCACATGTTAAGGGTCCTTATGCACACATAAAGCCCACACTTGTATATTAAGTAACCAAAGTTCTTACGTTATTCTTCGGTTAAACGCATAGGGCCAGTTTCCTGGGCCCACATTTATCCTAAACCTAGACTAAGATGCACTATTGGTGCTGCAGTTCCAAGGCGAGGCTTAATCCATGTAATGTCATCCATGACAAGTCTTTTCAAAAACACAGAAATGCTGCCATGTATACAGGTTACTGCTTTTAAGATATTTGACAAGAATGACTTATTTAGTTTGTATAGAGTGAAAATCTTTTTTGTTTATCTTTTTACAGCATCTATTTATGTATTACCAAGTTGAATTTGAAATGAATCAGATCAAGTCTAAGTAAATAATGGAAATTGTTTTGTTTTTGCAGCTTCTTGCAGTGGAGATCGACACCCCTGAGAGATTCAGTGCCACCGCAGATATAGTCATAAACTTGCTTGACACTAATGATAACGCTCCAAAGTTCTCATCTGATTTTTACATTGCACGGATCCCAGAGAACTCGCCTGGTGGCTCTAATGTCGTGTCTGTGACAGTGAGTATAACCTAACTATGCTCCTCTGCATCATCACTAAAAATAGAAAGATTTGGAAAGCAATTATGTACATGTGCGTCATACTCCCAGAAACTAAAAGGTATGCATATTTGAAAAACCCACTGGAGTGCAATATTAATTCTCTAAATATCAAATTTTGGGGGGAGGATAAGAATCTAAAATCGTGCCAAGTACGGTAGTGCTCGCTAAATGGTCTAAACTGAGGTAAGCTGCCAGATGGTTATCATTTTCTTTCTGTTGTGTAACAGCAAAACCCCAGATTTGACTTTTGTGCTTAACACGTCATAGTAATTCCCATCGGTGTGGTCGTATGATTTTACCCACCACTTTTTATGACTGCACTGACGTCAACTGTGCCATGACAGACCACTCTTCTTAACAGAACCACTTGACATGTTCAACACATCTCATTAAACACAACTGCATTTTTATACAAGCAGATTTTCTTATTATTACAATCTTGTTATATTCTGAGCTTCTGTTGTTATTAAATTGTTTTAATGAAAATGTAAAGGATGTAAATCACAGATTCTACTGCATAGTCATACATTAATCTATTAATTCTGAAATACATGTCATATACAGTTAATACTGAATATTATACAGTTATATACTTAATTTAACCTCATGTGAGGATGACAAAGCTGCAGCGTGTTGGTAACCTTGTCTATGTTGAGTGTTATCGTATGTCCCAATCTGCCCTTTATCAGTAGATAGAGAGAGAGGGAGGAAGAGTGTGTGTGTGTATGTGTGTGAGTGAGTAAGTGAGTGAGCAGTGGGATGGGGTTATCCTGCCTCCCAATGCACTCCAATCAGCTAAATGAACTGCTAGCGCTTGACCTTGGCCACAGGAACACTGTAAAGCCATGACGATAGGGCAAACGGTTGTGTAGTCAGATTAGCACACACTCTGTCATTCTAATAACGTTTTTAGCTATCGCTCCCTAAAACTCATCATCGCTGTCATGTTAGGTGTTTATGCCCCCCTCTTGTATTCTCAGCTGAACAGCTCTCATGACATTTTATTGATCTTCTTATGCTCTCTGCAGGCCACTGATCCAGACTCTGGTCTATGGGGTGTTGTCAAATACTCCATCTATGGCTCAGGATCAGACCTGTGAGTAGAATTATTGTCCTTTTCTCCAAGTGTCTCTACCTAGTCGTCCTTACCCATCTTACTGCACAGATTCACCAGTGGTGGGTCTTTATAGCCCTATGTATTTACATAAGATACAGCATCTATCTAAGTATAGGACTGTATATCTTCACAGCCCTTCCGAATTATGCAGCATTTATCGGAGCATATGATTGCCAAATCACTGTAAATAAGTAAACAAAGTAAGGCTAAAAATACTGTACAGGAAAAATACCATATTGTGATTCTATTACCACATATTATGGTTGCAATATGACTTGCAATATATTAAAAATATTATTGTGAATCCTTTATGTTACTTGGTTACCAACTGACCTACATTATTTTGAGCCAAAAGTGATTCAAAATTAAAACAACAGGGAACACCTGAGGGTAGTCTGAATGCTCACAGCAATCAGTAAACACATTTGTTTTGTTCTCATTTGCATATTGTGTCCCTCTGAAATATCAGTATTTCCCAGGTTAATAAAATTGCGGTAATAATTAACAGACAATACATTGTGCTGCCGTATTATCAATATATTGATCACTGAAACTGTAAAAACATTTAGTGCATGACATTTTCATAGATAGAAAGTCCAAATCATGTATGGTATACTGAACCACAGATCTGTAAGACCAGAGGTCTTTCTTAGTGTTCATGAAAATAAATCTGATTGAAACGGTTGGGAATTTGAGGAGCTTTGTTTCATATTGTTTCAAGATTGTGTGTTTTGGCTCTAAAATCTAAAGCTTTAAACAGCACGCCTAGCTGTGCTGCACAGCATCTGAAGTTTCTTATTTGTTATTTGGTGTATTAGCTTCCATACTAACTGTATAAATAGTTGAAACATTGTTAGGGTTGTGATGAAAGAGTTCCAAGAATCCATCTCTCCATTTTTTAACAAACAGTACATTTGCCCACTCTAAGCTTTTATAATCATCCAAAATAAATCCAGAATTCCATTTGGGAAAGTACACTATTGGTCTTCACCAACAAAACAAGTAAATATAACCCCTATGAATTTAACTGGGGTGCCTTTTTTAAAGTGAATAAATACAGCATTTCTGCAGAGTAAATGTTAGATATACTGTGTATCACTGATCTTCTTCATCTTATTCTAAACACTTCAGACATCTTTGGCTCTGTCCAGCTGCATTTTTGAACTTGAAATTGGTGAAAACCCATGAAATATTTTCACTTCCAAAATAAAGCTCTCCCAGCTTAAACAAGTGCCTTTGCCTCTGTCTCAGCTAATCTTCTAATGGGATGTGGGGAGAAAATAGACTGTTCTAACGTTCATGTAACAGCCCCACTTACCTGCAGTGGAACATTGAGATTCAAGAAGAGACTTTGTTTTGAGCATAGGACAATAGAATTTGTGAAAACTGACAGCAAACATGGTATATAAAAAATTACAATGTTATACTTACCAGAAGACAAAAGTTGAAAGAAGATCCAGTTAATTCAGGACAGATATGTTTATTAATATTATGTTAAAAGTAATCAAGAATAATATTACTTAAATATTTCAAAATGCATATGTAAAAATAATGTTTAAAACTGATTGATAAGAACTGACTTGGATTTTTGAACAATATTTGAGTCGTCTTCTTGTTTTTTTTCAGAACAGCAGAAACAGTCTCTGTAATCCAGATTCCCCTGTGTGCTCATTTCCTGTCCTCTGTGCTTCTGCAGGTTTCTCATCCAGTCGGATTCAGGGATCATCTACACCCAGCCCTGGGCCAGTCTTGACGCTGAAGTGAAATCCAAGTACAACTTTTATGTGAAGGCTGAGGACACAGAGGGGAAATACAGCCTTGCTGAAGTTTTCGTCACTGTGTTGGACCTCAATGATCATTCACCAGAGTTCAATGAGAATTCTTTAGAGAAAACAATGGTTATTGGTGCCCCTGTGAAAGTAGAGGTCAGAAAGTTTTGTTTCTTTATTTTTAAAATTTCAGCACATTAATCGTTTTTGATATCTCCAAAAAAAGATATTTCAGTTTTGTAATTAAATGTTATTTTTGTTGTTCAGGCAGTAGATGATGATGCAGAAGAGCCCAACAATGTTATTGAGTATTCCATCATGAAAGCAGAACCAGACAACATCTTTGACATCAATGCTGAGACAGGAGAGATTAAATTGAAGCCCTACATCAAGTCTATGGACATAGTGCAGAACATCACCAATCAGAAAGAATGCACCTGGTCTGTGGTGGTCCAGGCCAGAGACAGAGGCTCCCCATCTTTCAGTACCACCACTGTCGTGAAGATTGACATCACAGAAGCAGTAAGTTTTGGATCCAGTCCTTATTATTATTTGTATTATTATTGCTTTTTCAGGTCCATATTGTCACTGTCCAAAGAAAAACAGGTGTCTTTACAGGAGAAGGTTAAAAAGTTCTTTAGTTTTAATGTAAGTTAACATGAAAAGGTTTTTTTTTTCTAAGTGATTTCGGAGCATTTCTACTAGTCCAATCATCCTGAAATTTTCACACAATGTAAAGGACAGCTGTCATGTTCAAATGAATTAAACATCTTTTTTGGATAGTGACAATATGCCTGTCTAGAATAAAGTTTCAGTTTTTACCTCCACACACTAACTATGTCTGTGTGATTTGCAATCCATTGCCCCAATTCAGAATCTACTTTAAAAGTTAATTTTCTCAGCCGTTAGGCCTTTTAGACCCTGACAGTGAATGATATGTTGCACTTGGTCACTTTCATTAAACTTGATTGACATGGGACATTGCCTGTACATTATTAATCTCTTTCCTTTTTGTCACGTTACAGACAATTTCTAGCCTAAATGTTGTCATTTATCAGAAATGAAGATGACATACTTAAGCCCAGAAATTAAGATTGTATGTATTTTAAGTTTGTGGTGTTATTGTATTGTCCTTGCAGATCAAATCCAGAATGTTTTCGTACTTCTTGAGCCTAAGAACCCAACCCTGGACTGTTTTCGCCATATGTTTCAGCACTGTCATCCTCACCATCTCGTTGACCATTTTCATATCCACCATCATTTACTGGAACTCTGTAAAAAAGTCCCGAGTCCACCCACAGGGCAAGATCAGAAAGATTATTAGGAGGCCCTGACCATGATGCACCTTTCAAGCACTGTGCAATTTTGTTTTCTTTAATTTACACCATCACTAATGTTGAGCTTTTTCTTTTTTTTTTAATTTGCATTTTCATTTTTTTCATTGTGATACAGAATAATTGCAGTCTGTAAAAGAGTATAAGAGCACAGCAACAAAATATGTTTTGTTTAAATAGAGTAGAATCTGTTAACTTCACTTTCCCATGGACTTCAATCTTATCAATTCTTTAATTCTTCAGTTCTAATCAATCTGATCTAAATTCTGCATGGTCTCAATTTGGGGTGCCCTTTTAAACCCTTCTGATCTTGTCTTAGAGTGAAATCAGGCTTTGTTGTAGCATTTTATTTCATTCTAAACCAAATTGTATTCTTGTTTAAGACAAATATTTTCACAGTACCCACCAAACATACTTATCTGTCAGTGTGACTGAAGTTGGCTGATTGGATTGGTTGACTTTTTGAGCAAAACCCCTATGCATCCTAGCATACAGTGGCCTACTGTATGTTCAAATATTGCTACCGTATGTGTGTGGTTCAGTTGCCCGCTGTAGCCTATGATGTTTATCCTTTCAGTCCCATGGACTTGATTTCTCTTTGTGCTCTTTTACAGACTCAACTCAGGGGACCTTTGGCCTCCTTTTTAATGCAAAGTAGGGAAAATCCCATGCAGATCCTAGGCTTGATCACTGGTGTCATTATAGTCATGGTTGTTGTCACAGTCTTGATATCTACAGTCATGTTCATGCGAACCAAAAAGTCCAACAAGATCTTGCCTTCAAGACGCATCATAAGAAGGAGAGCCAAGCATCGCAAGCAGTGGAACATTCAGAACCCATTCAAACCACAGAGCAATGGTGAAAATTTCATGATGAAGGAATCTGAAGTTCCAATGGCAGAGAACATCAACTGTAACAATAACAGTGTCGGTACCCGGTGGTCTCCTCCAGCACCCCCGAGAGCCCCCCTGCCTCCTCCACTGCCAGGCCATTCCAGATCAGGGGAACGCTCATGGGCAGTACCAACTGTCTCTGCCTCTGTCGCCTCTAAATCAAAGAAGAGATCCTGCAGACACAAAGAGAACCCTGTTAATACAGCACTCGTTTCTGAGCTCAAATTAAAACTGGAACAGAAGAAGATGACAAACCGGTACTAGTGCTTTGTGATATCTTTGTGTTCATTTGACTTGATGTTCACTGAGTTTAAGGAACGTGCAAACTCTGGTGATAAACTGGTCACATATCACCTGAGCAAGCTTTCCTCAAGTGCTGAATATGAGGCCAAGATTCCAGTCAGCAGGATTGCACTCCTGTTTCACTGCCAAGCATGCAAGCAATTTATCCATTTTTTCTAAGGCTTTCCATATTGAGTCAGAGCAACAGGTGAAGCCTGACCAAAGGCATAAGGAGTCTCTGCTGTTTCCCTGAGTACTGCCCTCTTATGGCTCTGGTAACCCATGCCCCCCACCACTAAGGTTTATCCAGAAATGACAAACGTTATAACAACAACAATATAACAACATAATACCTAACAAAATATGAATACTGAAGTGAAATTTAAAAATTACTACCAAAAAAAGAAAATACACCACAAAATGAATTCTTTTTTATTCAAGATCTTGAATACAGACTCACAAAAAATGAAATCATTGCATATTTTGTAGGCTTAATTAATATTTAATTTTGAGGTCACGATAAAAGTATTTCAGATCTCAGTATTGTAAAAGTTGTATAAATTTTCACAATGCCAAACTACTTACAGTGATGTGTTGGTTTACAGGAATTTTGTTTTTATAGAGATTTATTTGACATTTTTCACTATTAGATTATTCTTTTCTAAATATTTGTCAAGCCCTAGACCAGGGGTCGGCAACATGCAGCTCCGGAGCCTCTTTTGTTGCCCTGTTGTGGCTCCACAGCAGTTACATTTTTAGGTAAAAATAAAATTATCCTCCTTTGCAGTAAAATAAAGCTCTGCTGATCATTCTAATGAGTTTTAACAATAAATGGTCTTAAATGCTGCAGTTAATATATAACTGCTAATTCACCCTTTAACCCCACATAGACTGCTGGTCACCAGACAACGCAGACAACAGTCTTGCCTCGCTAGTAGCTAACATAAAAGCAAAAAGAGAGATTTAAGACAAACATCCATAATTTGGAGACTAATGGACCTATTTGCATTTATAAGCCCCTGGCCAGTTTTCTTATGCATTTAATCTGCAAGAAACTGTCACACATTAAAAAGTTGTGAGGCTGAAGTCAGTTTCTCATTCGCTAGCTTCTTATTCGATTTGTCCCATTCCACCTTAAATGGTGCCTGAGACACCAGAATGTAACTGCTGCACAATTTAAGGTTAGAACAAGAAGATTTGAGAAAAGCAGCTATAGCTGAGCTGAAGCTTAAAGCAGAGCAAAGTAAGTCTGCATTTTCTATGCCTAAACTAGGACATGAGCACATACTGAGACATATTTACAGCCAAGATGGTAAAATGGACATGAAATGTTGTGGCTCCCAAGGTGGTTTGATTTTTGTTGAAAGGACAAAATGGCTCTTCTTAACGTTTGGGTTGCCGACCCCGGTCATAGACAGTCTGAACAGGTGCAACAATTGTACATTGCTTTGTCTTGTTTTGTTTATAAAACATAATTCTTTTGTATATAATAATATAAGATTTATACAATCATATTATTTCCTAAGTATCTATTGTCACTGTGTATATCAAGGTACATATATAAACAAAATAGACTTCTGTTGTACAGTATGGGGAAAAAACTACTATGTTGTATGTTTGTTTATATGTGATCTTTTGTAAATAAATTCTTTCAGTGAATACTGATTTTATTAACATGCATAACATCAAGTTTGTTGGCCCTCTGGCTAGACTTAGAAAAAGTGTGTATTTGAACCGTAAACAGATTTAACATTGGAACTTCTTATGTTATATTCATAGCTACCTCATTTAGACTAGAACACTGAGGGTGAAAAATGGACGCATGAGTAAGGAACATGAGAGAAAATGAAGGCAAGAGAGACATTGCTAGAGTACTCCATTCATTATGATGTTTGCTTCTTCACTGCTGGGTACAAACTGTTTGGAACAGTTGGCATCAACACCAAGCGCATTATTTAATGATTTTCATTTAATGATTTTGTACTAAATAAATTACTGGCAGAAACCCTAGAAAACCTATTTTAGTTCAGTTTAAATCAAAATAATGAGAACAGTAATAGAAATGCTTCCAATTTAAGGAATTTGAAGGAACAGACTTGTGCATTAGCTCTTTATTGTGCTTATAGATCAGCACTTCAGTAAGCCTAAACTTTGATTATATTTAGTATAAAATGAGCAAACAGTGTAGCTGTCCTGGTCATTTTTAAGCACTCCATAAAAGACAAAAGCACTCTCACAATCAGGCAATGATGAATTCAAAGCAAAAGCAGCATTGGAGAGAAAAAAAAAACAAATGGCATGAAATGATGCCATGTTGGAGTGAGTGGGATTACTAGGTTTTTAAGAGAGGATTACAAACTTGTAAAGTGCATTGATGCACCAGGATAAAAGAAAAAGCCCAGCATTCACAACAAAGTTAGACACTTTTATTTTGGGCTTCAAGTAGTTCTGTGGAAACCTTTGGCTGAGCTAACACTTTTTGGAGCATGAAATTATCCATGACCTCAAAGAACCACTAGTCCCCTCTAAAGGTCCTGTAAGGCTCAATTTGAAGGGGTTTTTTCAGGGAAAGATATCAATATAAAGCTGTGTATAAAGGTTTTTAGTGATTTGGCCATTAAGGCTTGTTAAGTACTCTGTGAGCTCCCCATGTATTACTGAGTGAGTGAATCAGAGTTTACTGATTTCATACAAACCTTTATGCTACAGTACAGTACAATTACTGTCTAGTAACACATTGGCAAGTACATCAGCCTCAGTACTAGCTGTACCATTCAGAAGTTAAAGCCCTATTTATTGAATATCAAGTGTTCTTTGCTGAAGATAACTTCACTACCATACGTCATAGAGGATTTGAGCACTCAGGGAGGGGCCAATGGTCTTAAATGAGAGAAAGAGAGAGAATTTGTAGCACATGGCTCTTGGAGCTTTTTCATCAAGTGAACAGTGACATGACTCTAGCAGTGTTTTCCTGAGCCAGATGGTTGTGTTAGTCCTTATGTAGATTTCTGACGCAAATCTACACAGCACGTCCCTGATGAATACAAAAAGTGACCTACATGTTGACATAGTGTATAATCTTAATGTAAATGTAAAATACATGGCCAAAGACGGATGCATTGCAAAATAAACATATAAAGATTATAAGTGCATTAGCACTGTGACTTGCGCAGTATTTGTTTTAGCACAATGCATTTTATTTATCATTCTCAGAATGATTCAGTTGAGATTAAGAATTCTAAAATTGGCTTAGTGCCTCTTCAGTGTTAAATACAGTTTCATGAATTCATTATCTAACTGTTAAACTGTACTGTTATTTTTAAATATGGGCCTTAAAGTTGTCTATAATAAAAGTAAAACAGCATCTGTTCAGTTTCATTCACTATAACTGTCGGCCATAATGTCTCAGGCATTGGAGACATCACTGTGTCATTTGAATGTAAAAAAAAGTGCTTGAGGAGACCTGTGCCCATTTTAGAAGCTATGGATTTAGGTAGCTATTAGATTCAGATGACATGGGACAGGCATCAAAAATCCTAATCTTCTTTTATACTAGTGCGCTCGTATTGTATGCATTAAAATAAATCCATTACATAATAAACCCCTGACTATAGCAAACACTGAACGTACACAAATATCAATGCCAGGACACAGCAATCATACAAATGCAGTGCCAGCTAAAACAGGTCAGTCATACTCAGAATAACAGGAGTTCTCACCCCTGCATACATACTGAATAATACTTTTAATATGAGGTATCTTTACTGTACATTTACAATCACCTGTACTTTAGCACAGAAGATATACTACTATAAATTATTATGATGTGTACATCATTTAATTAATTATGTACATGTCATCCACTTTACACGAGTGAAACCCCCCAAGGTTAAAACACTAAACCAGTGCTGTCCAGTTCTGGAGAATCCGCAGGAGAGAACTTTTTAAAATAAGGACACAGTCTCATAAATGCAAAGAACTATTCTAACATGTCATGCCTGGTTCTCTGCCAGTGATCAACTCTACACCAAGCTCAAAGACACAGATTTGGGATGAAAATGAGAAGTTAATTTAAGCTTATCCTTCTATGTAAAACACACAGAAGTTGTATGGTTGTTTTCATATTTACAGCAGTGATGATCTATGTATTTTGCACATTTTAAAGCCTGCTACATTTTTCAGTAATGCTTTCTTTTACAGTCCCTTAAGTTGTAGGTATTAACTCCAAAGTGCTAGGTAATTCTTTTGGGTAAAATGATGGAAATTTCAATACAGACTAGCTAAATTACATTAAATGGCAAACAGATAGTAGGGATTAACTGGGTAAGTGTGTGACCAATTCCACAGTATTGTGTGTTTATTTTGGCTAAGAAGTATCAGGTAGTTATATGACACAAAAAGACTGTACACAAACAAAGTACAAAGAGTCTTTTATGTATGTATAAACAGTATGTACCTGTTTATTACCTGGAAACAACACTGAATCTGAGCTGTAAAAGCAAGCAGTGATTCTTACTTGGTCTTTACCATGTGCTTGAGAAAATTCTCTGTGTACACTGTGCTGTCATTTTATGTCATATAAATGCCTGGTACATTAAGGTGTTTCTGAATTATATTCCTGCTTAAATATGTCACATTATGTTAAAATATATTGTATGTATGTACTACCGTCTTACTCCAAATACTTAAGGGATATTTTACTATGTCCTACATTGGCTTAAGAGCTAGAACCTGTTATTCATTTAATTGTAATTTAGTTAGACTGACTTAGTACTTACCATGATTTTACCAAAAAATAGTTACCCAGCATTTTGGTGTTGTACTACACATTTACTTAGTAAAAACCTGTTGGGCATTTAATTGTTACTTAGGTAGACCTGTTGGCACTTGCTATCATGATACCCCAAATATTATCTAGTACCTAAGTGTCTATACCTTATAGTATATTAATTAATATACTATAATTAATATTAATTAACTGATTAATAGCTAAAATTAAAAAGACTATAAAAGGAAGCATTACACATTTTTCTTGCATTTAGTTTTTCTCCCCACATGTCCACGACGTTTGTGTTGTTATTTTTACATGAGTTTTCCAATTTCCAACTTATGTAAATAATCTCTGTGCTGATTGGTAAAAGCAGATGGTTCTGAAAACACACACACACACACACACACACACACACACATATATATATATATATGACTGCCTTTTCTTATATACAAAAGAAAATGCAATTTCCAAGATATCGGCCCTTTAATTCCTTGTATTCCTCTTGTCCTGAAATCAAATACTTAGATTTTATCAAGAAAGTAAAGAGATAGACAAGCTGACACCTAGTCATGTCCAGCTATTGGCAGTATACTAAGATCAACTGCCACTTTGTAGTTGACACATCAGTAATAGTTAAGAACATTTGGAAAGGATGGTTTTGTTTGAGCATGTCCTCATTGCCCCTCTCTTGGTGCTACTTCACAACTCCTACGTGAATAAAACCACATGGGAAACACAAAATGATAGAAAACAAGGGAGAATCTAAAGGAGACCTGTGGTGGGCTGCAGAAAATTTTAGCTAGTTTCCGTACCAATGAGGATTATCACGTTCATTTAAAGAACTTTTAAAGACATCTTTAGGACCTCTCTTTTTTAATTTTAATGGTGATGGCATTCTTAGTTAGCTCCAGGTTTCGGGAGAGTGCATCTCAAGAATCTGTCAGACTGGGAGTAGAGCTTGATAAGCTGCATCTTTTGAAGTTTTAAAGATACAGTTTGTTCTCAAAGCGCCATGTGTTGTGGATGAGAAAATGTCCTGTAGCAGATCTGGTTATATCACCACATGCTTTTTTGATTGTTGCATATGAGTTGCATTATGAGTTTTGTCTTCAGCTCCATCTGTGGGTCACCCCAGCATGATGAACATTTCAGATACACTGTGCAGTTGAAATTGAAGCCAATTATATATTAATCCTGGTCTCACTGAGTGGAATCAGTAGAGCTATATTGTGGGTTTGCGGTCAAATTTAGTTTTCTGTATCCTGTCATCAGACCTTCTGCGGGTCTTGCGGCCCTCGCTGGAATCCTTGCAGAGGCCTTCATCGCTGGCAGCCTGCAGGCTATCAAAGGTCCCCTGCCCCTCGTCTGGTCTGTGTGTTTGCTCTGCTTGCCTCCAGTTCCTCCACATCTCCATGCCACGTTCGAAGCAGTAGAACTTAGTGTCAGTGGTGCAGGCATACATTCCTGCTGGCACGGCCAGAACCATGGCCAAAACAATGACCACAATGTGAATGAGCTTCTCCCTCTGTTCCATTTCGCTCATGTCACTGCCCGTCACAAACACAATGCACTGACCATTTCGGGGAGCTTGGTTCTTCAGAGTCACACAGATGTCATACTTGGTGAGCGGCAGCAGGTCTGTGACTGAGTAGGTGTTGATTCCGGGGCCGATGTAGATTAGCTCCTTTTTGGGTGTATCATAGCGGCCAAAGTGGATGGTGAACCAGGTCTCTGAAGGTTTCTCCATCACAGCATACCACTCAATAGTGATGCCGTAAACAGTCTGCTTGGCAATACGGATGTCAATGTAAATATTCTCCTCAGTGGCTGCAGCAGGAAAACCTGGGGAAAGGGGATGTGAGCCATCAGGAGGCTTAACATCCACCAGAATGCTGACCGACGCATTTCCGATGAAATTGTTGGCTGTGCAAGTGTAGACACCACGATCGGCTAGGTGAAGAGATGGAATGACCAGCTCAGACTTGATTGTGTCTTCGTTCACACGGGTCTGAAACTCTTTGGACAAATGATACAGTATTTAATCACAAACACTACACAGGTAGTTTCACATTCTGAGTGAAATGTTTCAAAATGCAAAAAGGGGAATTCTGATGACTTTTTCTGCATACTTCAATCAGTGAGATGTAAACAAAGTAATTCAGAGTGGTTTGACATGAAATAGTGCATTGTAGAGACGTGTCCAGACTTTAGAGAGGTGGTGATAGGAACCAGGGGTTGTAAAGAATATGCCACGAATGTGGCCACTTTATTTAGTCTCCAAAATGGCCAGTCAACCTATATATGTCTTCTAAGTTTTTAATATACAATGTTGATAATGGTAAAATAGTGGTGAACCTAAAAAAATATCTTTGGGGCCTATTTTGCCTCACAACACCTTGCACATACCTCTTCACCACAAATGTACGGAAAAATTACAACGTAGGCCAAAACCTAAGAACTATCACAAACAATGTCTCAGACATTATGCAGCATATTTAGAATCATTTCTTGTAATAGCTTTCTGTGAGGGAGCTTTTAGAGGCATGAAACACTTCAGACATCTGGTTCCTATCATCACCGCTGTGAACGATTCTAAGTTTCTCTAGAATGGAGCATTTCACATCAAACCACTCTGCACTACTTTGTTTACATCATAATGATTTAACCCCTTAAATGCCCAGGGTACGCAGGCAGGCCCAAAGCTTTATTATACAATTCTATAACCTAAGAATAGCTCAACCAGTTTGTATTAAAGTCCCTGTAGTTACTGAATAGTGAGCCTTAGTATGTAATATGCCTGGGATTTTAAGGGGTTAATTAAGCACAAACAAATGGTGGAATTCTCCTTTAACCAAATTCAGATTTAATGCAAATTAAGTGCTGGCTCTACCTAATAAGGTACATAAGCAGGGCCCCCTATCAACTTGTGAGTTATAACTGCACTATTATATCATCTTTTTCATTACAGGGCTGAACATTTCTGAGCACGGAGGGTAACAGTTCTAGAGACATTTCCACATAGACATGACACGGAACACTAAAAAACCGGGCTCAACATAGTTTTCTCGACATGATTAGCTACCCATGCTTGGGGCCACAGAACTGTACAGTTTTATGTAGCTATTTGATGATTGGTTCTACACTTATGCTAATATTGTGCTTCTGCATCCTACATTATTTCAAACCTGAAAACAATCAAGTAAGTTCAGTTCTGCTCACACAGACACCGAATAAATGAAAGCAGGAGTTTTTTGTAGGCCACTAGCTAGGCTAGCTAGGAGAGAAGAGCTGTCTAGCATTAGCTTAGCTAGGAGGCTACAAATATAAACACCACAGGACAGGTTTAATCTCAGCTTTCTGTCCCTCCAGCACCAGCTGCTCAACTTCACTTTCTCAGATTTAAGTCATGATCTTCTAACCTTGCATCAGTAAAGCTTTTGTTGGTCAGAATTGAATCTATTCTGCGGTCAGCAGAGCTGGTAAAATGTTAGCTAAGCTAAATGTTATCCATCTCCTCTCCCCTGGTTAGCAGCACCTTGTGACTTTTTGCAGTTGTTGTTACACTGAAGCTTTGACATTTGTTGAATGGTGGAAATCATGAAGGTCCATAAAAGGCTAGAGCCAGCCCTGCTTGTGGGTCTCATGGTCTGTAATTTGTACAACCTTGTACACAAAGCTGTGAAACTATGCCAGTGTCATTATATAAATTGAGGTGTTACAACTCAATAATTACAGAGTATAGTTTTAGTCAGCTTCATTACTCTGTGTGTTCTTAAAAATAAAGGTTCCCTGAATGGTTCTTGGCTTGGATATGTGGTTCCAAGAAACATTTTACACAACGTGGATGTTCTTGAAAGTTTCAAAAGGTTCTTTACACTTGCCATCTCGTTTACAAAATTGATTCATCAAAGATCTATTCGCTGAAAGGTTCGTCAGGGGATCAAAAGTCATTCATCTGTGGCATCACTATAGATTGTTTTAGTTTTAAGTGTGTATAATGATAAAATGGGACAGAGGGTGCTTCCTGATTAGTGATTCCTGATTGGTCGCATGAGGCCTTAGAACTCATAGGCTTGTCCCTAGGAAAGACAGAGGACTCCCATCATCACTGGAAAACTTAGACGCAAATTGGTCCTACAGATATCGCTTTCATGCACATTTCCCCATCTTAGTTAATACTTAAACCCAAATACCTAATTTCCAGTGAAATATCTGCTCGTCGGTAAAGGAAACGTATGCTGACATGTTGACACGGGAATAAACCTTACCATGAAATCCTCTTAGTATCTTAAGGCCATATGTCCACCAGACAGCTGGTTCTGGTCTGGCCATAGCAAAGCATGGAAGAGTGATGTTCGCACCCAGCGGCATGGTGATGTTGGTGGATGAGGTGGTCGCCACTGGTTTTGTGCACGTCTTCAGCTCAATTTCATGGAAGAATTTGCCTGCCATGTACTCTGGACCACTGCATGTCAAGTAGGAGTTCATCAGAATGATAGGCGGACTAAGCGATGTGACAAACTCAACAAAACCTTTGAGACGGCAGTCACAGACCCACGGGTTATCATGGAGCGCCAGAACCACGTTAGGAACAGCAGTTTCCCCACTTTTAAAGGCCGTGTCACCCACAGGCCATTTTAAGAAGACCTCTTTCGACGTGACTGTAAGCTGATTGAAGGATAAGTCTAAGTAGGTCAGACGTGGCAAAAATTTCAGTGCATGTTCAGGGAGAACGTCAAGACGATTGTGCTTCAAGTCCAGAATTTTGAGGCTGGGCGTGTCTTCAAACGCTGTCCATGGTACTGACCGCAGTTTATTGCCTTCTAGCCTGAGCTCAGTCAAATTACTTAATCCTTCCAGACTCTTTATGTGGATGATAGTGATGTCATTGAAGTTTAGCCAGAGATGTTCCAGTGATTTATAATGAGAGAAAGCAGACTTGGGGATTTCAGTCAAATGGGACTTCTCAATTCGGATTTTTGTGAAATCTTCAGGGATGTCTTCAGGTATCCCTGATATAGCTGTTTCCATGCATAACAGAGACCTAGAATGAAGAGATTGAAGGAAATGTTTTTAAAAGAAAACATTTTTTATCCAGTGGCAAATTATAAGGCAAATTAGGCCCTCACAGCCATGTCACTGAGTTTGATTGAGTGGTGGTGATTTATGATCTCCAGCACTACACATTGTTTACACTGCTCCAATACTTCTCACAGAATTAAAAAAAAAGCTTTACTAATTAATTATGGTCCATAAGATGTACACACAATAAAGCTTGACAGTGTAAACAATAAACTGTAGAAGGTATATGAAAACACTGCTTATCTACTGAGTCATTTGTCTAGTAAAGGCTAATAGAACTAACCTTCCATGGCGATTGCTTGTACAGGCGCATCCAGTCAAACACTCAGAATGGCTTGAGTTGGTGTGATTTACTGAAAGAAGCAACAAGCCCAAACCAAAAGCTTTGAAAATGGTATCCATAGTCATGTAAAAGTCACATCCACACCGTGTTTGCACAGAGCATGTCAACAGGTACAGTTGACTAAATCCTATTAAGAGTAATCCTTGACGTACTTGGTCAGGCACAGGGAAATACACAGTACTAGGTTTGACTTGATATCAAATGAATAGGTTATTGATTAATCAAGAATCCTTCAAAAAGTCTTATTGTTGCTACAAGCAGTATGAGGTCTAGCAGATACTGTGTTGCTGCTTTGTTCCTACGTCACTATTATCAGTCAGCAGTTCGCTGAAAGAAGTCAGACTTTGTGTAGATTCATATAAAAAATCTTTATTTCTATGTGATGAAACACATTGAGGTTTGGGGTATAAAACAAAGTTACAACTGTCAGGATAAATCAGTGGCACAAGTTACACATATTCTAAAAATCTGAATACAGAAATGTTGCCATAATCTAAAAATCTCATAGAGTTTCATAATCCAGCAACATTTTTCTAATAATGATAAAAGCACAATTAAATAGTTATTTGAGTTAGTGCAAATTATTCAGTTCAGAAATCTATTTGTAGATGATTTTCTAATTTATTTACAAAATGTGAGCTACATCATTGGTAAGCAAAGAAGAATACAGTTGTAATATACACAGAAAGTACAAGGATATATACATTACATACAGTCAGTCAATTACTTGTTTCCCTTTAACCATGGATCAACATCTGAATGATCAGTAGTTCATGTGTGCGAAGGTTCTGGACTGCTCAACCACAACTCCACCACCAGCCAGATGGCTTAGTCTTTTAACTAAGTCCATGAGTATAGTAACAAAGAGCACTCGTGATCCAAAGGAGAAAGCTCTTCCTTTAGTGTCCTTAGTTACTAGTATGAAGTATCCACAGATTTCTTTTAGGAATGCTCAGTCAGGTACTGCTGGTACAGATTGTGTGCACTCAGATACTGGGGCTGAGCCTGGATACTTAGGCTGTGTGGTGGAGCGGTGGCTGAGGGAAATTGTCAGCAGAAGTATTCGTTTGGCTGTCCCTCAATCTTAGCGGTGGACTCAGAGTCCAGGCTGGATCTGGCCGACAGCAGTCTGTTGGACTCCTCTGGGTTCATTCTGTTCAGGTATTCCCCCTCCAGGCCTTTAGCCTTAGTGCTGGGGGACAGAGTCTCAAACGTCACATATGAATCCTGAATGTCTTTGGACTTTTTGCCCAGAAATTTCTGAATTTTCCTCTTAAGCGCCCCACAGCAGACGATCACAGTCAGAGGCACGGCTATCACACAGGCAACCGTGATTACAACTACATTAATGAGCTTTTGGGTCCCATTAGCGCTCGCCGCCGCATCTGTTGAGAAGATTACACACTGCTCCTTTTTGGGGATCAGGCCTTTTACGCACACACAGGCAATGTATTTTGTTTTTGGAACCAAGCCCTCGATGATGATCCGGTTGTTGCCTGGACTGACATTTATTCGGCGCATGTCCCTCTCGCCAAACACAGCATAGAGCACACTGAAGGCGGTGGTGTTCTTAGCCTTTGGTGCTCTCCAGTTCAGACAGACTGTATAGTCTGTATCTCCAATTACCTTGACTGAGCGGACCACTCTGTCAGGGTCTTGTTGCAGAGAGGATGTGTTGGCTGCGAGGTTGCTCAGATTGGTCTCTAGAAGTCCATCAGGACTGGTTGGTTGAGCGTTTGTCCCACTGTCTGCAACACTATCACTCTCCATGCCTGGATAAGGGCCGGTGTAAACCACAGGGGCTACAAGTGCAGATGCAGGAGAGGGTCTTGGAGAAACATACCTGGCAATAAGTTTTTCTTGATAGGCTGCCTTCACAACAGGGTTCGGCTTCTTTGCTTTCACTTTCTTCAAATTCCCTGTTTGATTTTCTACCTTTGGAGAGTCACTTATGATCAGAGAAATAACTGCCTCTGCGCTTCCAGCATAGTTTGTTGCCTTGCAGATATATTTCCCAGAGTCACGGAAGGAGACTGCAGGCACACTTAGGATAGACCAAACAATTCCCTCTTTAGAGTTTTCTTGCTGAACTGCAAAATAACAGAAAGAAAAGAACACAAATGCTAGCCAATTTTAATGAAATGCAAGCAAATAGTATTGTGTAATCACATTCATTAAAACAGTTTGCTTCCATGCAAGCTCTTTGTGTAATTATGTTGTATTAGTGCTGCTGGCTAATGCTTCTTAACCACCCGCCACTGTGCTGACTCACCTGTCCCATTCAGTGGCTTCCCATCTGCCCTCCTCCAGGCCAGCTCAGGGATGGGAACCCCGATGGTGCCACAACGCAGCAGCACATTGTTGCCCACTGCACTCCTGACCCGGGCTACGGCAGTATGAACCCTGGGGCTCTGGCATCGTCTCAGCTCCGCATCGCTAAACAGAACCCCCGACAGACTCTCAGGATCAGCACACCTCAGCCTGGTGTCAATGAAGGCCACAGAGAGTGAGGGAGACTTTTGGAACTGCACCAGGTCATACAGCCGGCAGTCACACAGCCAAGGATTGTCATGGAGCCCTGTAGTGAAATAGAATTTTTTATTTTTTTTTTTTTAAGTACGTGCCAAGGCTGCAATGCTCTGAATTGACTTGATTCAAAGGTGTACATCATATCCAAACCTCATATCTCCAAAAACTTTACAGGAGATGGAAAAACATTCTTAACTTTCAGTGTAAGTTTAATACAAGTTAATGTAACAAATTTGTCTATTTTCTATTTCTATATATACATACAAAATTCAGTAAAAATACACAAAAAAGAAACAGTTTCCTACAGTAACAATATATTACATCAACACAATTTTTGCACTTACTTTAGGCAGTAATAATTGTCTTGTATATTTAGTGTAATAAATTTTACATTACATGTGGCAATTATGTACAGATATGAATCACAATGTATCTTAATCAATCATTTAATCATTGTTATGTTTGTAAATGATGCCCAACTTCATTAGAAACCCTCTCACTCACCAAGAATCATTTTTGAACTCTCTGCTCCCTGCACAGGTTTGATTGTCAACCAAGTAGAAAGGACTTCAGATGGCACCGTCAGCAGGCTGTTGCTGGAGAGGTCCAGGTATGTTAAGTTCTTGATGTACAGTGCGGCCTCGGGCGGGACAGAGGAGAGCTGGTTGTTGTGCAGATCGAGGAGTCTTAGGCTCGGCATGTCCATTAACGATTCCCACGGAAACGAAGTGAGGGAATTGCCATCGAGCCTCAGCTCCTCCAGACTGTACAGACCACGGAAACTGTCTGTGTTCAGGAAGGACAGCACGTTGAAGGACATCCACAGAAATTCCAGGTTGGAGAGGTAGTTAAAAGCTTCACTAGGGATCCTCTTGATGGCCGTTTTTTCTATTCTAAGTTTGGAGGTGTCGGCTGGGAAGCTGGCAGGCACCAGGGAAATCTCAGGGTCATTACAAATCACGCTCCTGGACAAATACAACAGAGGGAAGGGATCATTCATGTTTGAGTTTAGAAACAAGACATGAATAGAAAATTTAATCTATATTGTTTACAGCCTCTTATACATCACTGGAGAGGCTCAAAAAAGTGTGATGAAGAGGAAGAAGAAAAAGAAGAAATGATGAAGAGGTCCCTCACGATGTTTTAAAAAAGAAATGTTGTATTCCAAAATATTCACAGGTTTCATGCAGATTTAATGCAAATAAAATGCACCAGAAGCATATTTTGTGTTGTTAGAAAAAGTGTAATCAAGTTCATCACTTTTTTACTGTGGATGCAGACAAATGGAAGAGCAGTTAAACTCACCTGGCTCTGGATCCATCACTCAGGCTGTGATAGAAGCAGCTACACTGAGAAGGACAAGAGCTCCACACCAGTGGAAATTCCCCAGATACCAGCAAAAGCCCCAGAAGAAGTGCGAGCTTCATGGTTTTACCTTCTGCTTTTCAGCAGCTACCCCTCAGGAACTGACTCAGAAATCTCAGCTTCCTTTAGCTTTTATCGAGATATGTGCAGCATGTCGTCGTCCCTCTGCCTCAGCGTCCCATAGTGATCTGACTGCCGCCAGTCCCCAGATAAAAAGGACAGAGGGGGATTAGTGAAAGGACGCGCGTTATTTTCATTTAGATGCGTATTGCATCTTAGAAGCGGATAGGCTACACAGAGACGTGGCTGTTTATTATAGGCCTAAAATACTTTCGAACTGCTCATAATGCATGCATGATTTTTTTTCCTCTCGCTCTTAATCCACCCCTTTTCATAACACACACACACACAGACTTTTTCAGTGCTATCGTGACAGATAAGCTCATAATTTCGCTACATATTTCAGGACGTGGCTCAAACAGCACTTGTAAACAGAGCCAGTGGACAAAAGTTCACATGTGTTCACTGCTAGGAGGTTTATATGTGGTACTGCCAATGCAGTTTAAATTTCACTGAAACTGTAGCTGGGTAACATTGCATTGATTAAAACGTGTGGAGTTTAGATTCAGACTGAAAACTGTCAATTTAACACTGTCCAAAGAATACTGTAATTAGATTTCTACATAAATACAAAGAATATTTTTAAATGTATCACAGTCAGAAGTAGGTAGAGCAAGATAAACCCATACTCAAGTCAAATTATTGTGGTGAAATAATGACTCAAGTAAAAATATCTTTTCGAAAAACAAAAGTACAAAATAGGAAAAAAAAATTCTTAATGTATCCAGCATCTATCAGCATAGAGACTGAAGTTTGTTAGGCACCATTATTCTCTGTTTGGATCCTTTTGGCTAGATAAAATGATAAACCTTAAGATGAGATTTGAGACTACTCACAGAGCTCTACAGACGTTGTCACCAGTGTAACACAATGGATTTAAACACAAACAAGTAATAAATGGAAATGAGTAAAATGTTCACTTCTATACATGAAGAGATGTAAGTATATTACTTAATAACTGAACACTCAGAAAAGTCCATCAACTGGGTAAATAGAAGAGACTGAAGAGGATTGTAATGCTTTTTATATCAGTTGCCAGTTGTTTGTGCTGCTAACTTTCAAACTTTTTTATAAAAGATACTCGTATTTGTCTGTTACAAATAACAATAATGCAGAAATCTACTGTTTACTCACAAAACAAGCATAAGCACGTTTGTGTCAAATACAAAGCAATCTGTTTTTACCACCTGTCTCACTACGGGGGTAGGTTGTAACAGTAGGTGGAATAAGAAGTTAATTTGCAATGGGCATTTTTTCATATTTTTCCCAAATTCAGAACAGCGAACAAACAGGAAAGACATTGATAGTGAACCTATTAATCCACACCATAACATTGTAAACATGTAAGGCTGTCTTTCTTTGTGTTAGTGTAAGAAAGAAGGAAGCTGACAGTTCATTGACATTTGAAACTTCTTTTACATGAGTGAGTTCATGTAATAAATGTGAGTGGGTCTAGTGTTACCATACAAGAGCATTTGGTGACACTTTATTTTGAGTGGTCCTTTTAGATGAAACAAACACTCAACAGACTCTCAGTAACATGTCAAAAACATATGAGGGTTAGGATTAGGTTTTGAGTTCAGGTTAAGGTTAGTGTTAGGGTTAGGGCCAGGGTTGGGGTTAGGTCTTGGGTGAGGTTGGGTAAGGTTCTGTGTAATGGAAGTAACATATTAACACTACTTAATACATATACTTAATGTAAGTAATGGATCAACAGAATGTCTACAAGATATGTGTTACTGATAATCTGTTAAGAGTTTATTAATCTTTTACAAACTACCACTCCAAATAAAGTGTTACTAAACATTTAATTCCCATTCATTTTGAACTCCCCTGGTCAAATTGCACATAAGTGTGTTCTCTGTAGCGGATGTGTTAACTTATTTTTACTTAGAAAATCAACCAATCATGTCATTTGAGCTGGGCCGCCCAAACCGAGCTATAATCCAATTTCACTTTTTACTTCAAAACTGGATTTTGTTTCATAAACAAATTACTGTTTCACACAAAGTCTTCAGACTTCTCCTGTCAGCTCAGCAGGGTGTGAGCGTGGACAGTAGTGATATCACCCCTGTAGTTTATTTCTGAGATGGTCAGACTGGGGCAGTTACAACTTACCCCATGTTACAACCCCTCCGTTCTCCCCTATAACTCTGGTCACAGTGTTCAATGGAGCTGCTTCCCTGTATGAGAACAAGTGGGCAAATGCTTGCGTGCAACAACAAGTAAACATCAAGTAATTATTTTTTTTAAAAAAGGGATGTTAAACACTGGTGTTTATTTGATTTTGCCATCAAATTTCCCCAATTTGCTCTCAAATAGAGAAACATCTCAACTAAGTGCTAAGAATCTAAACATTTGGATTTACAGGCTTAAATTCAAACATTGCATTGTCAGGATCGGTAAACTCCAGTCCTCTTATCATACTTCTGAAATCCCTGTTGTTATGTGGTTTATAAATAATGCACAGTGGAGCTTGGCAGTAGTTTTGACTAGACTGAAACAAGTACCAAGATATAAAAATAGATTTAAGAACTTAAGCAAAGGTGCATAATTGGGGTTCACATATATGTTCATTGTGTCAGCTCAGCCCTAAAAATGGGGGAATACATTAACGACCACAGCGTTTTGATAAAGTTGTTGTTCTCTTTACATTAATAGAGTTGAAGATGATTGAAAGTTAGAAAATGATAGCTTTTCATTACAACAGCCCAGATGCTCTTGCTATTCCTTTGTAAATCAATAAGTAAGCTTTGTTATTTTTTGGCAGACAGTGAGAACAAAGTAAAGCATGCATCAATAATGTTTCTTGAGGTTAGTGAATTGGTTCTTATGTCCAGAAAGTTGTGTATTAATTAAAAGGTTAACATAGCTGATCTGCCACTTCTTTCTTCTATCTTAACAGGAAATCAAGAGACAGTAACATTACTCTGACGTTCTTTCTATTTTTGAAAGAGAAGGGCCTGACAGTGGCTTCAGGGCAAAGAAAACGTGTGTATGGTTTCATTCTAAAGTCTTAATCTGTAAAGAATGCCATAGATTGTGAAAATCTGCATGAAATTCTAGCTCAGTACTTTGTTTGCTGAAGCCTAAACCTTACATTTAAAATATGTGCCACTCAGTCTCCTCAACAAACCTAAAGCTGTTTAGCTCAGTTTATCTTGTGGAGTATTTCATCAACTATGCACATGAAGAACTGAAGTCATTTTGTGAAAAAATATCAATCAAATAAAAATAAAATTTGATTGCACTTAACTTTCAAAATATCAACTGGCACTAATGAATTCATTCAAATCCTATTGATATATGTTAAATCCTTATTGTACAAACCCTGCATCCTTTTAAAGGCATTAGCATGGTTCTCCTTTATGGCCTGTTTGTGCACAGAGGAGAGCTCAGAACAGGATACAAAATGTCTTCCAAAAAATAAGCCAAATTCTACACCAGCCTGGATCTCAAGATAAAATACATAAAAGTATTATGTATTATGTACTACAACTGTAGGGGAATGAAGGCATAGTACCACCAACATCTAAACAATATTGTACAAAACATCAATCATACATTTATGAATAACAGAAATAGCAAGAGAGAAAGTGAGAGAGAGTGAGAGAGAGAGAGAGAGAGAGAGAGAGAGAGAGAGAGGCCATTGTCCATCTTGTGTTTTTCCTGCCACTGACTAATCAAAAATGACCACATGAGAGAACTGTCCTCCATGATACCAGTAACAGATTTAACTGCTGCAGGCTTTTGATTCTGATAACAACTGATGATTTGTAATGGATGTAGAGCATAGTGTGAGAACAGAGCATGAATCAAAGAGCAAGAATTTATGGACCGCATTCCAACAATCCATTCTTACATTATTTCATGCTTTGGGCGGGTGTTCATAAGGCACATTCATAGTGTTCAAGGAATCTACTAATTACACAAATGGCAATATTTCTTTCCAGTAGGCCACTCAATTGCGTTCTCAGATAGGAAAAAAGTTTCAGTCATGTTGGTTTTAAGCATAAAGTTATAACAAATTTAGTCTTACCTGTAAATATGCACTGTTAGTAGTAGAATACTTGGCCAGAGAATCATGGTTCCTCTCACTGTTTCTTTCTCATGCTCTTGAAAAGTTTTTCTTCATCAGTATCTACCTGGTCTTGCTCATTAGGAGTCTGGACCAGGATTTCTGAAAAGCTGCTTTGTGGCAGTGTGTGTGTTGTAAGACGTTCTATGCAAATACAATTAAATTGAATTGACATACTATTCAAATGTTAGTATTTTGTCACTATATAAAGATAAAACAAGTATATCGAAAAGGATACCTTTACAGGAGATGGCAAAAACATTCTTTATATTTAAACTATTAAATTTCCACACAACGTAAAGGACAGCTGCAGTGCTCAAATGTATTTTCTACTGTTTTATTTTTTGGACAGTGACAAATTTTGACTCGGGTTCTATGCTAATTTACAAGTCTGCAAATTAGCAGCGTCACATGATTTTGCCTTTTCTTCAGCAGTGAAATGATAGTTAAAATGGATCACAGTCTCATAATATGGCTTGGTTCTAAAGGAAAGGAAATTATGTTTTTTAACTGTGGCACCTTTACTGTGAAGATCATACATGTCTGAGCTGATTTCAGGAGAAACCTCGAATGACCTACAAAAATCTGTTTAGTTTGCGTACCAGTCACCATGTGTGTGTGTTTTTTTCTAGGGCACAGTGTGCACAAGGTCCACCAACCTGCAGTTTATCATTAACCCTTTAGCTGCTCTTACACACTACCCCGATCTGTGCTGTGTGATAAGCTATCAGTGACTTATTGCAGAGCTTGTATGGACGCATGGAAGACATGGCACTGTGTGCGAAAAACAAGAGCTCCCACCCCACCTGTTGTGTATAGGCCTATCAGGCGAAAAAGAAACAGAAAAAAAAGAATGTGATTTGTTGTAGGCTGGGCTGCTTTTCATCCCCAACAAAACCACGGACGACACAAAGGCTTGTTGTGTAACTGAATGAGCGCTTTACGCTCGCATTGTGCAAATACGTATTAGCGGGGCAATGGCTGATGCTGTTAGGTTCATTAAGAAATTCCTCTGCGGATTGAGGCAGGGAGAGGGCTTTACATAATGACGTCCATGCTTTTTTCTCGTGAAATGGCCCTTTAAAAGTAGGCTTCTTTTGGTCACCCCTGAGGCACAGGCTATCGAGCGACCGGACGGTGAAACCTGAGGTGTGATCACCCAGTTTTAGGTCAGATATTTTCAAAATGGTGACTTCTTATCCGCTGCCAGAGGGATTCTCTGAGCTCGATGTGTTTTCACTGGGATCTTGTCTACTCGTGGAGGGTAAGAAAACATTGCTTATGGTGCCCGTCCAGTGCAGCCTCACTGCAGAGGGTCTTCGTGGGCGAAAGTGCGTCTGAACCGGGTCTGATGGGCTTAGTGCTCGCTTCGGCTAAAATATAAAGCGCTCATTTAATTTATTATGTGCTCGTGACCTTAAAACTGAAATGTTGTGTAACTGTTCCGCTGTGCGCTCTTCAGAAAGCGCTCGGAGTGCGCGCTTAATATTCCTCTTTCTCTGATGTCTTCCTTCCTAAGGTCTCCTCGGATTCATCCTGAATGCTGTCACAGTTGTTGCTTTCCTTAAAATACGGGACTTACGGACTCCGAGTAATTTCCTTGTGTTCGCTTTGGCTTTGGCAGACATGGGGATTTGTGTAAATGCCACTATTGCCGCATTCTCCAGCTTTCTGAGGTGAGCTCTTCTGATCTGGAGACCTTCGCGTCTCCCATAGGATGTTAGAAATGCAGAGACGAAGCATTAAAAACCAATTCCAAAATGGATGACCTGCTTGGTGCCTTTCACGCGTTGTATCTAGTGATTGAATCAGCGTGGTCAGATGTGCTTTGAAAGGACGGGGTTTATTCCCAGGCGCCTATGTGATTAGTTGTGATTAGAAGCAGATGCTGTGGATGGGAAGGCTGGGAGATATTGCTTTCAGAAGCTCTGTTTACATGCAGTGTCACAATACAATGTTGTCTGTTTAGGCTTACGCATAGCCTGCATGTGTTGTAGTGTTACAGTGAATACTAGTCTGTCTAACTTTTCATCATTATTTGTGGAAACTTGTAGATACTGGCCCTATGGATCAGAAGGGTGCCAAACCCACGGCTTTCATGGATTCCTAACTGCCCTTTCCAGCATCCACTTCATTGCAGCTATTGCTTGGGACAGATACCACCAATACTGCACCAGTAAGGAGCAAGAAAAAATAAATTTGGTTCACTCTCTTGCACATTAATGGATTTAAGGCTATTATGTGGCAGGCTTTTCTCCAGCTTGGCAAACACAGAGTTAAAAACTCCATCTGCCACAGCCCCTATTCAATGGCCTTTTGCTTGACATGGCCACAAAGGCTTATCCTCAGGCCCATTCATCCAAGCTTTCACAAAAGGCTCTGGGAATTGCTGCTATTTCGAATTTGTTGGCTAGTACAGAGTTATAAGTCCTAATTAGGACTATTCAAAAAATAATCATGGTTGACCAATGAATAGCCCTGAGTTTACCAACAGACAGGATTCAAAATGCACATTATTGTCTGTTAGTGTTCAGTGTTGCAGCACTGTTTGAAATGATCTGATCTGCAATCAGACAAACATATTAAAGTAATTTGCATGTGCCAAGATTTGTGCATAATAAACATCTGAAATAAGTTACAGTTTCAGTCATTTAAATTGCATGATGGCGACATACACCGTCCACTGACAGTGAACTTTACGTTTTGGTGGAAATTTTTAATAATGTCTGACGTGTAATGAAAGTTAAAAGTGAATATAATGAAAGAAGTGAATGATGCATAAATGGGGAGAGTGTGTAACCCTGTTGTTTTCATTATTAAGGAACAAAGCTGCAGTGGAGCCGTGTCATCTCCCTGGCTGTCTTCATCTGGCTCTTTACTGCTTTCTGGGCAGCCATGCCTTTGATTGGCTGGGGAGAGTATGATTATGAGCCGCTGAGAACCTGCTGTACTCTAGACATAAGCAAAGGAGACAGGTATGAAACAAATAAATATAAATAAAACCCTGCACTAAAACATAAGTTTATGACCCCATGTTTTGAAACCATTGTTGACTATGTAATCCACAATAAGACAAAAGACATATAATTACATATAACATATAATTACTGTGTTGTATATATTTCTTTTTAAGCTCCCACTTTGTACACTCTTAAAAAGAGCTTCTTAAAGTAAAGACAATAGTTCTATATACAACCATGAACACACCAAGAACCATTTCCATGCTTAAATGGTTCTTTGCATGGTGAAACTGTTCTTCAGATTGATGGCGAATGTGTTGTACAGCACCAATCATTTTTAAAAAGGTTCTACGTAGAAGCATATACAACACATTCTCCATCAATCTGAAAAGCAATTTCACCATGCAAAGAACCCTTGTAGAACCATCTTTTTTTAAAGAGTCTAGGTTTACAGTTACGGACTGTAGCCTTCCTGCATTTATGTATGGAAAGAGACTACCATAGCACCACTGCTGTTGTGATATTATTTGGGTGGTGGACCATTCATAGGATAGCAGTGCCACTGAAATGGCATGTTAGTATGTGTGGCTTTGGTCAGAGTGTATCAGGCCCAGTGGCATAGCTGGAGTGTTTAAACCAGTGTCTCAGCTGGTTTGACATGCTAGCAAAATATCCAGCCACCAGTAGTCCTATGATTGAAAGTGACCACATATGAGTATTATAAACCCAAATGTGCATGGAAAAGGGTGAGTTATTGTGCCTGACTGTATGTCTAATAAAGTGCCCAGCAAATGAACACAGTTTTTAAAAAACCCAGCCATGCTGCAGTACCTGATACAAGAACAGCAGTGCAACACACAATAACATGCCAATAACATGCCAGCACCACTGCAGTGCTGAGAATGGTCCACCACCCACGTACAGTCTATTTAGTAGTGGTCTTATGGTGGTTCTAATGATGGAGGGTGGTGGATGATTGATAAATCTGCAGTAACAGAAAGGCTCCCGTTAGTAGTTTTAAACTTACATATGGGTATATCCGATAATAACGGTAATGAACACTGGTAGAAGGTAGGTAGACTTAATTGGGCCTGGGAATGCTTGCAATACAATATAAAAACAGCTATCACATTGACCTACAAGCAGGTATATTGTAGAGTGATGATGATGCTGATGATTATCTTTGAGATGTTGAACTGTGGAGCTAAATAATGAATGCAATTACCAGCCACAGCAGCAACAACAACAATGATAATAGTAATCATCATATTAGATTGAATCTATATCTGTCTAGTTGTATTCCTAAGCTTTTTTGTTTATTACAAGTTTCTTTTGTTTTGAGATCATACAATATACAGCAGTATACCAGCTACATGAGATACAGTGTAAATATTAGTACTATGAGCATTTTAATTCTCACAGTGTTGCCTGTCATCTTGAAGTGTGTCAAGGGGAGTTCCTTTTGTGTTTATGATCCTCTATAGTAAAAGGACTGACTTGTATTTGAAGCATTCTCTCTCATCCACAAATTCTTATTCAATGATAATATCAATACCCACTCTGGAAATGAAGAGCCAGATAGACACAATGTGACTCACATTTGCACTGCGATATCAGAAGCTTATAATGAAACATGGCGTCAGTTTACCCCTCGTACATTTGTGTCCTTTCACTTAGGAATTACGTCTCTTATGTGTTTCCAATGGCCATCTGTAATATGGGAATTCAAGTGTTTATTGTGATGTCCTGCTACAAATCCATTGACAAGAAATTTAAGAAGACAGGCCAAGAAAGGGTAAGGAGTGCAGTTTTTATTTACAGGTTGAATATTTGACATTGAGACTGGCATCAAGAGGGCCTAGTTAGTATAAGTTTCCCCTCGTGTGTTGCATAAACCCATTATTTATGGTGCTCGAGCTGAGAGCCCTTGTGCCCAGGAGCACAAAGGCATCTCCACATTGTAAACAGTGAACTCTTCACTGGAGCAGAGCTATTATGTAACTCTAAAACAGAATCACACACAAGGAAGAAGCCCTACCAAGTTATGGCTCAGTAAACAACCACAAGGCTCCCTGGTGGTAAATATTGTTAATATTGTAAAAATGGGCCTGAAAAAAAAAGCCTTGAGAGTTTTGTTTTGATGCAATTAACTGGTAACTGATGAGCAAATGTAGCTATGCTGTATACTGCTGAAACATGTTTATGCTGTTTTGCAGATGTGGTAGTTCTCACTCCTGTGATATAAAAAAGAGGACTGGCTGATATGTCATTTAGTTTGGACAAAAGCCTTTCATGGCCTTGTGCACACAGAAAGAAATAAGATCACATCGCACTGCTGAAATATGAAGGTGAATCTCATCTCTGTGTGCCACAGAGACTGATGTGATTTGACCTAAATGCTATACATCAATATATACCAAATTTGATAATTACACATTATATGAGCAATGTAGTCTTTATGAGAACACAGAGGCTTCAACACAAGAACAAAAGACTTTACAATATTTATGTTATTTTAAAAGTTTTGCTTTTGACAATCATCCCGCAAATCACCACAAAAAAACACAACTGATTATCAGCTCATACAGCTGTAAAATGCATATAAGTCATCAATCAACTTGCCAGTCATCATAACAGGTGCATTAATATTACAAATGAGTTTTTGCTAAATTCCAGATTATAATAAATAATATAAAATAATACATGATAATGACATCACTGCTCTAATAAGCAATGTATTCACTGGTGACTTACATGGGTGTTGTGCTAAACGTTCTTACATATCTCAGACAGTTAGCGCCCCTCCCAGTACATATATCTATATCTATAATGAAATTAGAGAACTGCTGCAACACCTTACTGCTCATATATTTGATGTAAATAAAATGTGCACAAATAAACAGTAAATAAACAGTATGCAGGTAATAGCATTACACTACATATATATGCATTATCCATGCGGGTCGAGTTGCTGGACAGATTAGGCTGAATGTTATGCTAAACAGGATTTTCAACAGAAAGCTACTATTCAAAGTCTAATTTATTCCATGGCTAGTCTTAATCTGTCTGGAAAGCTACTCCCAAGAATCCTCTTTGTGTTTTATCATGTCCTTTATTGTATGTTTTAGATAATATAATGGAAGTATGTGTATCTAATATCATGTCTGCATCTGACTTATATCCCCAGCATGTGACTAGGATATCACATGCAGGAAACCCCCATGACTAAACTGACTTTGCCTGCTCCCTGTGTGCAGTTCAACTGCAGCACTCCCCTGAAGACCCTGCTGTTCTGCTGGGGCCCTTATGGAATCCTAGCCTTCTACGCTGCTGTGCAGGATGCCAACCTTCTGTCTCCTAAATTGAAAATGGTAACAACATAATCAAGCTTCATCTAGTCCAGGATGTGTCATTTGTACTTTCTCTGCAGCCCTAGAGGGCTTCAAATTCCATACTTTTAAGGTACCAACCAAATTACTTTAGTACTACAGAAAACTGGAAAAAATTCTGTGTCATTCAATACCAAATTTTAGTACCTAAATAGTCAGTCTAATCAGCATCAGTGACTCAATAAGCATGCTTTTTCCAAAATCTAAACTGGTAATTTGGCTAATATGCATGTTACTAACAATCTATTACAATCTACTAAATACATAAAAGCATAAATACTGAAAAATAAATAAAAAACATAAACAAATAAATAAATAAATAAAAGTATACTATGCTCCTTTTAGTATACTATTGAGTATTTAGTATTATTCTTTATAACTTTTTCTTGTATTTTTTTTACTATATACATAGTGCTGTGAAAGAGTACTTGCCCCCTTCCCAGTTACTTCAGTTTTTTCATCTTTGTCACACTTGAATGTTTTAGATAATCAAACTACTTTTAATATTAGACAAAGGTAACCCAAGTAAACATAAAATGTTGTTTGTAAATGATGACTTCATTTATTGAAGGAAAAATGCTGTTCAGCCCTACCTGGCCCTATGTGAAAAAGTAATTGCCCACTTAGCTACTAAATCAGTTAGTTAACCAAATTCAACTGACTATTGGATTCAGTGTCACTGGCCACACCCAGGCATGATTACTGCCAGACCTATTGAATCTAAACATCACTTCAATAGAACCTGTATGGCGATGTGCAGCAGGCTAGAAGAAAATGAGCACATGATGCCATGTTCCAAAGAGAAAACTTGGAACAGTGGTGAAGCTTCCCAGGAGTGGCTGGGAAGAGAAAGCATCAATCAAGAGTGCATTGATGATTCATCCAGGAGGTCACAAAAGAACCCAGACAATTTGGCTCTTGTCAAAGTCATTCAGGTCTCCATGCCTGCCAATTTCTCCCACATCCAACAAATAAACTATGAGAACCTACTGTTCACTTACCATCTAATATATCCCAGAACATTCCTTAACGTGCGCCGCTGTTACAATATAGTTAACGTTATTTATTGTCAGAGTCTTAATAATGTATTGGCTCATTTGTGTGTATAGAAATATTATTATTATTATTGTTATTATTATCATCTAAAAGAAGGCATTGTAAAAGAATATGGTTTGGGAATTGGTATCAAATATCAAATAATAATATAATTGAATAGTAGTGACATCATGTATAGTGTATTTATGTAGTTCAGATCATTCTGTTATTTTTGCAGAAAAAATCATTAGAAAAGAACATAGCTACTATAGCAACTATGCAAACTGTGTATTTACACAGAAAATGTAATGTAATTATACATTTCTGTTTTTCTGTTACATTGCTGTTTTTCAAGATTGCTCCAATCGTGGCTAAAACCTCTCCCATCTTCAATGCCTTTGTTTACGCTCTTGGAAATGAAAACTACAGAGGAGGAATCTGGCAGCTGCTCACTGGACAGAAAATTGATTCTCCTTCCATTGAGAACAAGTCCAAATAAACCAAGCATGCAGTAATTATGTATAATGTTCTGGTCATTTCTGACAGGTATGACACATGCTCAAGCTCATACCATCTTCTTCATATCATTGGCTCATTTCATTTCATAGGTTATTGTTTCTGTCCAGGATAGTTTGGTCTCTTGTTCTTAATGCAAGTCATTTCAGCCAGCATGAAGGAGTAATAGCTCAGTCGGAAATACATTTCCAACATGGTGCATGCAGTCCCACTTTTGACTGATTGTGTCATTTAAATCATTGTAAAGGGCCTCACTGCAGGAGCACTTTGTTCAGTCACATAATACGGGTTACGCCACTTCCATGTTGTGATTAAATAACAGCACATGAGTATTACGCACAAGGTATGAGTAGAAGCTATGCTGATATTTCATAAGTACTTACATCTGATATTTCATAACTATAGCAGTTGTGAAATAACAGAACTGCTGTTTCAATTTTGGCAGCATAATGCAGGGAGTATTAAGGTCACAATGCAAAATGATTTTTTTTCTGCCTTGATAAAGCACAATATATTTACATGTATAGTTTGGTTCATTTTTGGGCAATGTAATATTTTAACATTCGTGCTAGATCTAAAAAGCATTTATTTTCTACCAGAGACTATACAGTTATCCTCCAACATGTAAATCTCACTTGCCATGAGATGATGTCCATGCTAAGCCTGAGACAGAATTAGACAAGCAACATTTTATAATCCCAGAAACAACAGTGCTTTTCATGATAACACATTCCCCCAGTGCTCAAGACTAGCAGACAGGAGGAGATTACACACAAGACATACTGCAATTAGATATAATGCCTGCCCTGCACGTCTCTCTCCCTCCTGCACGTGCTCCCACTGTCCATCTCTTAAACCAGTCACATATGTAAAAAGGACATGGGAAAATACAGTGCTGTGCAAAAGTCTTACAGATGTAAGAAAATTATAAGTAGAGCAATTTATTTAAAAAAATAACATTAGAATAAATACTTAATATGAATAAACATACAAAGAACACACTCTAATCAGGTGTGTACTGCTAGAATTTAGCAAATCCATGCAATGGCTGGAGGTGTCAAGAACCAAACCTGTGTTTTTCTACCCGTATTCTTCTAACCAAACATTAATAACTTAAAACAAACAAACAAATCAATAAATCTTGTTTAATGTTACTGTATTTATCTATATTTATTCTAATGTTACATAGAGTTTTACAGGCAAAAACTAACTTACTGCCAGGAATTGGCTGCCTAAGACTCTTACACAGTACTGTACGTCTAAACAGACACAATATCTTCTGTGGCGAAGTTAGTAAAAATATTGTATATAATAAGGTATAATTAGAAGCATCTTGGCTTGAAACATACTATTATTTGCAAAAGTTTGAACACCCCTGGTAAAGTGACATGTTTTTGTTAAACAAGTTAACACATCCTCTACAGAGAACACACTTAAAATGGCATTTTGTGCTAATTTTAGTACCCAGTTTTTTGGTTTTAACATATTGGAAATAAATAAAATAGAAAATATTAAATGTGCCATAACTTTTGTCCAGGCCACATTTTATTTTTCCCGATATGTTAAGTTCAGCAAATAAACAGTAAGTGTGCATTAAAACTGTGTTCTATGTAGAGGATCTGTTATTTTCATGTCAACAAGAAAATCAACAAAACATGTCACTTGAACATGGGCATCCAAATTTGTACATATAACTGTACAGACTCACTATGGGTGTAATTCACCATAAGGAGTGAGATGAAACTAATTATTTGTGAGGTGATAAAAGGTAGAAACACAGCAGTAAATGCATACATTTTAGTGGTAAAATACACAAACACTAGCACACAACAAGTTTTGTTTACACAAACTATTAAAAGTTGAATGTAATTTTACACATATTTAGCATTCTGTTTATATATTAAGTAAATCTACTCTTAATCAACGTTTTCAAACCCTTACGCTCTACACTCACTTGCCTTTGCCTGTTAAAGGTGTTAAAAAGGCACATTTTTGATATAAAACATGAACATCAGATTAAAGTCATTAACAAAGCAACGAGATTAATACATTCCTGTATTTCAAAAGCACCACCTACAAATGCAGTCCCTCATTCCTAATGTGTAGCAATCTTGTGCTGGAAGGTTATTTGTAACCAGTTGTAGGAATTCAATCTCATGCTTCTCTGTGAGCTGTGAATACTGCATATATGGACTGACGTTACTGTGCTGTAGACTGCTTTCATTATTATTATCTTCTGAGTTGTCATTATCTGTATTATAAATACCAAACAGCACTGTGATTTAAGGGGTGGCTGAAGTGTATTGATAACGTATGTTATATATAGATTCATCTGTTTTCTGTGCACAAATGATGGCATTTATGTGATACTATCACAATTATACAAAGCAGCTCAACTTAAATTCAGCTGATGAAAGAAAAGCACAACTGAACAATGTGTGTGTGTGTGTGTGTGTGTGTGTGAGAGAGAGAGATTTAGTGTGACACCTGATGAATGTGCTTTGTGTAATGTGATGTTATGACTGTGTGCATCTCTTGTCAGTGTTTTCTATTGTACTTCCTCAAGTGCATTATGACTTTGATTTGAGTTTTTTTCTTTTCATATTGTGCCTCATAAGTAACGGTGGGTTTCTGTATCACTCCCAATAAAGACATTTCTCTGGGATATTTTGTTGTTCTTTATAAGGCCTAAGCGATTACAAAGGAGTCTTGCTGCATCCTGCATTCTCACGAAGATACTGGATCCCTACCACTCTGAACAATGAGCAAAATGTTTCACTGGATGTTATTTAACATTTTGCAACAGATCACTTTACCCGAACCATCTTGTTCCTCAAGAAGGGGTTACCAAGCCGATTAAATGAAGACCTTTCTCTTCAGACTTCAGTAAGATTACATAACTCTTCACACTAAGCCCATTTCTAGTCATCAGAGCACAATGCTTTTGTGGATGCTGTAGACGTACTATGAGGGTTAATAGATGTAACACAATAAATGTAATTGTCAAAATCTGAATGTGATGTAATGCTCAGCAGTCAAAATAGATTGCATAATGAAATGCTGTCTGCTCCTGTGACCGGAACTTAAACTGACTACCGTTCAGCTTCACAAAGCACACAAATTTGGTCTGTCATTTTGTTAAATACATTTCTCCAATTGTTAGAACACTGTCTAAAGTCTAAGTGTATCTAAAAAGTGGCTACACTGCACTAGTTTTTGCCCTGTAAACAGAGAAAGTATGAGCAGAAGTGGATGAAGGACCTGGACATTTCTTGTGCCCAGCACACCATGTAAGCTTCCAGATAAAATAAGCCTCTTTGATTATCTCTTCCTGTTAGTGGCTGAAGGCCAGGGTACATTTGCTTACGGCATTTAGTGTTAGAAAAACATTTAAAAGACATGAAATATTCACTCATACAAATTTCATATAAAAGAAAACCAATATAAATACCTTTAAACTGGTGCTGGAATCCTGACTATTGAAATATTATTAAAATGTCAGAAATACATTTTAAATAGGAATAGCTGCTGTCATAAAGGAGTTTTCATGTTCATTATTGCTAGTGGATCTGACAAGTTAACAATGTCATGGAAGGTAAACTGATTGACTGACAATAAATATGAATCAAGCAATGAATGCATGGACATACAGATAAATAGTTTTATTATGAAATTTTCACTATTCTTAATATACTTTTTTGTATATATACAAAATATAGCAATGTGACTATTTACTTTTAGGCCATATATAGACTTTTTCAACAGATGTTTGAGCTCTGTCTGGAAGCTGAATCAAGATGTATTATGTGCAGCCCAGTGGTCATCAGTGTTATTGCTGCATTCATTAATATTAGAAAGTGCATAATTCAACTTACCTGACAATTAATTTGAAAACTAATTTTAACGCTCAATATGAATTTTCAGACATCAGACGATGCTTGTCAGTGTTTTCAGCTTCATTTGGTAGCGTGGCCACAGTTTTGACCGTGAGTCATTTTGATGTCTTTTTTTCTGAGATGAGTTGAAGGCAGGGGAAAACATGCTTTTAAAATATGACAAATCTTCATCATCCCAGATGTCCACTTAAAATATGGTGATTTGTGTTTTTGAAAGAACATCATCAAGAGATTTTCTGGGGCAGTCAAGTCTCAAAACTCCCAGATTATAACATACTTAGATTCAAAATCTCTGGCATGAGATGACAAATTTGTCCTTTTCCTGATTTCCTGTTTTTTCCTCTTCTCCCTCTTTTTTTCATCAGCCCTGCAGCTCATACAGCAACACTCTGAAGTGGTACATCAGAGAAATTCAGGTATTTACTGTTCTCTCTGGATTATGGGGGTATAAACCAATGAACATTTTATATGGGCTGTTTAAAGACGATTATGCTGCAATATGGTATCTCAGTGTCATATGAGGTAAAGTTTAAAGGTGATAACTAATAACTTTACAAATTCCTCTCAAATATCATTAAATAAATTACCTTGCTTGAGCTGATTTTCCATATCTGGATGTGAAAATCAGGCATCCTTACAGAGTACCTTTATAGTGTAATTGCACGGTCTCACTTTCAGACCAAACATATGCTTTCATATGGACAATGAAGGGACAGATCAGAAGAAGAGGAAGACTGGAAAAAGAGTGAAATTACTTAATATGAATATCTCAGACTGAAATTTCTAACAAACTCTCCAAACTCCTGGACATTTGCCTGGACATAACACACAATATAGCACATCCTAAACAGACAGTGAATACTGGAGCTGCCGTGCTTGACTGAAGGCAGAAGAGTAATCAAACAGTGCGCTAAAACCCCATGATCAGCTGCCCTCCGGCCGCAGCTCAGAGTGAGAATTTAGCCGTGCATTCTGTTATGTGATTAAAGTTCTTCCCCTCTCATATTTACAGGACATTATGTAATCTCCACACACAGATTCATCAACAGTTTGGAAGGGAAAAAAGGTTAGTTTACGTCCATTTTAAGTTTGAACCCACAGAACGTCACTGAGTTTTTTTTTTAAAGGCTTAACTGCTCATACTCAAAAAAGAGCATATGAGCATATATACTTTAAAGCAACTTCTTCACCTGTTAAAAACGTTCACAGAATATGTGAATAATTAGTAGCAGGCCAAAGATACTTTAAAAAAAAAACATTTTATGTAAAAACAGTGTTTTTAAAGGATTATGGACAGTGTGTAATCTGGATTAATGATGTACTGTATACGTCATTGGCCTTCATAGAACTGCTTGTTTTGGCTCATTTGAACTATGCATACTAATCCATGACCCGAAATGTGTTTAATTTACACTCATCATGCAGCGGCTCTCAGCAACTACCAGACATTGCTTTAAGAATGTATTTAAAGAAAATAAACTTGTCTTTCAGCATCAGAGCTATAATGATTTCTCATTTTTAGCAAGTATTTCACTTGCAAAGGTGCAGAAGTTCTAACAAAACCAAATTTGTGATATTTTAGAATGTGGGTCACTACTAAAAAGAATAGAATAGAATAGAATAGAATAGAATAGAATCTCATAAATGATCAATTTACGTTTATGGAGGGCCTGAAACACTTACTAAAATGGGACAATCATGTTCTATGTAATTTTACAACTGATTTGGCTGGTTGCTATCCTCAGCAGGCTTCATTAATAAAATGATGTAATTAATGTAATTATGAAGATGGATGGTGTAATCCTTTGTTTACAAATGGTTCAGACAAGGATTATATCTTTTTAATCAATCTATGCATGTTTTAGTTTTGGAATGCTGAATTTTCTACCTCTAATGCCATGTATTCGGTAAGCAGCTTGTATATTATAGTGATAGCTTGACAGATCATTGTCTTTAAATACTATAGCTGAAATATATTCTATAATATAAATACTTAACCCCTTAAACATTAGGCTTATTATTCAGTTTGTAAGCCTTTTTATTCAGTAATTACTATGAATTATTCTGCAACTGCTATGTAACCAATCTGTAAGTTAGGCAGTTGTGAGAGTGAAATATGAATCATACTGAAATATGAGCCCACTTACAGACCCTTAAGGCTTAGAGGGTTAACAGTAATATTAAGAAGCTCAACACAAACAAAGAACAATAAATTATAAATAAATGCTTTCTCAGCTTTGAAGTCCTAGAATAATGACCTCTGAATAAATGTCAGTGAGAGAAATTTGCATCCTGAAATACTTAAATGTAAATATACGTCAATTTGAATTTACATGTAGTAAAATTACAAGGTATATACTGTACATAGTGTTCATTTGTGTAACGTTTTGATTGGCTTATCTATACATCATATACAGGAATCAGGAATAAAAACTTTGACTTCTTCAAAGTAGTGTGATTCTGCATCAGATCTGGAAAAAATAGAAGAAATGCCGAGAGCCAGTCCAGTTAGAAGGAAGGTTGAACTGTATCTGCGGGGGGTTGAACTGTGACGCATTTCCCTGCCTTCTCACCTCCCAGCCCAAGGACCAGATAGAGAATTAAAACCATATTATATCCAGTGAATCAAAAGACTGCCAAGACAGACTGTAGGATAAAGGATTAGCATCAGAGTGAGAGGGGGGGGAGAGAGCAGCAGTAGCTTTGGCTGTACATCAACAGTTGTTATTACATATCCTTTTTTAGTTTGTGACGCAATAGTTTATATAAAAACTCACTATTATTCAACATATTACCATATGACACGATGATGTTTTTTTTTTCTTTTTGGTCAGCGTAGCCTAGTTACATCTGCACTGTTATAAGTGACATTACAGCCTGAAGAGTGAACCTTGCAGGACATGAGAGACTGTAGCACTGCACACCTACAAAAACATAAAATTATCAGAGAACATGAGATCTGTTGGGGAAATGATGTATGAACCACATGTTTTACATTCTCACATTTCAGGTCACCCCCAAGAACACAGAACATCTCTGACACAGACTGTCTAAATACTAAACAAATATGTGAATTACAAATTTATCACACTGCCTTTGTTAACACACTGGTGTTAAAATAACATAAAAAAATAACACAACATTCAGTTTTTATAACTCTGTTGTTACAAAATCCCTGTTTGTGAATTTAGAGCAGTGTTTACCAATCCAGTCCTTGGAGACCCAGACAGTCCGCCTATTTGTTCCAGCTGACCCCACTGAGCCTGAATCATGCAATCAAGAAGACTGAGCACCGATTGTGCAGGACTGAAGAGAAATGGTGGACTGCTGAACTTCCCTGAGGACTGATTTGAAATGCACAGGTTTAAATACTGACTGCACTTTTAGGGACATCTGCTGGTAGAGATGAATGATTTTTACATTTTTTCCCCACCAAATTCCACTTGTATATTGGCTTTTAAAGGAATCATTTGGCCAAAAATGTAAATGTGTACCTTTTTGTCCCTTACCTCAAATGTAGCTAATCAACCAAAACATGTCTGATGTCCAAAGTTTGCTTCTTTAGTAATAGCATAAATAAAAGTAATGTAATGAAAGTCATAGACTCCCATTATTTGCTACACTCTCAGAAAAAAAAGGTATGCATCTGTCACTGGGGTGGTACCCCTCTTGATAAATTTCCATTAGCAAATGGTACCTTCAGTACCTTTACATACGGAATATAATTATTGCACTACATTTCATTGCAGTTTTATTTTTTAAGTTGTGTTGGCTCCACACACCCTGTCTTGACTCCAGGCTTTTTATTTCATTGTTCTGTTTTAAAACATTAGGTTATCAAAAGATACAAATATATACCCTTCCCCTGGAGAAAACTTGCTTGAGGTGGATCCTAAAACCACTGTTGTACTTTTCAGGGTCATTTACATTGCTTGTACCTTAAATTACTGTACCTGCACAGTACCCCTTTTTCTGACTGTGTAGCTACATTAGCCTTGGAGCTTCTGTGCAAAATAACACTACTTTATGAAATGATACTACAAGAACTTTAAATCTAAATGTTTCAGTTCAAAACACTTTTGTGTAACGACATTTAAACATATCACAGTGTTTAGTTGAGCTGTTCAAATTCACTGCACCATCAAATAAACACCACATGACAGTTTTGGAAAATAAGTTCTCTTTTTTAACACTGGGCTTTATCTGACATGTATATGGCATAACGTGGATCTACAGTGTAGGAAACTGCCTTTATATCTTACATTTTGTATAGTACACAGCATTTGGTTGTAATATGTTAATTTTTTATGTGTTCAAATTCAGCTTGCCATTTTGCATATGAACTGTTTCTGTTGAGGTTACTTATTGTTATCAGATGCGAAACAAACATTTTAAGCGAGTATTTTAAAAAAACCTGCGGCTCCACAATGAGTCAAAATAGCTTTCTACATACAGCTACCTTAACCCTTTAATGTCCTTACCAAGAAAAAAATCAATAGGATTTTATATTTTGTATTTTTTATTTATTTGGGACAATAATAAAAACAATTGGTGGGTTTTTTTTTTTTTGACCCCACAATTTTTTGAATATTCAGGTCTACCAAACGGTCGAGATGGCACTTTGTGGCATATATAGTGACTCAAAATGTGCTCTACCAAATGGTTAAGCAAAACATTAAAGGGTTAATATCGCTCAATCCAGATATTGCGGTACATTCCATATACACCGCTAGATGTCAGCATTGTTCTTTTAAAACAAAGAGAGGCTGCCTCGTTAATGTAAACCATTCTCACAGGAGATGGCGCCAAAACCCAGCGGTCGATCCTCCACACAGCAAATCCCAGTGATCCAAAGATCACATTCAGGGCTGGGGTGTAATTATATACTGTACACTTTTATTCAGTGATCAAAGAGAAACCTTTATTTTAAAATGACACATTCTATGGCGGTGAATTATTAGAAAACTACACGTTGTCGGTTAAACATAGCAGCAGAACGTAGCAGAATGCTGAAATACCTTATGGAGACGGGGAGCTGTCCACTTCACGGTGGTGCTGAAGTTCAACTATATATTTACTATCCGTCAACATCAAAACACTACGGAAATATGTACGTACGAGTGGAATTTGCATAAATCCGTCAAGTTTATACTCTGGCATGCTGTATAAGTCCGCTCATCACTGATTTATCCTTATTTGGAACAATATTGTTCCATAGTGAGAACATCATTTAATGACATGATCATTACATATCAATTATTTTCATTGTTCATATGAAATGCAAAACAGTAATAAAGTAATCTGTCATTTAAAGAACCATCCATATTTTTTGTTTTGATGGGTGTCAATCAGTGGAGCGTGTAGAAGGTACATTTTCTGCATTGCTTTAAATGTTTGATTCAAAAAATGACCCTGTAATGATGGAATAATTATTTAAAATGTAAGGTACTAGTTCTTAAGAGTAGGTATAGTACAGAGATAGTACATAAACTAGCAAAAACTATCCAGTAGGCCTACTACCAAGTCCCTTTAAAGAGGGACTTTTCACCAGCATTAACAACAGTTTAAAAACTTAAAATTTAAAAAACTTTAATTCCTAAAAACTATAATGTGATTTACCGAGTAATTAGCAACGAAAAAAAAAAGATTACCATAACTTTGAATTTGAATCTAAATGAAAGAATATATATATATATATATATATATATATATATATATATATATATATATATATATATATCATATATATATATATGTGTGTGTGTGTGTGTGTGTGTGTGTGTATAACTCTAATAACTCTAAAACAGCTCTTCTGGGATTCTGATGGGAGTCATAATGTTCCTCTCAGCTCTTGAGGAATTATTTCTAAGAATGAAGGAACATTTAGACCAGACTAGCCTCTGAAGTCACCGAGTGCGTCTTTAATTGAATGCGCTGCCGTGTTAAATTTGCTTAATAAATGCGGCTGGTTGGGGAACCACTGGGGGGCAAGCAAGCAGTGCGTCACATCCCTGGGAAAAAAAGAGGCGAGATTTCAATGGAATCAACAAACATGCGCGTGTGTCCCCCTAGCAGTGGCCACAGTCCCGAGTCTGCTGGACTGAGATGATGACATGCTTTGTAGCGTTACAGGTGAATGAATCTGCTCATGTGAGCGCTCTTACCTTGTCGGGTTTGTGTGGCCACGCTCTCTAAAAAGACATCTCAGACCATGGAGGACGAGCAGGTGCATTTCTAAACCTGAGCGCGAGTTTGCGACTTCTCTTCGCCACCTGCACGACGGCGCGCGATACAATGAAACAGCTCCGGCCGTCAGCGATAAAACGCGCCCAAATCACGAGAGCGGAAAAGCGCGAGCAATGAAGGACTGCAGCATGCGAAGGTAAAGCAGGAAAAGTTCGTCATCTAACCGAGGCTCTCTCGTTCAGTGAGTAACCAGGCGGAGAACCAATGCGCACAGGCAGCCCACTTTCTGCGGGAGCATAGCACAGTGTAGAAAAGAGTTTAAGCGCTTAGTGTGAAAGAAGGAAAAGTGTAAATCATGGCTACAGAGGGATCCAGCGGCTTGGCGCAGTCTGCCGCGGTTAAACTGTCAGAGATGGGCGAAAGAACTAAACAGTTAGGCACGGCTATCCAGGACCCTGAGCGACAAAGGAGGATCATTCTAGTGATTGTCTGTGTGGCACTTCTGTTAGATAATATGCTTTACATGGTGATCGTCCCTATTGTACCAGACTATTTAGCCCGTCTAGAAAGTCAGTCCGAGCAGTCCCACGACGTGGCACACGCCAATTCCTCAGACAACAGCACGCAAAGCCGGGTCCAAGTGGAGAACTTTGATTTGCAGATCGGTGTCCTTTTTGCATCCAAAGCCATTCTACAACTCGTGGTCAATCCTTTGACAGGGACCTTCATAGACCGCGTCGGATACGATATTCCACTTTTAATCGGACTTTCCATCATGTTTGCGTCCACCTGCATTTTTGCCTTCGCTGAAAACTACGCGACCATGTTCGTGGCGCGCAGTCTCCAAGGGCTCGGCTCAGCCTTCGCGGACACGTCTGGGATTGCTATGATAGCAGATAAGTACACGGAGGAGGCAGAGAGAAGTCGAGCCCTGGGCATCGCCTTGGCTTTCATCTCCTTTGGCAGCCTGGCGGCGCCCCCCTTTGGCGGGGTGCTATACGAGTTCGCGGGCAAACGGGTCCCGTTCATCGCGCTCGCCTGCGTGTGCTTAGCCGACGGTATACTGTGTCTGACTGTGCTCAAGCCATTCTCCAGCAGGACTAGAGAGAACATGCCAGTTGGCACCCCAATTTACAAACTCATGATAGACCCCTACATAGCCGTAGTGGCGGGTGCTTTGACGACGTGTAACATACCCCTCGCTTTTCTGGAGCCCACCATTGCGAACTGGATGGAGGAGACCATGGACTCTTCCCAGTGGGAGATTGGCCTAACCTGGCTGCCAGCTTTCTTCCCTCACATTTTAGGGGTCTACATCACTGTGAAACTGGCGGCCCAGTATCCTCATTTACAGTGGTTCTACGGGGCTCTTGGCATGGTCATAATCGGGGCCAGCTCTTGCACTGTGCCAGCATGTAAAAACTTCGAGCAGCTCATCATCCCCTTATGTGGCATCTGCTTCGGCATTGCACTAGTGGACACAGCTCTGTTACCCACCCTTGCGTTTCTGGTCGATGTGCGCCACGTGTCTGTGTACGGCAGCGTGTACGCCATTGCGGACATTTCCTACTGCGTCGCCTATGCACTGGGCCCCATCGTAGCCGGAAAGATAGTGCATGACCTCGGCTTTGTGCAGCTCAACCTGGGAATGGGCCTCGCCAACGTGCTTTACGCACCGGCGCTGCTCCTATTGCGCAACGTGTGCCTAATGAAGCCGTCCCATTCTGAAAGAAACATGCTGCTGGAAGAGGGGGCTACAGGTCTCTACGACACGATCAGGATGGAGGAGCGCCGAGCCAGAAAACACGGGTACAGCACCGCGGGAAACTGCCTGCCTGTGGACGAGAACGGCACGTTTGCTGGAAACCCGAGGTCATACTCTGAAGAGGAAACGTCCGAACCGGAATACATCTAAACTCACACCTCCACTGTTTAATGTTGGGCAGATTTCCTGGACACAGATTAAGGCTAAACACGATGTTTGAATGGAGAATCCTTACTGGCAGTGAAATCTGCATCAAAGAGTGTCGACTTAAACTGTGTCTGGGAAAACTTTTAAAGCCTTCAATGTTGTAGCCTAGCCGTAGAATTGCAATCCTTTCAGACTGGTGGAAAATGTACAACCTACACTTAGAAGGTATATGATGTATAAGTGTAAGTCATGACTGTAAGTCTCATCACAATTAAACTATTCGACATGTTCTTTTTTCTGAAGCTGACTACCGGTTTTAATCATATTTGTGATCAGTTTTTTTAGTAGCTTAAGCAGTGTAATGAGTTACCCTTAATGAAACACATCTGTATCGTATCAGTGTTATAAAAATGCATTCAGGGATATAAATACGGTGTAAATGCGCACGAAAATGTGCGCCAGAGTTTCAAGTAGGCTTAAGCTACTGCTGTTCTGCCAGATTTTGTGCTGCTATAACTAATATGCAATGTCACTTGACACTTTCATGGGTTTAAATGATGGGTCTCGTGTGTGTAGCCTTTCCTGCGTCTCCACTGTCTGTATCATGCAGCCTGTTCTATTGTTAGAGTTTATTTCTGGAATGCGTCTGTGTATATTATGAAACATAAATTGTATATAATGTGTATATCAGGTGTACATAATTAAAAGATGATGCTGGGGACAACCTTTCCTTGCACTCTCATGTGTGCGGCTGTTTTCTTTCGTTTCGTCATATTAATTATTACAGTCATTCTTTTTGAGCAGGACGCTGCCAGTTATCCTTCACTGGAAAGAGTCGAAATATTGGTCTGAATAATACAGAACGAACTTTTGCTATCCACACAAATATCACTGTTCTTCGAAGTAGCTTTTAAAATACATAAAGAGATGTAACACATGCACAAATGAACAACACATTTTATAAATTATATTAGAAAAAAAGCACAACATTAATAAAGTATTATATGATGTAGCCTTCATGCAGCCTTTAGGAACTTTAAGAGAATGAATATCGTTGAGTTTACAGTGCTACAGCGTTCCCCACTCTTAGTATACGTACAAAAGCAGGCCCACAATCCGAAAGATTGTTTAGGGAAGATTAAGTGGGAGAAAAAAAATGTACATAAATCTTTCAATTGATGAAATCAATTGGAAAGCGCTCACTCTCTGGGTAATGGCCCGGAGTGATGACCAGAGGCGCGCTGAGGGAGAACAGTAAGAGCATGACCTACAGCCTCATCATGGTGTTTGAGGCTCTGTTCCTCTATAAGACACGTCAAAAGGTGTAAACTTTGCTCAGAGACGAAGTGTCCAGTCGCTATGAGGTGGGGCTGGAGAGGTAAAGATGCCTCATAACGCAGCCTGGTCCACGAATGGAGCGCGATGGGAGGAGCTTTGCCTCCCACCTTGCAGCTTTTTACGAAGCTAAGTGGGGAACTCATGGTTTGCAATGGAGAGCATGCAGTCTTCTGGAGAAGGGACTGGGCTTTTCAATAACACCACTTTTCTTTCTACGAGACCGCTTTAGAGAGGAAATGAATCTGGATAAACTTGATTAGGGATCTCCAAGAAACAACACTATCTGGTAAGTACACTAAAAAGTTTACAGCATCTTTATAGGCTTTTTTTGTCTACTGTCAACTGTGCAGTAACGCTTCAGGGGAGATTTCTCAGGCTGTTTATATAGCTAATTTGTATCGGGTTGTACTGTGTATCAACCGATTTAACATAATTGGTGTTTATAGTGCAATAAGCTATTTTTAAGCATCTGCAATGGGACGTATAGTTTAACCTAAGGCAAAATGACTAGTGAAAAGACAGTTTTTTGTAGAGAAATCTCAAAACAGGGCTTAATTTCTCCTCGATTATGTCCACTAAAAGCTGCAGGACAAGCTGCGCAATTCTCTCTCGCCTGACTGAGCGCCGCAACTTTGAGGATGCCGGTTTTGGAAGGGAAACCATCAGAAGACCAAGACGATCAAAGTGTAAAGTGCATATTTTACTCTTTTTATTATTCCCAAAGAGCTTCTACGGTTAAAAACAATTCTGTTTGGAATGGGTAGCGTAACTCACAGTGAGCTTTTGCTTCTACATTTGTTCAAATTGCGTCTAACTGAACTGTAGACCTCTGCACTGCTATGAATCGTACTCTGTCAGTGTGTTCAAGTTTGATGGAGCTGTGTACATAACGAGTACAAGGTAAAAGAAATTCTAATCTCAGTTACTGGGCTTTTCTCTAACGTTGCCAACCTATAACAAAAATGTCCTAAATTAATTCTTAATATGACCCGAAGCAGTTCCAGCATGAAAGATTTACCACATGCCTTCAATACTCCCTAAATGGCAAATTACAATTACAAACACAAATGGGGTTATAAGCGAATGGCATGGGAGCATAGAGGAGGAAAGCTATTGAATTATATGTTTCCCCAATGTGTTGAAACAGAAATGAATGATTCAGTGCTCTCAATAAGGCTCTGGTCTCATCCATTCAGGGCCTGCCCAAACTGCCAGTCCCACCCTTACAGCAGACACTGGACATGTATCTGAATTGTATGAGACACCTGGTGCCTGAAGAGCAGTTCAGAAGGACCAAGACCATCACAGAGAAGTTTCAAGAACCTGGAGGGCTGGGAGAGCTACTTCAGAAAAAGCTGTTGGAAAGGAAAGAGCTTAAAGCAAACTGGGTAAGGCCCCTGGAGCTCTTCACTTCTACTACTGAGTTAGTGTCTTTTTCTCAGTTACATGCTGTTGACTATAGTCTTAAATAAGGTGAGCCATTCTTCTGTGTTTTAATCTTTGGAGCTGTTTGTGTTGTGTCTAATGTGTTAATTATTAATGTTTTACAGACTATAGGTAGCATTAGATATCAGTATTTTTTTTTTTGAGAAATGTGTTTGTGCCCAAATGGTCATCTTTAGGCTACTACTTTTACCTTAATCTTTAATGTCTCATAAAGTTCCACTAATTACAATTATATGTATTATTTACATGTATGATATAGCTCATGAAAGCTCATGTGCAACATGGTGCAGTGTAAAGCCACAAAGTCCCTATTGGAAACTTAACCAATATACAACTTCCGTCATAACACATGAACATAAAATATTCTCATTTTCTCAGGTATACGACTACTGGCTTGAAGATATGTATTTGAATAACAGATTAGCACTACCTGTCAACTCTAGCCCTGCTATGGTCTTCCCAAAGCAGAACTTCAGGGCTCAGAGTGACGCACTCAGGTATTGGACCCTGGGGCTAGAGCTGGGAGCACTACCATCTTGATTTCAATGCTTAAGACATTCAACTCCAATGGCATTTCCAAAATCCAGTGCTAAAGGAATGGAATTGAGATGGAAATGACCCCACCTTTAGTATCTTGCACATCTTCATCTACTACACTGAATGCATCCATAGAAATTACCAGTAGAAACATGGCATGTCTGCAAAATGTCAAGAACTTCATAGGAAATGTGTAAGTCTTTGTATTGCATGTTCTTCCTCCATTGACTGTGCAGCTCCATATGTGTGGGTTGTGGAGGGGCTCATTATAATAGTCACTATTTGCAAGATATCTTAGACTGCTGATGAGTAAACATGTAAACAATATGCACATCTCTTCAACTGCCTTGAGCTGATTGACAAAATTGATGCTCCAAATGCACTAAAAAAGCTGAGCTGTTTTAAAAGGGAAGCCTGTGATTTTTCAAAATTCCTGTAGAATTAAATTGTTAAGTCATTCAGAGTGCAGATTGGTTTGGATATCTTTAAAATGGTTGTGACAGGAACTAGATGTCTACAATGTAATGTAATGTTGATAATGGTACAGTTTGCTTTACAACATCCTGCACGTACCTCCGCCATGGACAGGTTTTTTAAAACATAGTTTAGATCGAAAGCTTATCTCAAAACTATCATAAGACAAACACTGCTGTCAGAACAAAATGTATGTAATGTAAAATATCTCCATTTTTGTTGTTTTTCAGTTTTTTACATAATTTGAAAATGCCTATTGTCCTTTGTATTGTGTGTAAATTTCATGATGAATAGGCCAGAAAAAATGGCCCAAAATTACTTGGAAAAACAGTCTGGTTACACTGACTCACATTAAAAGTAAAGTATGTTTTTTTCCTTCTCCTGTAAAGTTATCATTTTGGAGATAAAAGGTTTTGTTCTGACAGCACCGTACTGCTTCAGACCTCAGGTAGCGTATTTGAACATTTTTGTGTAATAGCTTTCTGTGATGTAGCTTTTCAAGATGTTAAACTCTTTAGACATCTAGTTACCATCACAGTGAGCAATACTAACTCTACAAGTATCTCTAAAATGCCACATTTCATACCAACTTTGAGTCATGCCTTTTTTTCTACATCTTAGTGATTTAAACATTGAGAATCTTTGAAAAATCTCTGGAATTCCCCAATAACACCTTAGATTCAGTGCACCACTTACTGATTTTCTAGTCACTAAGGTTTGGCTTCACTAATGTGAGAGATAGAGGACAGGCTTTCTTAAAACTGTAAAGGTGATTAGCTACGGAAACTTCTTTTTTGGCTTATTCTCAAACATCTTTACATTTTACTTTCAGCTCTGCCATAGCAGGCCATGAGATTATGAAAGGGCAATGTGCCAGAAGTTAGGGCCTTTCTAAACAGGTGCACATTTTGGCTTATCTACTGCATTACTGACCAGTGATGTGTGATCGTAATAGTAGATTAAATAAGGCTTTTTCTTGGGCTCATAGAGGTAGGAAGGAACAGGGAACAGAGGGGGAGGAATAGCTTACTACAAAAACCTTTGTGATTGCACTGACTCACTCCAAATCCCACAGTTCCACTATACATACATTTGTTCTTTCATTACACAAAGATTATTCTGACATAGTATTTTAATATTTGGATAAAAAAATGAATGCACTTCTCTTTATTTTCTCTCCAACAGATTTGCAGCTCATCTAATTTCAGGTGTATTAGAATACAAATGTCTACTTGATGGGTAGGTTCTATTTTGTTCACTCTCTCTTGTCAATATCAAGTCTTTGATTTTATCCTGCGTGGCAAGTCCACACACACAGGGCAGTCTGTTCCATCCATTAGGGCTCCCTTGGCCCACAGTGTGAGTTCCTAATGTTGCTTCTGTTTTGCAGACATGCCCTACCAGTGGACTACGCCCGAGGGCAGTTGGCTGGGACTCCTCTGTGCATGGAACAATACTATAGGCTCTTCACCTCCTACCGTCTACCTGGACCAAAGACAGACACCCTGGTGGCCCAGAAGAGCAGTGTAATGCCAGAACCAGAACACATCATAGTGGCCTGTAAAAATCAGGTAAGGTTCCAATACGCACATGTAAAGGAATCAGGAGCTGCTTATTAATTCATTTATTTGTTAAACTAAATTAGATCTGATTTAATGAACAGTCTGAACAGTCTAAGAGAGGCTATCGCAGTGTTGATGTACAACTCTCTTGGGCATTTTATTTTCTGCTCTACAATGTAATTAATAAGCAAGGTCTTCTAACAGGTGCTCACTGTTGACTTAATGAGGCTGGCTGTGAATCATCTTTATGCTTGAGCTCTTTTTAATTATGTAAAAGACAATTGCTTTAAATGTCATAATCAAAAGTTACAGTCACTCATTAGGGAGCTGCACTTCCACTCGAAATGGCTGTCAGTGTGTAACTGTGTCATGTGCATTCTATCACTGTTACAGTATAAATGAATTAAATGATTATACCAAATGTACGCTATTATTTTTCTAGTTTTTTGTTCTTGATGTGGTGATCAACTTCCGACGGCTCAATGAGAGAGATCTGTACACTCAGCTGCAGAAGATCAGGAAGATGGCTGAGAGTGAAGAGGAGCGTCTGCCTCCTATTGGACTGCTCACCTCAGATGGCAGGACAGAGTGGGCAGAGGCTCGCAGTATCCTTGTTAAAGGTCAGACATCTATTGAGACTGAATGCACTCTTAAAAATAAGGATGCCAAAAAGCATTCTTCGGAGTGATGCCATAAAAAAGTCACACACAGAAACTTTCAGTTGATGTGACAAAAAAACAACTGAAACATCTTCATTTAAAGGTTAAGTTTAGGGAACCAAAAAAGTTTCTTACAGCATTGCTTATTTTTAAGAGTGCGTGTTCATAATTGTCTCTTCGGGAACATTGATGGACAAAGAATTCAGTTAAACTTTACAGTTTAGGTAAAAGGTTAAGTTAAAGTAATTTCTTTGGCTTCCCAACAAAATCAACAATCTAAAATAATATTTTAAAACAACATACTATTTTTTTTTTTCATTACTTCAGACTTTGTTGTAGCTGGTATACATAGTTTAGAATGGAACTGTGTTGTTCTGGAAAACAGCAAGTTAACAGGAACAACAGAAAACCTGCACTAATTGGAAACTACAAATTCCAGAATGAACCCATTAAATGGCCAGGACCTGCCGGTGGGTCCAAATTTTTATTATGCCCTTCTATAACTTAAAAGGGGAACTGTACCAATTTCTCAAGATTTCTGCATAACTCAGTGGCTGAGATATAAATACAGTCATTCAGAGAGGTCTGATGTGAAATTGTTTGTTCTAGAGCATTGAGCATTTTGCACCAAACCAGTCTGAATGACTTTGCTTAATTATGTGGAACTTTTAAGAAATTGGTGGAGTTCCCCTTCAGCCCTACTGTTATCATCACTCATCATCTAAGCCACTTATCCTCCTGGGTCATGGGGAGTGTTGGTGCCTATGTGGTGCTCACTGGGGGTAAGGCAGGAAACACCCTGGACAGGCTGCCTGTCCGTCTCACACACACACACACACACACACACACACACACACACACAATTTCATGAAACTATGAAAACCATGATACGTAATGGCTGAAAAAACTTAATTACAATAAATACTGATTAAATTGATATTAATTGAGCTAAACATAATGTTTATGGAGAGAATAATTTAGCCAGTTTATATTGTGGTCCATGAAGTTACTGAAAAATGAGTCATAGGATGTAATATACCTGAGATTTTAAGGGAACAATACTGGCTCATCAGATACCAAAGCATGCTGATCATGAGCATCTGCTGCAGATTCTACCAACAGAGATTCTCTGGATATGATCGAACGCTGTCTGTGTCTGGTGTGCTTGGATGAACCTTGTGGCTTGGACATGAGTGACACCAACCGAGCCATGATGATGCTCCACGGAGGAGGAAAGAACAAAAATGGGGCAAACCGCTGGTATGACAAGCCCATGCAGGTATAGCATTAATATAATAGTGCCAATCCAAATAAAAGATGGATGTGGGTGGATTATGTCTGCTACTGTTAAAACACCATGTCTCTCAGTTTGTGGTAGGTGCAGATGGATGCTGTGGTGTTGCCTGCGAACACTCACCTTTTGAGGGAATCGTGTTGGTGCAGTGCACAGAATATTTGCTGAAGTACATGTAAGCTATACAACAAACATCAACCTATTATTTATCTTTTATTAGGATAAATAATATTTATTATTGTATTAGGGCTGCGCAACATGATGTTTGTTAAATGTTAATCATCATCACAATATTGCAGATCAGGCTTCAAACCAATCACAGTAATCCTCTCAGCCAATCTAAGATGTTGATGAGTATTTCTGTGTGTTTATGAATCAAGATGTTAATGTAGTCCAACAAAAGTTAATTATTTTGGTAAAGTAATGGAGGTAACTGATGTGTTTTTGATAGTTTGGCCCACGCCTTCAACATATAGTTAAGGTATAAGAAGAAACTGTATGACTGTAGGGAGAGAATTCTGAGAACTTGGGCTGGAGCTCTGTGCAGCTTGTGCTTGTGCTAGAAGGCCGGACCCCCTTTGGTGAATAGAGATATGACTGACAGATAGGACTGAGTAACAGAGAGGAGACTGAGCAATGGTTAGTGTGAAAACTTTGTCACAGGAAACGGTATGTAGAGAAGGAAATTAATAGGAACGTTAGATTAGAAGGAAAAGCTTCAGGCGTGGTACTCCCAAACATTTGTAATTACATAAATCCATTTGATATATTATAATGTGTATAGCAATCAAAAATACATCCATGTGATCACAACACTAGAGTTCCTATTGTGCAGCCCTAAACTACATATACCAATCAGCCATAACATTAAAACCACCTTCTTGTTTCTACACTCATTGTCCATTTTATCAGCTCCACTTACCATACAGGAACACATCATAGTTCTACAATTACAGACTGTAGTCCATCTGTTTCTCTGCATACGTTGTTAGCCCCTTTTCACCTTGTTCTTCAATGGTCAGGACCCCCAGAGGACCACCACAGAGCAGGTATTATTTGGGTAGTGGATTATTCTCAGCACTGCAGTAACGTGGTGGTGTGTTAGTGTGTGTTGCGCTGATATGAGTGGATCAGTTACAACAGTACTGCTGGAGTTTTTACACAGCTCAGTGTCTGTGCCTGACTGGAAACAGTCCAACAACCAAAAATATCCAGCCAACAGCGTCCTGTGGGCAGCTTCCTGTTACCACTGATGAAGGACTAGAAGATGACTGATACAAACTGTGCAGCAACAGATGAGTTATCATGTCTGACTTTACGTCTACAAGGTGGACCAACAAGGACAGAGTGTCTAAAAGAGTGGTCAGTGAGTGGACACAGTGTTTAAACACTCCAGCCACTCGTGCCAACACAACACGTCAGTGTCACTGCAGTGCTGAGAATGAATCACCATCTAAATAATACCTGCTTCGTGGTGGTCCTGTAGGGGTCTTGACCACTGAAGAACAGGGTAAAAAGATGCTAACAAAGTATGCAGAGAAACAGATAGACTACAAAGAACTACAAAGTGCCCCTATAGGGTAAAAAGCTGATAAATGGACAATTAGTGTAGAAGGAGAAGGAGGTGGCTTTAATGTTATGGCTGATCACTGTATATGTTTTGTTTGATGTCTGTCAACAACAAAAAGTCATCTAGCATTCAGTTAATATAGAAATGTGTATTTCTTGTCATGAAACACACTCTCATACAGCCAGAGGTGGAAATACTTGAGTAATTGTCCTTTGTTATTATGCTTAGGAATTATTTGGAAGATTTGTAATTTCAGTATGACTGAAACTGAACATTTGTACTTTTACTCAACTACATTTCCATTTTTACTTTTCACTCCTTATATTTTACTTAGACCTTCAAAGTACTTACAAATCTCAAAGGCCAGAGATTTTTCTCTTTTTTTTTAATCTTGAGTTATCATACATTTGATTTTATGTTTTTTTATTAAAACATTCAATAAAATTCATATCACTGTAAAACAAAACAGCCCACAACTATGCTAAATTGTCATTGTGTGAGGACTAGTAATGCTGATAATTCGCCCAGCAAACCATTACATCACACACCATCAAACAAAGAAAACTTTAAATTTAACTAACTTTAACTAATTTATTTGTTAAAACATTAACTTTTTTACCTTTTCTATTTTTAGATACTTCAGTGTGTTTCATGTAGATATTTACTACTTACTACTTTACTTTGAGTTAAGTATATATTTGGCTTCATACTTCCATGAGTCAGAATTTTACACAGTACCCATACTTTCACTTACTTTTTCCACGTCTGTTTATTGCCCATAATCAGCATCCGCATACTGAGATTTTAATGTCCATTTCTCAAATAACATGTACTGCACTTATCATTCTCACTCTTATCAGCACTTATCACTCTCATGCATAGGTGTGAGGAGTCCAGCTACTTTTCATTTTCATTCTATTCCAGCTCCAGACACACCTGAGTCAGTAATGAAGTAATGAAGGGCTTTCCCTGGCAGCCTGAAATAAGAAAATGTTCCCTGAAGACCCGGAAAGACAGAACAACTGCCAAGTCATAGATAATGAGTTATTCCAAAATCTAGAGCTAATGTATTCAATTCATTGTCTCTCAGGTGAGATGGTGGAGAATTCCACCCTCCAATTAACTTAAAGTAAAGTGTCATCAGTTACACACGGTCTTCAACTGACTACTTCAGTTAACCAGGAAAAAGGCCCAGATTTGTATTTGAGTACCAGGCTTAAGGTTAAGTTTCTTTCTTTGTGCAAATAAATGGCATGCAAGTAATTAAGAGAGGATAAAGAAAATTGCTATGTGTGTGTACCACTCTTAGGATAGGCAGCCCTTCCAAGCTGGTGAGGGCAGCCAGTGTGAGTGAGCTGCCAGCCCCAAGGCGTCTTCGCTGGAAATGCTCGCCAGAAATCCAAGCATGTCTCACCACCTCGGCAGACAAATTACAGAGGCAAGCCAATGGAATACTTATTTCTGTTGAACAGTATAGTCGATACACATGTGCAGTGGTATATTCACAGAATCTGATTTATCTAAATGTGTGTCCATTGTATTTAGGCTTGTTGAAAATCTGGACATGAACGTCTACAATTTCTGCGGCTACGGCAAAGAGTTCATCAAGAAACAGAAAATGAGTCCTGATGCTTATGTGCAAGTAGCTCTGCAGTTTGCATTTTATAAGTAGGTTTGCTGTTTTCTTCCTTGTGGTCTATGGATAATACTTACAACACCAGCACGTTACATGTAAAACACTGTTTTTCTATTTTATGCTCAGATGTCATGGAAGACCTGTGCCAACTTATGAGAGCGCATCAATCCGCCGCTTCCAACATGGTCGAGTGGACAACATTCGCTCTTCTACGGCTGAGGCCTTGGCATTTGTGAAAGCTATGACTGATAAAAAGTCTAGTCTGACGGTATATCACAGTTGTTCACATAACATAAAATTGTTCTCAAAGCAACTATAAGCTTGGATCATTTAAAGTACTTACTGCAGTAAGACTGATAGCTTATTTAAATGCTTTGTCTCATGTGACTGTATTCTATTTGTCTAGGATGCTGAGAAGATGGAAAAGTTATGGGATGCTATTAAGGCGCAAACCAATTATACGATCTTGGTAAATAAAACTGAGGCTGCCTCTGCACAAATACCTTTTTCTGCTAAGTGCATTCATACATCATCTTATGATAATATGTCTCAATATAACTCTCTGCTTCACAATAAAATATTGCTTGTGCATGGAAAAAAATACTCTGATTTAACAGGCTATCACAGGGATGGCAATAGACAATCACTTACTTGGACTGCGAGAGATAGCTAAGGAGCTCAACTTGGAGAAGCCAGAGATTTTCACAGATGAGACCTACATCATCAGCAACCAGTTCATCCTCTCCACGAGTCAGGTACATCAAAAAGCTGCAAATAAATAAGGGAAGCTTTGAAAAATATTGGGTTTTGCTGACAATAAATATGCATATCTATCATCGAAACCAGCAAATAACAAAACAGGATCTTATTCTGAAGATCCATGCAAAACAGTTCTTTATAATTCTACCTACATACTTAAAAATATGGTTCTTCAAGGGTTCTTTAGTAAAGAAAATGGTTCTAAATAGAACCATGAACACTCAAAGAACTCTTTGCATGATTAAATCGTTTTTTCCTTTGTGAAAGCGTTCTTCAAATCGAAGAATAATGTGCGGCAGATGGTTCTATGTAGAACCTTTTTAAAAAGGGTTCTATATAGCACCAAAAAGGGTTCTTTTATTGTAAAAAGCTTGACATCGTAAAAATAGAACAACCCTTTTTGGTGCTATAAATAGCCCTTTTCATAAAGATTCTATATAGGACCATCTACAGCACATTCTCCATCAATTTGAAGAAGAACGATTTTATGATGCAAAGAACCCTTTAATCATTCAAAGGTTCTTTGAGTGTTCATGGTTCTATTTAGAACCATTTTCTTTACTACACGCTTAAAATTATGGTTCTTTAAGGGTTCTTTGGTAAATAATTACAGATATAAAACACACTCTCCATTAATCTGAATAACATTTTCCCTATGCAACGAGCCCTTTAATCATGCAAATGGTTCTTTGAGTGTTCATGGTTCTATATAGACCTGTTTTCTATACTAAAGAACCCTTATGAAGAACTATCTTTTTTTAGTGTGTAAAGAACACTTAAAGTACCACCATTTTTAAGAGAGTACATTAGACAATGTCCAGCACCAGGTACAATCCAACAGTGTCATCTTTGCATGTAGGTTCCAACAACCGTGGAGATGTTTTGCTGCTATGGTCCTGTGGTCCCGAATGGCTATGGAGCATGCTACAATCCCCAGTCGGGCCACATCATTTTCTGTGTGTCCAGTTTCCGTGACAGCTCTGAGACCTCTTCAGATATGTTTGTGAAAGCTCTGGTGGAATGCCTGGGGGAAATGCAGGATCTATGCCAAATATGCAACACTCAAGCCAAACCGTGTAACTCCACAGAGAGGACAGAGGATGCCTCCAAGGCAGTGAAGAATGGTAGAAAGACATAACACACCTGAGAAGCAGGAGACCATCTGGGGTTTCTAACATCACCTGCATTAATCTTTTGTACAATGGGGTGCGCTGTGTATTTTAAATATTGTGTCCAAACATTGGTTTGTGGGTGTATCAAATATAACTACAAGTAATATCTGTCTTTTTATAAAGGAGATGTTGACTGTGTGGACTAACAGGTTGAATATCGTGGCAACAAAAAGGAAAGCTGTAGGTTTCCAAAGAAAATCCTAAAACTGAATATTGAGCAAAGGCCTTCAGACAACAACGCTGCAAAACTGCACACACTAATACTCACCTAATGTATGTCTATGTCGTCTATGCTCACTTTTGTTTCTGAAACACCTGATTGAAAAGCTTTATCGGGTGTCAAATCATCAGTTAAGACTAAGATGAATGTATTAATAACTATGTGAACAGTGAGTGAAAATCTTTCAAGTTCAGCTCAGTGCAAGTGCTAAAATCCTACATTTTAGCACTTGCCAGGTTGCCACTATTCAAAATGTATCTGTACTGCCAAAGGAGTGTGCTTTAAGATTGTCATGTAACACTAACTTGAGTCTAAATATTGTAGTACGTATTGTGTTGGAGATCTAAAAACACTAATGTCAAAAGGGACAAATCCTGTCTAGCACAAGCTAGTAGAACATGCATCAATGTTCTGCATGTATTCACCGTGTATCAGTGGGGAAACTGTGAATGTTTGGTTTGTATGGTTGTTTTAAGGGTTATGTTTTTTTCCTATGCAATATCAAAGTGTAACTTCAAACATTGTTAATTAGTTAACTGTACTTCTAAATACAGTGTTAAACTATATATAACTACTTATAAGATATTTACTGGGAGGCCAAGCTGCACCATGTGCATCCACGAAAAGGATGAAATTAGAAGACAGCAATACTTATTTTTTAATCAAACTAATTAGATATATATTATATAAAGTCATACATTCATTTACAGTTTCCTGAAAATGTATTTGCAATAATGTAAATGTTTGAGTGTTATTTATGTATTTATGTATTAAATGTTGTTACTTTAAATAATAAGCAACATAAACAGAACTTCATAATACAAAAAACTATATGAAGTTAAACATATCCAGTGTCTAGTCTTAAGCTTCTTGAGCACTTTATTTATACTATAAAAGCATTATTTCTACAGACTTATTTACCAAACCTGTTGCTTGAACTTTTCTGTTTCTGTTTCAAACTAAAATAATTATGTTTCTATTTTTATGTTTTCATAAATAAATATAATCTATCAATAAATGTTATAAAGGTATGTATTTTAACAAAGTCATAAAATTCAGATAAAGAGGGGACCTAAAAGGGCTCTGAAGCATATTTTATTTATTTATGTATTTATTAATTAATTTATTTATTTGTTTGTTTTATTTCAGGATATTTTTAACCTAAACTATGCTTAACGGAAAATTAAAGGTTTAAATACTTGTAGGCGTTTCTGTTTTGCACAACAGTGAAAATGGAGTAAAACCAAACAAATTCTATTTATATATATTATTGTTAGCCCCCTTTTACCCTGGCAGTAAAGAATGAGGTAAAGCAGTAATAAAACTCAAATGTGAATATACAGTGTAAAAAGTGTACTATATGCAGAATAAATGTAAGAGACCACATGTGGGTAAAATGGTTTGCAGTGAACTATAAATATATATAAGCTACTACACACCAAAGTTTAGTGCCCCACATTAATTCATCCCAATTAGCTACACAGCAGCATGAAAATATCACGACAAGTCATTAAAACCGTTAAAAAAGGTTATAATGCCATGTAGGTACGCTACTGTGACGTAGAGCCATTCGGATTTTCCTCATCTTACAGCAGACTTTCTACATCTAATTTTAGCTGCAGGGTCACAGTCTCTTGATTAGCTACTTACTCTGCGTCCTGAAACATGCTCCGCTGAATGGCCCTGACTTTCTCTTCGCTGGTTAGTTTTGAGGACCGCCTTCCTGAAGTCTCGTGACTCACAGCTGTTGCTAGGGAAACAGAACACAGGCCACGCGGCACGGATTCTGGGAAGACTCCTCGTCAACACAGGGAGCGGTTGGCTGAAGTTTTGTGGTCGGTTAATTAGTGAGTTCCAGCACAGGAATCTCAGATTATGCCTGAGACTTCACTGGTCATTATTCGATACGGTCCTTACGAATCGTGTGGTGTTGTTGACCACAGGACGTTCCGCCTGGAAGGTCTCCAAGGTGACACTCTTCATTTGGATGCTGGCCAGTGCGCTGTTAAACTAGACTGTTCTTTAGACTGGCGGGCTTTACTTTGTGGAAATTTTATCATATTAACTTTGGTTTTGTTACGTACGTCGCTGCCTGAAGGGTCACGTGAAGTGTTTGTGTTTTTGCTCTCTCTCCTTTAGCGGTACTGAAAGACTGCGGCCACTCTTATGCTCTAGAGAAAATACCTGATTGGAACCGGGTGGAGCTCGTGGTCAACGGAGAATGCGTTTATAAATGCCACATCAATGACCTAGAATTTGGTAATAATTCTTCTTCCAGCGAAATATTTCATAGCAATCTTTTAAAAATAAGAAATTCACTGTTGAATTAAAATGGGTTGGGATCCAGAGCTTTATTCAAACTGCTGTAGCATACATTTTTTATTCCAGTATTCATGCAGTTGATATACACATCAGGACTGTTGGTAGAAAAAAGTATGCACTATTCTAAAAACAGTAATAGCACTTTTGTGGAAAACATCTGTCTATAGAGAAGGCATATTTCTTTATGGCTCCATGCTTCAGTGGACTTCAGGTATTAAACCACTTACACCTTACCATAGAGGTGTCTACAGATGGGTGACAAATTAAAGGCAAACCTGAAAAGTTCAGATGCTTCCAAACAAGTGCACTACATGATACAGTCAATAACTGTTATGCTCTGTGGCATGTGTAAAAATGATGAGAAGGTCGTTGACATCTGATTTGGATAAAGATGGCAGGAGGAAAAGATCTGTGACTTTGAAAGAGGGCACTGATAGCAAGAGCTTCTGTCACAAAGACTGCTCAGCTGGCGAGTTTCGACAGGAACAGTAACTAAAGTGGCATCTGCACTTAGATCTATGAAAAAGACAACCATAAATAGGCTTGGAAATTGTGGTCAAACGTGCATTCATTGACCGTGTTGTTTGTGCATTAGTGTAATATGTAGGAAGAACACAGAACAGAAGTGGTGCAAAAGTCACAGGCACTCTTCTACACAGTTGTGGAAAAAAGTGATACGGTCAGATGAGTCGTCCTATGCCATATTCTCCACAGGTGGGCGAGTGCATGTGGGGCATACACCAGACCAGTATGGACCCAAATGCTTGACCCATACAGTGAGGGGATCTGGTGACTCTGTTGTGCTGTGAGGGGATTTTGCTAACTGATCACCTTGATCCTATGATCAAGAAACATTTCTATCTTGATGGAAGTGGTCTGTTCCAGGATAACAATGCCCCCATCCACAGGTCATGAGGGGGCAGTGAATGGCTTGATAAGTATGAAAATGATGTGGACAGACATATTAGACAATGCTCTCCACCACCATCATAAAAACACTGATTGAGGAAATACCTTTTGGATGAATGGTTTTCCATCCCTCCACTACAGTTCCAGAGAATCTATGTAGAATCTTGTAGAATCTATGCCAAGGTGCACTGAAGCTGTTCTGGTGGCTTGTAGCGGTGCTTGATTTCCTTGGATTTCGTTTGTCACCCATCTGTCTTTTAATATATACAGTTTCACCCAGCTATCAGTTACTAATGTGCCTGCATAAAATTAACATCAGATTGGCATCTCTTACATAAATGTGCCTTAGTAGTTGTTAAATACTGAAGCTGACACACTTAAAGAGAGCCAAGTTAACAGGACTATCAAGTGTAGATGTTTAGTAATCTAAACCTTTGGGGTGCATTACCCTTAACTTCCTCAACATGTGCTCCCGGTAAGTTTTGGAGTATGGCCTTTTTGCTTAAACTCCCTTCTTAACTAAAAATTTAAATGGTGAAAGCACTTCGTACCAAAAAACAACAGGCCTGCACAGGTCATATTAAGACAAACAAGCCTAGTTAAGCATTTCTCCCACATATATTAACCTAGAGTTGCTATAGGTGAAGGGTTTGAATACTTATGCAAGAATTCAGTTTGCATATAGTGTAAAATGATGCTTATAATGTAGTATCATGTACTTGCATGTAATTCTAGAATTTACAAAGTAGTGATGATGGAAAACATGAATGTTTGTACAGTATGCAACTTTTATGAGAACAGTGACTGTTTCTACACTTACTGTGAGGTGTAACATTTCTGTTTTCACTAGGTGGTGATGGACGACTTGATCCTTTATGTCAACAGGCCACAGAAGCAGTAAAGAATGCATACCAGCAACAGAAAATATGACATGCAAGTGTGCTGCTAAAAAAATACAAACAAATGGAATGATTTGTGACACTACCTTTATTAAATTATTGCAAGTATTGGAAGTGTTATTGCTTAGCAGTGCTAAGAAGTAGCCAAGGCTGTATTCTGTTACGTGTTACTGGTGTGCAAGTTGTTGATTCAAACTATGTAAGATTTTTTTTTTTTATCTCATCTATCTTCACATCACTTTGTTAGTTATGGGATTACTTAATATTCTACTAAACTCACATTCACTAGGCTAACTACTTACAACTCCAAAGGTAGAAACTGCATATCTCATGTAGTATTGCTTAAGTACACATACAGTCTACGTAATTGTAAACAATCACTAGTGCTTAGTTTCAATTCAAGTGCCGAAGGCGTAAGTGCAATAATTTATTTAGGTTATAAGATGACCATTTGGTGACAGACAGTGGCAATGCAATAAATATCATGATGAGCATTACAAAGGACCATTAATTAACCCTGTTAAATTAACAATTAACCATGATTTGTCATTAAACCATATTCAGTGTATTACTGTATTGCTCAATTTATGAAATATCTCTGCAGTAAAGTATAGTCTAGTGTGATACAGGATTTCTAAATTGTGCTGGTTTATTTCTTTGGTTGTTGTATCCTATTTTTATTCCAACATGTGGTACTTTCCCATTACTGAGTCCTCAAAGTATTTTATAGTCCCAAAAGTAAGAGTGTATTGGTGGCAACAAAGAATAATGTAGCAGCCACAGAGAATATTGCTACTTGTCGCTATGCCATCTGTTTGATGTCTCAGGATGAAGCCAGGTGTGACAGTAAGTGAAGAGGGATAAAGAAGTAAGAATATGGCTTAGTCAAGATCCTGTGTTCATCCTCCATAAAAAACTCTGTGATAGAGAACCCCAGGTGATCCAGGTGTTGACCTACATGTATTCCAGTTAGGTAGATTTCTTCTAAGATTGTACTTATGCATCTATTATGCTAAATTATGCTTTCTGGTGCATTTATTAAATAGATTGTCTACAGTATCTGAGATTAGAATAACAGTGAAAATCTTAATGGATATAATATTATTCTAATGCTACATGTGAGCAAGTATTGTGCATTGTGAGCAAGGCATACATGAGGTCAAAATCGCTAAGTCTAATGAAAGCTTAAAGTAGCTGATTCAACAGCATCAAAAGCTCCTGCCCTCAAAGGCATTGAGGTGGAACGCAGTGTCCATGAACCTCTTGAGCTCCGCCAGGTGAGTGAACTTGTTTCCTGTGGCAGGGGCTGCAGCAGGGTCACGGCCAACATACCTGAAAAAGGGAGTTTGAATGTGACATGGGAAGACAGTGAAAATCTGATTTGTTTTACTTGTTGCTTGCTTTGCTTGCACAGTGATTGCTGCAGCAAATAAGCATACTCACCATACTGGTTTCTTATTGGACAGCACAGTGAGGAAGCGTGGCCTTACATAGTCGTAATAACCCATGTTTTTATGCTCTTCCTGACACCATACCAGTTCAGCATTGGCATAAAGCTCAACTTCAGCCTTGATGAGGTCAAAAGGAAATGGTGATATCTGAAAAATGAGATATAAACAAAATAATCAGGATTAAAAGTGGCTGAATGTGAGTGCTGTTAGATGATGGTAGTTGATTTGTGTTATTATCTTTTGTGTGACTATTTTATGTCCTAGCCTTATTTTGTGGATTTGTGATTTTTACTCACTAGAGTCATCTCATTGCTGTGATATATTGCTTGATATCTTGGCAAGTGAAACCATCTTAAATGTAGTCAATATGTCCAGTATTCTTCATTACGAACTGCAAAGTTTACAAAAAAAATTCAACCTGTTTCTAGGTTTTTCAAATTAAGTAATTATTTTAAGTGAAACGGAACAGTTTTGCCTGTTACAAGAAATAATGCTTGAAATAAGTATACATAATATACATTTGAGATGCATTCACTTGTCAAGATATCATTTTTGCAGAGGAGATTGTCTGGAACAGTGTTTACCAACCCTGGTCCTGGAGGCCCACTGTCTAGTGCATTTTTTTCACTTTCTCTGTTTTAACACACCCACTTCAGCTCAGTACGAGGTGGTTAATGAGCAGACTAGTTGGATGAGGAGAGCTGGAAACCCAAAATGTGGAGGGCAGTGTGCCTTTAGGACCAGGGTTTGGAGCAATTGGTCTGGAGGACAACAGCTGGACATGCTCCTCTAAAATAGGAGAGCTGTGCCACTGGATATTTTTCAAGCTTTCAGCTACTGAACATCTCCACACAGTTGGAGGGAAGCACTTGTGACTCAGCTTGCTGTGTGATTAGCTGGATAGTCCATATATGCCTCTACAAAGGAGAGAGAGTGACCCCTATCATCCAGTATCATCCCTCCCGGGAGTGTAACCAATTGCAATCACTCTGAAATCTGCCACAAACAGCACATAGCAATGCTCAGATTAGATCTGGCCACACTGTTTGTTGGGTAGTGGTCTAACCATTTTGGCCTCCAACAACTGAAGAGGCAAAAACTGGTTAGTGACAGTTCTAACATTTGCAACCAGGTTCTGAAGGTCCTTACAACTGCTGATAGTAATTTAAGTATAAACTTCCTACAGATAATATGTAAAAGAAATAAAATAAAAGACCAAGAAGCAGAATACAGTAAGTTGAATTGGCCTGTACTATAGTAATGGTACTAACCTGCTCCAGTCGGACTATTGCCACTGTATCCTCTAGTTTGAGCTGTTTTCTCTCTTTTGCCAGCTCATAGTAGACTTTACCAGTGCAGAAGATGACTCTCTTCACTTTGCCTGGGTTTTTAGATGAAGGACCCTCATCTGGTATGATTCTTCTGAACTTTGTTCCTGCAAAATCAATTACCTAAACATTATATAAACATTGTCTCTCCCCATTCTCCCTACAAAGTTTTGATTAAGCCAAATTAGACAACAATTTAAATTCTATTCAGTAAGTTCTGTCACACCTGTGGTCATCTCATCAAAACTGGAACGGGCCTCAGGGAGCCTCAGCAAGGACTTAGGAGTAAAAATAATTAGCTGAGGAGACAAAAAAATACAGACTGATGTCAATCACACTGAGACAGACCTACCATTCTTATCAGTTTAACTTAGAAAAAAAACTGTAGAGTAAATAAACTTTTGACAGCTGTGAATCCAACCAAAACAATAAATTAAGAGGACTTTTGTACAAAGCAAACACTAGCATCCCCAGACAGTCCGTTTAATTTGCTCAGGAAGAGATTTTCTCATGCTCCACAAAGCACTGCATTTATCTGCAACTGGGGAACACTTTAGACAATTACTGTAGCAGAAAACCACAAGTGTGTAGGGAGAACCCAGAAACTTTAGGTTCATGCTGTTACATCTTAAGTTTTATACCCATCAGAACTGTCCCCATTCCTTCTGTTTATTACAGTAAAAACTGCACAACATCTTCTCATATGGCTGTGGATAGACAGTATCGGGACTGGAATAACAGTTTATTTCGACAACGTACTATAAACAAAATATTCATGTAATGGTAAGATTGCATATCAATGACATCAATAAATATGTAAGACAATAAGGTGATAATTAGACAAGAGAGGCCGAGTGTGTTTTCTTACAGGCTTTCTGAATGGTAATAAGATCTGCCTCCTCAGCACATGAAAGTAGTTGGCAGGTGTTGAGCAGTTAACCACGATCCAGTTGCAGTCGTAAAGCTGTTGGACCTCAAAATCACCAGTGAATTCCTTAATTAGGAAAATACAAAGTCCAATTAAAACTGATCATTAATAATATGTCATAAATTGCATTTTGCATACAGTTATTTCATACTGAACAGACTAATGATGTTTCACAGATTTTATGTAACTGGAATATTTCATTGCCAAATTCAAGCCACTTTGCAACCATTGATCAAATTTAAGTATTCTGCAGTAATCACAGTCATTCAGCAGAAAAGGAAGGTCATGTTATAGACCTTTCTTTTCTGCTGAATAACTGTGAATACTGCAGAATACTTAAATTTGATAAATGGTTGCAAAGTGGTTTGAATTTGGCAATGAAATATTCCAGTCCTGTTCAGGACACTTAAATTTGATAGATTTATTTGAGCAGACCAGAAAAAGAGCTTGATTTGTGGTTTCTACTTTTCAAAACAACATTGGCATTCTTATGCTGGTGTAAATAGTCAATAGCGTACAATAGCTGCCAGCCTAGAAGGCTAGTAGTGATGGAAATTCCAATTCTGTTCAATGAGTCAGATCAACTGACACAAGCTCACCAATGAGAGACAGCTCTTTTGGCTCTCAAATGTCTCTTCATTCAGCAGCACCCCCATTTTAACAACGCTATTATTGTTATTGTTATCTACATTTGCTCCCATCTGGATTTCTTCTATTTTTGCATATTTGTCACACACAATTTTTTCACATCTTCAAACCGAAGTTAAAATGAGACAACTGGGGAAATACAAGTTTTTGAATCATAATTTTATTTGTTGGAGGAAAAAAGTTATCCAACATCAAGGGACCCTGTGTGAAAACAGTAATTGTCCCCTAGTTACTCAGTCAACTAATTAACCAAATTCAGTTGATAATTGCAATCAGTTAAACTAGACACAGGCTTGATTACTGCCTGCCCTGTTGAATCTAAATATTGCTTAAATAGAACTTTTTCAGCAATGTGAACTAGGCTAAAGGGTCCCAGCAAGAGATGAAAGAGAAAGTTACTGAAATATACCAGTTTGCCGAGGGTTAAAAAGCCATTTCCAAGGTTTTGGGACTTCTGCAAACCATAGTGTGCGCCATTATCTCCAAATAGAGAAAACTTGGAACAGTGGTGAATCTTTCCAGAAACAGCACCCAAAATTCTTCCAACAGCACTTCCAACGACTCAACCAGGAAGTCATAAAATAACCTAGGTCACCTAGTTCTAGGGAACTGCAGGCCTCGTTTGCCTCAGATAATGTCATTTGTCATGAAACTAACTTAGCATTCCACAATAATAACATCATACCAACAGTTCAACATGGTGGGGGTTGTGCGATGGTGTGGGGATGTTTTGCTGCTTCCCTGGTCAACTTGCTATAACTGACAGAAGCATGAATACTGCTCTGTATCAGAAACAGTAGGAAAATGTCCGGTTATCAGTCCACAATGTGAAGCTCAAACACAATTTGGTTATGTTGCTAAAAATGATCTAAAGTACAAGAGCAAGTCCACCTGTGAATGGCTCAAAAGAGACAAAGTTAAGGTTCTGGAATGACCTAATCAAAGTCCTGACTTGAACCCCACTGAGGTGCTGTGGCAAGGCCTTAAACTGGCAGTTTATGCTGATTTACAGCAATTCTGCAAAGAAGAATGGGCCAAACTTCCTTCACTACAATATGAACTACTGCTATAGGAGGTGTTTGGTCGCACAACCAGCTATTAAGTTTAGGGGAAGGGCAGGCGACTTTAATTTTCAAATGGCTGTTATAGGTTTTTCAGTTTGGTAAATGAAATGATCATTTAAAAAACTTGCATGTTTCCTCATATTTTTCCTCATATTCTCCTCATAGTACTTACACAAAATATAACATATTACTTTTTGTTTGAGGGGATCTTAAATCATTTGGTAAGACAAATATCCAAAATTGAAGAAATAGAGCAAGTACTCTTTTATGGCACCATTAACTGTCTGATACAATTCTACACTACCATCTATTTAGTAATTCAAAAAACATATTTTTTTATTATGGTTATTGAAAACTATTTAAAAATATGTATAAACAACAAGATGCCACAACATACATCATCATAACATCATAACAAGCAGCAGTACAAACTCATGCTTCAAATAGCAATGCAATCTCATGCCTATGCAACACACAGTAGAATCAAACAACTGTTTTTCAAAATTATTATGCATACCAAACAAGTCAGATATTGATAAGATGAAATGATCATGCATACCAAACAAGTCAGATGTTGATAAGAAGTTTCACTGGAGACTGATAAATTTTCAGCCAAGGCTTATAGGTTCTAACTATTTATCTTCTTTTCATTTGCAAAAATAAAAAAGGCCATTCAAATTTGTAATTCAGCTCTGAACATTTACCTAAAAGAGCTGGTTAACAGCTGTGCTTGATAACTTAACATTGTTCTGTGCCAACAGAGAGAGAGAGGAACCAACCTTTTCATTTAATAAGAGAAAGGCCAATTGCAATCACAGATTCCCAGACACAGTGGCATCATATAAAATCACTGTAGGAAAATTAGTGCCAGCTTGATGGGAGAGAATGTACATAAACTGGCAAACTCATCTGGACATGTCAATATTCTGTTAAGTGCTACTGCAGTAAAAGGTCCTTTAATCATTTAGCTATAGCTCGTCCCAATCTTGCATATACTTAAGCTGCTCTGCCCTTGGGACTGACAGCTGCGTACTAAAGGAGAAGACATTTACAGTGGTCATTTTGAGCATTAACTAAAAGGGGTAATCAGGGGGCTTCAGCGAAGCGCTTATAGGTCAGAATCTCTGTGGCCATCAGCATAAGCCATTACAGTAGAGCCCACTCACCGGATAGCGATCAGGGTCATCCTTGCTCATCTGCAAGAAACGCTCAGGTCGTGCTGACGAGTGCTCTGGGCCCTAGTAATCACACACACACACACACACACGTCCATCACAGAGCAAGCTAAGTTAAAGAATTATAGCCTCATTTGCAAAGGGCCTGACAAACCTTGAGTCATCAGTATTGATCCCTATACAATTACCTTGGTTTACAGAGCAACACTGAGGTAAGAAACAAGGCCACACTTTCTTGGTGCTCCAGAGCAGATTTGGTTCAGCAGTCAGAAGTGAGCTAATATGGCCCACATAATTGAGAACTCTTAAAATAACAATTGCATCATTGTAGCTTTGCTTGGCTTAGTAGGGCAAAGACAAAAATAACCCAGCGGTAACCTTTAATAATGCATGATATTATTACACAGCTGTCAAACATGATTGCATATGCCTGTGATTTGAGGGGTTTAGTTCTACATTCTTTAACATGTCGATTTATGCTGTTCTGGACATGTTTATTCCAATTTTATTATTGGAAATGCTTTTTGCACGAAAATGACTTAAAGGTTTAGAAAAGCATTCCCCAATTTAGTTACCTGCATCTTCGTGGCCTAGCATACATCCTATGAGTGGTGCATCCCATTTATAGTATGTTGCATTGATGAACCGAGGTTAATAACAGCAATGGCACCAGTGAACTTACCATTCCCTCCATGCCATGGGGCAGTAGCAGGACAATGCCGTTGTTGCGGACCCACTTGGCCTGGCCTGAACTGATGAACTGGTCAATGATACACTGTGCTGTGTTGTGAAAGTCCCCAAACTGAGCCTCCCAGCACACAAGAGCATTGGGACTAGCCATAGCAAACCCCAGCTCAAAACCTATTACATCACAAACATGAAACAGATTCCACTGAATAAACACAAACTAGGTCTAATAATGGACCAAAGAATTTTGTTTTAGCAAAAGACTACAACTTGCACATTGTACACTGTACATTGTTTTAATCTTACTTATGTCAGTAATAGGGATGCACTGATGACATCTAGTACCAATACAGTCGTATGCAAAAGTTTGGCCTCTACTGCTCAAATGACATGTTCTGTTGATTTTCTAAGTGAAAATAAGTCAACACATCCTCTGCAAAGAGCACACTTCTGTACATTTTCATGCACACTCACTGTTATAAGCTGACTTTAACACACTGGGGAAAAAATGAAACATAAGCTTATGACACATTTTACATTTTATGTTTCATTTTTTTCCAGTATGCTAAACGCAAATAAACAGAAATTGTGAGCTAATTTGCAGACAAATGCCATAGCTATGTTTATTCCCTGTAGAAGATGTTTTAACAAAACATGTAATTTGACTGGGAGTGTTCAAACCTTTGCATATGACTGTGCTTCTTCATTTAAGAACTGTGAGTAGATATCCAATGTTTTTAATGTACATATCTGCAGGGCCACACACAAACATTTATAAAATGTAGAAATAACACTACAGAGTAAACATTTATTATAGGGGTACAAATGCAGTAAAATATCATAATTTGAAATATCAGTCAAATCTAAACATTGGCCTGATGCCAATTGTTTTTAAAGCAAGTGTTTATTGATGAAAAATATGATTCTGATATCATGCTGCATCACTAAAATCCAAGTCCAACTTCACTTTTTGGAATTGCCAGGGATCATTTGTTTATGTATGAGGTAACACATAAGGTTGTCACAATGACATTTTAGTTGACGATTTATAGTCATGTAAATGATTGCGATTAACAATTAATTGTTCACTGTATGCAGTTATTAAAATACAAGGCTAACGCAGCCAAATTGGCTGCTAGCAAATGTTTAGTTAATAGCTAAAGGATACACTACACTATTGTGTGCGTCCACACATACACAAATGTCTTTCATTACACAGACTGAAGCAAAGTTACAAGTTTTTCATTTTACACTGTTTTCGCCTTTGCCTATAAAGTTACCATTTTGGACCTGCTTATTTTTGGACAGCGGTGATGTGCTACTAAGCAACAATGGTTACTTACCCAATACTCCATACTCAGACAGAGAGCTGTTGCACACTGTGTAAGGGGCTTGGTCTGGCCACAGATGGTTCAGTGGGACACAAAATCGTTTATCCACTTCCTGGTCATGCAGGACATGATGACGGTGACTGTGAAGTCAAAGTGCAAAGCAGCCTTTACCTTTCAACATAGCAAAAAATGTTCAGACAGACAGCTTTCAGAGAATAAAAGTAGCTCTTTTAGGAAGGAAACAGAAACAAAATAAGTGTGTCGACAAATGCCATCAAAGTGAGCCGTGTACTGCGGGGCAGACTTTACAACCATTTCAACTGACAACTGTATGAGACAAGACAGCCTTGGTGATTATTCAGGGGTCCATCACAGAGCCGGAGAATTCTCTCAGTAACACTTTACAATAAGGATATATGAAATTTAGGCATCTTTTCATCTGTGAGTAATCATTCATTCATACATGTAATACAAAAGATGTGCAAAATAATAAGATTATTTGATGACATTCCCCAATTATTTTATCATCAACACAACAGTGAACAGTGAAAATAGCAGGAATATTTCACCACTTTATTTTAAGGGCCACAAACATCATGAACTCATAAAGAAGTAATGCTTTAGTAATGGTGAATATATAACTTAACACTCTTGTTCTATGAGGTGGTGGATCGTCATTCGGTTTTTCCACAATTCAGGTGCTGACCATCATGAAGACCTGTATAAACTAAAATATAAAATAGTTGATTTTAACTGGGAGTAGTGGTCGCTTAATTACTACATGAATTAATATACTGCCCCTGCATTAAGCCATCAATAAGACATGGTTACTTTATGCATATTCATCATGACTCAAGATGTATTACATGTATGAATTAATGACTACTCACATATGAATTAATGCTTGAATTGATGCTATGTCATGTATCTTTATTGTAAAGTGTTACCGCACTCTCCTCTCTTCAAGTTTTCTCCATCCTGCTGCAGTGTCAAACCACAACAGAGAAGCCCTCTCGCTCTTTCTCTCCAATCAGAGTTAGAGAGGGAGAGAGGCAGAAGAAAGGAAGTGATAGGAGTTAAGGCTTGAGATGTGATGTGTTTTGCTAGGTCACTCGGATGTGATGTTTAATTCAGCCTTCAAGTCCAATGCAATGAGACAAGCATTTAAAATCTCTTAAAGATCACGGTAATGATGCAGCAGTGATGCAGCCACATTCAGACTCGGAGGACTGTGCAGTTATTGGATAAGAATCGAATGTCAGGTGGCTGCAGAGAGAGACTGAGTTTAACTAGACAGAAGTGACTTCACAGGGAATCGCACATGCTCTATTGTCTTTTATAGTTACGCTAACCAATTTATTATTATGTAATAGGCAATGCATGGTCCTGGTGGCCCTTTAGTTTCTCTTCATGCTCTCCTCTCCATTAGGCACACATGTTTCTCTCAAAGAATGAATGAATCACAGTAAATCACATTGTTAGATAACAATCCGAAATGTAACCAAGCAAAAAAAACTGAAGAAGGAATTAGCCCTAATTGGAGACTGTTTGCTGAGCACACTTAATCACAGCTATGACTCAAAAGTGGCTCTTTGTGCTACAGTGCGTTTGGCCTATGGGGTAACCGTGGAAACACAGAGAAGCTCGGGGGCAAACACGGTCTCTTCCCCTTGGCTACACCAGTCAGGAGCATAGGACGAACACATTCACAACCACAGATGACTGAATCAATTACTCTTAGCCATTATGTCCCTAGGTAATGACTGTAGGAGCAGCAGACTGGAGCAAGGCGATATGTTCCCTTCCCTGGCCTCTGCAGGAGACTTGCAGAAAGCAGGGCGGCACGGGATGCTTGCACCAGCCCACAGACAGTACACATCAATAAACAGGCTTATGAGACAGCATCTGTTTTCTCTTGACTTCCTCTCACTAACAGTTTCACTTTGAAATGTTCCACCCTAAAGCCTGCGTTTCCTGAGCAAAGCGTAAAGCGGCTGGATGGAGTCCATTCAGGAAAACTAGACGTCAGAAATGTAAAGCGGATCAGTAAATGATGCTGCATGTGGTGCGATAAAGTGGAGGGAGGAAATTTCGGTTAGCATGTCTCTGGGACTGGCAGCCTCACTTAGACGCAACAACATATCAAACCAACAAAGCTGGCTGACAAAGTCCCTCGCACAAGGCTGAAATGAACAGACGTGGGAGTGTGTGTGGCTGTGTTTTAGTCCTGCTGTGGGGTATCGTCAAACGGGTTTCCTTCAGCGTCAACAGAAGCAGTACCGTGACAACACCATGTGGGCATCTATCGCACTCCCAGGAGACTCTGTCTGAGACAGACTGACGTCACCTGTCACTGTACAGACATTCAATGAAGCTGTGCTGCAGAGGGTTTTATTCCACCATTCTGAATGAAAAGGCAGTAGGCTCATTATGTTCATTAGGTTCATGGAACTGATAGATGCAATCACAGATTGCTGTGTTCAAGGTCCAGTAAAACTATTTTGACCCATATGTTTCTTTGCGACACCTTGACATCTTTCCTTCAAAGCAAAGGTTGTTTTACTCAGCAACACAGTAACTTAAGGATAGCATTCATAAGGCTACATGACATCTACATATGCCATTCATGCACTGGCACAAAATAAGTTGGGGGAAAAGGGGACATGTCCCCTTCACTTTTTGAAATTATGTGAGATAAATCTGGGGAGTCTTGGGGTTGACAAAAAAGTTACATGCATTAAATGAGCGGCTTTACCGTAAAATCTCCTACTACAATGATTTTTATCTCAAATTAAATACAAGCAGTTTCATTATAGCCAGCAATGTCCTCTTCAATGTAACCTTTTGTATGTCATAATTTTATTCTGGGAAATCAAACTACAAACTACACGTTTGGATGGATCTCATCTGAAGAACTGTGCAGCAGGACTGTCTGCCTGTCTACTATATACATTTATGTTTACCTTGGCTGTTTACTCTGAGGAGTTTGAGTGAATCGAGTAGTTCAAGTCTTGAACAACATGAGTCTGACTGGCTGCTGGTGCACACATTGACAAATGACATTATTCTTTGTAAGATACATGAATATGGTAACTCCAAACACAGGTGTACTTTTCACTTAGTATTACATCTGAAACTTGTCAGTGAAAATTTTCACCCCTGCTTAGATGACAACTGGCATATACCTATATACGCATTTATGAAGCCTTGTTCCAAAACGCGTCAGTTGTCATTAGACTCTCTGGAGTGAAACTGACTAAAGTAGCCTCTATGACAACTGATGCTCATAGGAATATACCTTTGTAAGTCTTTATATAGGAATGTGAAAAGAAAGTCATGCAGCCTTATGAAAGCCCTATAGCCATGTTACCCATCTTTGTTTAAAAATTATGGTGCCAAAAATGGCTCTATAAAAGAACCACTTTTAGTTTCCTAAATAACCTTTCAATGGATGTTTTTGAGGAATCTTTTTTTTTTAAATGAGCTGTGCACATGTGAAGAATCCTCCACACAATGTAAAGGTTCTATACCAATTAAACACTTTCCTAAAACCACACATACAAGCTGAGAATCATTTAAGAACCTTTATTGTTTAGGGTGTAGATGTACTGTATTTGCATTCCTACCTGAAGGTTCCTCTCTCCACATCCTGCCCACTCAGTCTCACATGAATTCCATCTTTCAGCAGAGAGCCAAAGGCCATGTACTCCCCCAGAGCCCAGTCCACTGTACGTTTACTAAGCATGTCAGCCCGGCCTCGTAAGATCCTTGAAACTCCTGGGATTTGCCAAAGAAACAGGGTGCACAAACAAACAAAATATAAGCATAATTCAGATAAATTTTGCTTCTCATAATTCTTATTTACTTGTACAGAATCTGTACAATCTTACAAATATAGATTTCTAAATGGTTCTTGGCTTTGGCCTACAGCTGTGTGAAAACCGTCCCCTAAAAGGTTAAGTAACCAAAGGTGGTTCTTCTAATGCATCACTCCAAAAAACTCTCCTTGGAACATTTATTTTTAAGAGTGTTTAGAACCAGCAGCTTAGGCTTCCTAATTAAGACCACAATATGCAAGCATCCACACTAGCCCAGGTAACTGCACTCCCCCTACTGGCTAATGGCAGGTAAGGAGTACCAAGTAATAACATGAGTAAAAGCATGTGCTATATTAAACCAAAGTAAGGAAAAAGATGAGGCCTTTAGAGAACAGCTTACCAGCTGCTAATGCCTTAACCATAACTGAGTAAATGGTTCTTTCACTGGTCATAATGAGAAATCTAATCCATTTTAATTTGGGGAAATGTATTGATTTATAGGGAGTTTTTATGTACTGACTTGTGACTGCTGACTTCGCGATTTGTGTTCAAGAAAGGTGATAAGCCCCAACCTGACTGTAGCACCAGGCTTACAGTGAGCTTGTCCAAAGTAACACCACAACCACTAAACACTGAGTAAAGCAGTAATATGTTGGACTGAGACTATCTGAGGCTCACCACTGTGAATGGAGAAGTCCTGCAGAGGGACAGAGCTGGCAGCTTCGCCAATGTGCTTCAGGACCTCGTCAGTCAGCCCAGTAGGGGGATAGCTCATACACTTTGGTTCACCCTCAACTGTGAAGAAGTCTTAACACAGAAGCAGATCGTTAAAGCTTCTTGAAATACAGCCAAATATATCCATTCAATTTTTAATGGTTATGGAAGAAGGGAAACAACTGTACTTGGCCAAGGTGAGTCTAGCCAGTGGCGGATGTGTAGTATCTTCTCATCTTTGGAGGCGGTGTATGCTTCTTCACAGATTTTGTCATACTTGGCCACTTCCTCCTGTAAACGGTTACCAGTATTCGCATGTCTGATGGTGTACAAACATCGGCCACTGTTTATACACCAACCACCATCTTTATCAAGAAATGGAGGGACATGACACATTTGTGACAAATGATTCATTAGAAATGGCACCTATGGTGCTATGGTGTACGGAAAACAGTGAGCTTCAAGTCACAATTTATTCCCTAAGTGAATTCCCCTGAGCTATGGCAGTGAGTGGAAAGTGACAGGGACGCGGTTGTAAATAAAACGAGCTGTCGCCGGGCCAGACAGAATGTCAGCTATACTCGCTGGAAGGATGGCTGTGTCCAAGCTTTGTGGTTCCTACAGCAACCAACCTGGGAGGGGGGCTGAGGGGCTGATATGAGTTTGTGGGAATAGCAGCGAAAGTGAATGGGTGGAGCACAGTACAAATGTGGCATCACCAGAGCGAAAAGACATCACCTGAACAACTGAAAACAACCTCCATCAACTGTCAGGATAACCAACCCACACACACACACACAAAGGGAAAGACATCACTCACTAACGGTCTGGAAAGAACACCTTTTACAATCAAAGGTTTAGGCTACACATAGACCCAGCTGAAGAAGTGAATTAGTATTAGGACTGCATGATGCAGAGAAAACATCATATTCATTTACTGCTATATACTGTGACTGCAATTCGCTTTGCAATGCATTAAAAGCATATTAGGAACCTCTTGATGGGTGATGCTTCAAATAATTAGTCTGCATTATTTTGACCAAAATTACTGACATTTGTTATGGCACATTTAACAGACACTTATGTGGAAATTCTGAGTTTGGTCCGGATGCTCTTAATTAACACATTTTTTACATTTTCTAGTGTGCTGCAGAGGTTGTGTTCACTTCTTTTCACTTCAAAAATCAATAAAATCCAGATGTGCCCAGACTTTTGCATACAACTGTACTGTGCAGCTCTAATTCGAATAAATACAACTCAAAACTCAACTCAAAAATGTCAATTGCAGTCATCACATATGCATCCATCATGAACTATACACTTCAACTGTTATATCATATCCTAAGAGACAAACCTCAAACTCCTGCAGAGTAACCACACCCTCAGAGATGAGCTTGTCTGCATATTTCTTCAGCACGTGCTCCTGCTTGCGTATCTGCTTGTGCATCAGAGGCTGAGTAAACATGGGCTCGTCCATCTCGTTGTGGCCAAAGCGCCGGTAACAAACCTATAACCATTTATGGATTATTAGCTTTATGAATAAATTTTAGGATGCTATCCATTTTCTATGTTGTGAAACTTTATTATAGAAGCATGATATCTAATGCGTATTTTCAAAAAATTATTTCTGTACAAATACCCAACACATTTCTTATTAAAATAAAAAATGCTGGTCTCGTCTGTCTTCATCTGTCTAGATCTGTGCATACTCCTAAAAATAAAGGAGTCAAAAAAGATTCTTTGGATTAATTCTATACCCCCCACCTCACCCCTTTCCCTCCCATGAAAATGATTTTTAATCTAGAGAAAAAAACCTAAATTGTCTGAAAAGTACTGGGAAGGTTTTCTTATATACTTAAAATCCTGGGCAGAAAATCTATGAGTCAGTATAATATCATTAATAATCTATTGTATGATTGTAAGGGTGAGGTTGGTGGCTTACTGGAGTTTCAGATTGTATTACATCTGTTGTTTTTAGTTTTTATTTTCTACAGATTAAAGATAAAAGGTTAATAAACATATTGATTAGAAGTGATGTCATCCCAACCTTTCAAGAGAGTTGTGCAAGTGGAAGAATTTAAAGAGCCCTCACATAAATGTAAAGGTTCTACAACAATTCAAGTTTTTTTTCTATAACTGTACATCTAAAAAAAAAACTACTTATGTTTAAGAGTGTAGTTTATGCCAGTTAGTACTCACCAGGTCTATGACCACATCCTTGTTAAAGGTGCTCCTCCATTCTGCAGCCACTCTACACACATACATTACAGCCTCAGGGTCATCAGCATTGACATGGAAGATGGGTGCGTTGACCACACGAGCCACATCAGTGGGGTAGGGAGAAGAGCGTGCCATTCGCGGATCAGTGGTGAAGCCAATCTGGCAATACCAGATAAAGCTAATCAATCTAATACATAAGCAAAGGTCAGGAGTTCAATTTGTCTGGACAAACAGTGCCTGATTTCTGTAATCTGGCTTTAGTATGAAATCAGTCACAATCCTCTATGTACCATTCACTGAAAGATATGAGCCTTGATCTTTACCTGATTGTTGACAACAACATGGATGGTGCCAAGAGTGGTGTATGAGGGGAGCTCACTGAGATGGAAGGTTTCATAGACAACTCCTTGACCAGCAAATGCTGCATCACCGTGCATCAGAATAGACATCACCTGAGTAAGAGGGGATAGAAAAATTGCTAAGCTATCAAATACTGGACAAGGTGACCAGTCTTTAAAAGTAATCTCAAATATATTTGTAAAGTACATTAATTTCAGTACGATGTATAAGTTTGTTACATTTTGTACTTTTGCACTTAAGCATGTTGCTATTTTGAAGGTAAACTGAAGCTACACCGCCTTGATTACTCTAACTTGAGTAGAGCGGGTGGTATGTTTTGAAAATTTCATACTGTTTACATACTACATCAAACTCCTTAAAAAAGTGAAAACAAAACGGGCATGCTGTGGGCCCTTTTAGCACATTTTTCTTTTTCAAAATGTGCTTAATTAATCCTGTGCTGCGCTGTAGGTTGATGGAAGCATAAACTAAGTGTAAAGATGAAATGAATTGCTTTTTTACCTACCAAATCATAATATGCTGCTAATTATGTTTTTATGAACAAGTAACGTATGAACTGCCTTCTTCCCCTCAAAGAGTTGGTTCCTGTTCCCATCACTCCTACTGGCAGTGGGGATTGTTAATCGATCGATTAATCATAGGTCTACAACATATTTAATCCCAGGTCACCCTCATGCTCACCAGGAATGATAGGTTTTCTTAGAAAGTTCTGCCTAATCAAGCAATGTTTTGGCCTATTCTGTTGAACTTATATGTAACATATTAATGGGTAACTGATAACCTGGCCACAAGACCTGTTCTGGTATGTGAATTGGAAATAATACCAATCTTGCTCCTGATATATGAAAAAAGTAGTATAGTTGAGGGTCATGGTCCATCACAAATCTAAAAGGAATGGTTGACCAAAAAATCTAATTTACACTATTTGCCCTTATCCCAAACATAGCTGTTTGGCCACGACATGTTTGGTGTCTGAAGTGTATTTCTTAATTTTGCAATAGACTTGGAAGATTTCGGGTGGCAGACTTCCATTACACGTTAGCTACGTTACCCTTATGTCTCCACTGCAATCCTTAGATATATTCTGCTCAGGAATTTATTCATTTGACAGCTGTTACCTTCTTCCCTTCAGTGTCTCCTCTGTAGAACTGCTCTGCTTTAGTTTTGCCCTGCACTACAGGGTCCACTGCCTCCAGGTGAGAGGGGTTAGCCATGAGCGACAGGGTGATGTTCTTATCCGTCTCCCTGTTGATCCGCTCATGGTACATGCCCAGGTGGTACTTCACATCTCCTGAGCCCTGTGGAACAAGACATATACCTCTGTAATTCATATTTTCCATGCAATACAAGATATAGGATCTGAAGCAATGTTAGATTCGACTACACTGTACCTCATCTGCAGCTTCAAGTTTGGGATCAAACTGACAGAATATCTGATCAAGATCTTTCCGAACAACATTGGCCAGCACGTTCAGTCGACCCCTGTGCATCAGAGATGGTGTTATTCCTGTTGATAAGAGCTCATCAATAGAGGGTGAGAACAAAAAGAGTAGAGATGACATACCTGTGGGGCATGCCCATGATTACACTCTCTATTCCAGCTGCACTTGACCTGTCAATGATCATCTTCAAGGCAGGGATAAGGACTTCACAGCCCTCTAAGCCAAAGCGCTTCTCTGAAGACCATTTGCGGGCCAGGAAGTCCTCAAAACTGCACCATCAATATGAGTAAGTATAGTGAAAGAGATTCCATACAACAATGTAGAAAAACCTACAGCAACCTTCAGCACTTATTACTACATAGCTTTTCCTCATCTTCTCATATTTCCCTCATAGTGAAATATTAGAAGGAGACGATGAAGCCCATAGTGATAATTAGATAAAACAACTCTTTATATCAAATTACTTTCTACTCACTGACCGAGTTGAGCGCACCAGTCTGGCCAGCAGTGTCCTCTTCTCTCTGTCAGTAAATTTCATGATGCCCGGAGTCTCAAATTTCTGCCGGATCCACTGACACTGCTCTACGTTGTTGATGAACATGAATTCCACGCCAATATGACCACAGTATGATGTCTGTAATTTTCAGCATACATAAACAGTATACAGTACTGTGCAAAAGTCAGAGACCACTCTTCATTTATTCAATATCCAGTACAAAGTTCAAGTACAAGTTAATCAGTTTTTTTAGGAGATATTTCTGAGGAGACAGCACTTTTATCTTTGAGGGACAAGGTAAAATCAAGCCCCACTTTTGCTTCAGATCTGAAAAAATCCACAGCTGATTTTTTCTGTGAGAACTCAATGCTATGAATCTAAAAGGATGCATAGCTGTCAAAAAGCTGGTACTGAGAAACGGAAATAGAAAAAATTTAAAAAGGAGAAATTTGCAAATCAAACAAAGAAGCTGCTGGTGTTCTCAGAACAATGGACTGGTCATCTCAAAAACCCAGACCTCAACATCACTCAATGTGCTTTGGGATTAACTGGATCATAAGAAGCATTCTAAGACTGAACTTGGGAGGAGGTGTGTAGAAATATTCCTGCAGATTTCTTTGAAAAACTAAAAGCAAGTCTCATGAAAAGAATGCAAGCTGTAATAAAGACAAAGTCAACACATCAATGTTAAAAAATGTATATTATATTCAGTTGTTGAGGCTTCTGTGTAATTATATATTTATATGTTTTCTGTTTTTTTTTTTCCTGAGAATAACTTGTACTTAATGGCCATGCGGACTAGAAATTAAATAAACCAAAGGGTGGTCTCAAAAACAAAACTGCATTCAGTTCAGAGCAAATGATCTGAGATGACCACTGAACTGATTATAAAACATAAATATGGTGGCCCCCATTTCTTAATAAGATCAGGGAATGTGATAAAGGAAATGTGAGGATGCTCCTGCAGGTATTGACGCTTTAAAGTAAAGTGGCATAGCATACTAATGCTGGAATTTCTGTAAATCCAGGGCAAACAAGAATCAATTACTTTTCTCAATATTAAAAATTACTTGTCTCAATATTACACATAGATCCCAGAAAACAACCTCTACCTACCTCAAGTCTGTGAATGATTTCCCTGAGTGGAAGTGTGGTTTCCTGACCTCCAATAAATGTTGTGGATGGTAACTGAAAGGTCTTGTCCAGATCAGACTCGTCCAAGCCATAGAACCCTGGTGTTTGAGATGCATCATCAGAAGTGACTTATATGATAAAAGGCTTTCTGTATTCAGAATCAAAACAAATGTAAATGGTAAAAACTTGTAATTATGAAAGCAAGCTTATTAGCAACAATAATTTTCATTTAAGTCATTTTAAAATAAAGTTGAGCATTATGAATGACAGGTAACCAGAATAGCATGCATCTAATCGTGCCGATAAGGACTACCAGTGAGACTGGGACTGCTCAGCAGTGGGGGGGACACACAAGAGGAGACAGATGCATGTAATGAAATTAAAACCACGATGCAGATAAAGAGAGATCAGAATATAGGGTGATATCAGATGACTACTACTAGAGCCAACCAGTCTGATATCTGCTTTCATTAGCTGTGCGGAAGCTCTGTGAAGCACTATGACAAAATATTGTCTGACACACACAGAAGGTATATATGAAGGGAAAAAGAGGTATGTTTTGAGGAGTCTCTTTAGTGGCCATTACTCTCTTCCTTTCGATCTGTTGTGAGAACATGTCCTACATCCTTTTATTTTGCTGGCACTAAAAGCAATAGGGCATGACAGGAGCAAAGGGGAAGATTTATGGTCCTTTACCTCAGATAACATTAACCCAAGCTTGCACTTGCACAGTCTGGGCCAGAGTTCTAGCACAGGAGCCCCTGTCACTGTCTAGGACTCCAGAATCTGAACTGACGGAATGAGCAATCTTCTGGCTGGCCGGTTACATGTCTGGACTGCTTGCAACCACTCTTTCTCGCTCTCAACTTTGGCTGCAATACGAGTCACCAAACCCTATTTCAATAACCTTAATAAGATCACAAAATCATATTATCATTCTATATGTCCCATCCACCCTGTGAGGCAGCGAGAGTCTAATTTTCATGACTTAATTTCTATTCTTAAACCTCGAGGGCAAACAGAAAGCTCGAGAGGAATGTTCCAAAGAGCATATGATACATAAGAGATTAAATACGTTGAAAAGATCTCATCTGTCTCTGAAAAAGAACAGCATAATTATAGAAACAACAGCTTTCCTCACACATGACCAGTGTGTGGGTTGTACATGTTTAAATATTAAAACATGAAGTGGAAACACAGCCAAAGGTTACTTCACTTAATTACTTGCTTGTGTTGTGTATCTGTACATTACCTGTATCATTAAAAAAATGACACTATAACTCTAAATAGCCCATTAGTACCATTTAGCTTTTAGCATCTGTTGTTTCAAATGAAATTAGCGACTAAAAAGATTTTTATTCAGCAAACCTTACTGGCCGTCCATTTAAGCCAAATATTGTCATTGTCCAGAACACAGCAAACATATATTAACACACAGAACTGAATTATTTTGTGAAACATACAGTACTGTTTATTTATAGTTTTGAGTAAATTAGATATGAAATATCCCACTGGCATAAGGGAGGGGGAAGGCCAAAGGAAAATAAGCGAAAAAACAGGAGTTTCCAAGACTGGAGTGAAAAACATTATTAAAAGATACAGAGTAAATGGGACTCCTAACAACCATCCAGGACCTGGTAGATCACAGAACTGTCACCATCCGATAAACAGTACTTAAAGCTTTCGTCTTTGACAGGCAGGAGAGAATCAAGCTCACTCTTGCTTCAGATTTGAAAACATCAACATGTTTCTGTCCATCCTTACACTAAGAAAAACAACTCAACACTATGAGTCTGAGAGGATGTGTAGCTGTCAAGAAGCTGTTACTAAAAAAAGAAAATCTGAAACACAAAAAAAGTTTTTGCAAATCAAACAAAGAAGCTGCTGGTGTTACAAGAACAATGAACTGGCCACCCCAGAGTCCAGACCTCAACATCACTGAATGTGTTTGGGATTACTTGGATCGTGAGAAGCAGAAAACACAACTAACGTCTGAGACTGAACTTTGGAAGTGTGGAAAAATATCCCTGCAGATTTCTTTGAAAAATCTAAAAAAAACAAGTGTCCCAAAAAGAATGGAAGCTCTAATAAAAGGAAACAACTTTTCTACTTAATGGCTGTTTTGACCATAAATTAAAGATGTGAAGGGTGGTCTCTGACTTTTGTACAGTACTGTAGATGTTCCTTCCATATATATATGTATACACCGATCAGGCATAACATTATGACCACCTCCTTGTTTCTATGCTCATTGTCCATTTTATCAGCTTCACTTACTGTATAGGTGCACTTTGTAGTTCTACAATCACAGACTGTAGTCCTTCTGTTTCTCTGCATACTTTGTTAGCCCCCTTTTACCCTGTTCTTCAGTGGTCAGGACCCCCAATGGACCCTCACAGAGCAGGCACTATTTGGGTGGTGGATCATTCTCAGCACTGCAGTAACACTGATGTGGTGGTGGTGTGTTAGTGTGTGTTGCGGGGGTCTGAATGGATCAGACACAGCAGAGTTTTTAAACACCTCAGTTTCACTGCTGGACTGAGTATAGTCCAACAATCAAAAATATCCAGCCAACGGCATCCTGTGACCACTGATGAAGGACTAGAGGATGACCAACACAAACTGTGCAGCAGCAGATGAGCTATCATCTCTGACTTTACATCTACAAGGTGGACTGACAAGGTAGGAGTGTCTAATAGAGTGGACAGTGAGTGGACACAGTGTTTAAAAACTCCAGCAGCACTGCTGTGTCTGATCACTCATACCAGCACAACACTCACTAACACACCACCACCACGTCAGTGTTACTGCAGTGCTGAGAATGATCCACCACCCAAACAGTACCTGCTCTGGGGGTCCTGGCCACAGAAAAACAGGGTAAAAGGTGGCTAACAAAGTATGCACAAAAACAGATGGACTACAGTCTGTAATTGTAGAACTACAAAGTGCACCTATATAGTAAGTGCAGCTGATAAAATGGACAATGAGCGCAGAAACAAGGTCATAATGTTATGCCTGATCGGTGTACATATATATCGGTGTATATATATCCCATAATTTACCTCTCTGACCCCATGAATTTCTCAAAATCAAAATTCTGGGGGCCCCTGAAAATAAACTTATTATGACATTATGCTGTCTGTTAGGGAGAAACAGACACTAAAATACAGATTCAGGGAAAGCTCATTATTTAGCTGGTCAAGCTCATGCAGTGCTGGTCTGCCTCAGGGTGGCGCTGTAGCTGACTGGTTCACTGGTTTACTGATCCTTCATAGCCTAGCAACTGTAACTATGCTTGGAATACTTGGAAAACTTTACAATATGTCATAACATATTTATAAATCTGAAGACTTGCCTAATTTCCTAAGAGAGTGGTGGAAAGAGTGAATTTTTAATAATTTCTCAAACTGAAGACCAAAGAAATGGTTAAGATCTCATTCAAAGAGCTCATTATCAAACCTTAAAAGAGCATTTCCTAAAGCTAGCATCAGCTCTACTAAGGTGAGTGAGTTAGCAGCCAGCCAACATGGGACCCCTGAACACCAGGGGGGTATTTTGCATATTGAATATATACTGCTCTGATCTGACTGAGTAGTCATGATAGAAACTCAAAATGTTTGATGCTGTGACAGATTTTCCATGTTCATAACTTGATACTGGGGCCATTCCAACGCTTAATGTTGTTATGTAAGGAAAACGAAATAGAATTCACATCTTATTCGTTTACATTGACAATCTAATTTTACTTTTGTAATCAAAACGAGACATTTGTGATGGAAGAGAAGCAGTTATGTTAAAATATCAATCCACTGGCCAAACCTAACCACCTCAGCCACAAACTCCATTACACCTACTTACACAGCTACCTGACAGCGTGTTGTACAGTGAAGAAGTGATGGCACGGGGCCGCAAACAGAGGATACAAAAGTATAAATAATTTGTAAGGATCTGCCGCAAGCAAGGAACCGAGTCAGCACACGTCTCCAGAACAGCAGTCTTCTTTAAGTGGGGCAGGGTAATTATGGCCAAAGGACAGTAAATGAATCAACTATTCACAAATAGGGAGATGGTTAGAGTTATTAATAACTACAAAGTCAAACACTTTTACATGTATTAACAGCGAAGGAAAAGAATAAATATTTTACCAAGCTTGTCAATGGTTGTTATCAAATCTGAGGGGACAAAAGAATCTATGTCAGCTGTAAGGATGCCAAGAGGGTCCAGTTGAGCCACATGATGGCCTCGGATCTGCAGAGTGAGTGAAAAATTAGAGGATTTATTCCAAGCTGAGTACACACTCTCACCACTCCTGCATATAAAAAACTGCTGAATTTACTAAAATACAATATTTAACAACTCCCTCGGATACCTTACCCAATTAATTAGAGGAAATAGGGAAGATTGCCACGTTTTTATTCACATAACTGCTTTTACACCTTGATTTAAAAAGAACAAAAAGCAGAAGTCTAATTAAGATGCAATTAATAATTTAGACAATTTATATTACTCCTATCCTCTAGGTCTTTTATCAGTGGTCAGTTTCTGACCACAGAACCGATGCAGACTGCATATTTTTGGTTTGCAGACTATTGCAACCCAGCAGCAACACTGAGGTGCTCAATAATTTCATCAAAACTGCTGTACCTGATAAACTCATACCAGCAGTACATACTACCATGTTCATATCACTGCTGAAAATGGGCCCGGCCCAAATGATCAACAATGGTCAGCAATTCTATGTTGGGCCCTTTCTATTGATGAACAGGGTAAAGGTGCGCTGATGAATTAGCCAGCAACAGATCGACTACAGTCAGTAATTGTAAAACTAAAAAATGTAGGTGTTTCCGAAAAAAATGGCCAATAAATGTAGGGGCAAAGTCGTTATGGTTTTGACCCACTGTACCTGGTAGGCTCTTATAAGGTTGTGGACAGCTAAGTGATCCTCGACCACTTTCTGGGACATGGCAGGTGTCTGGGACATGGCTCGACCCTGTAGAAGCATGGATGGGCGCCTCTCTTCTGCTTCCCCAACTGAACTGCTGGCCTGGGCATTGCGGAAGTAGGCATCCCAAGACTGTGACAAAAAACAGACCATCTACTTAGCAGTTTTCATCAACATCCGAACAACCTCTAAATGTGTTCTTAATCTGCATTCCCTGGAGTATGTGAGTAAGTGAACCTGCAGCATTTGATAAGAAAAGAAGGATTTGCATTAGATCCTTTGTTAACTAGATGTATGAGACACTATGAGTATACTATTGATGTTTATCATACCTCATGAACATTTTTGGGATCCTCAAGCCAGGCATAGTACATCTCCTCCACATAGCTGGAGCTGAGGGCTGACGGTGACAGCTGAGCGACCCGAGAGGAACAGCCTCGACGGGGGTTAAACACTGGTCTCCCTGGCCCATTACGACCCAGCATCCACAGGCCACTGCCCCGTAGGACACCAGCCAGTGACCGAAACTGACTCATATCTGCTCAGCCTGATGGAAGATGAACAGTAAGAGTGATTTTTTTTTATTTAATCACTGGCTCAATTCCAGTTAATCCCATTATATATATATATATATATATATATATATATATATATATATATATATATATATATATATGAGACCTGGATTTTGAAAAAAGACACATGCTAATGCCTCTGTCTCACTTCACTCTTAACTCACATCAGGTAATGGTTGATCAGAGCAGTCAGGACTTCTTTACTCATTAACGTAGCGATCTTCCTCGACTACTTACATTCATCTCATTACCAAGCAAGCATTCAACGGCGAGCTGCAACATCTCTTAATGCAGTCCTGATGCCTGATTCCACTGACAAACACGACTATACAACAACTTTCCATTTGTCATTTAGTGTGATCATTTGCAGTCGTCCGCAGTGGTAACCGAGCTGCATCTGCGTATCGACTGGCCAGGTCTGTTTACAGCTCTAACAGCACTGACTACAGCACAGCTCTGCTACCTTCGCCTGCAATGCAGACAGCGATTCTGAGGTCATTCTTTAATCTCTATTCCTTAAGATAAACGTCACCTTGGAAGGTAATGCGAGGAGCAGAGGTCCGTTTCAGCCCCGAGTTCGAGTACAGCTCATTGTCGTTTGATTCTAGGTCGAGTTCGTGTCTGTGTCTCTGTGTCCGTTAATCCCCCAACGTCAAATCCTCATAAACCCTCGGGCACCAGAGGAGAGCGGTGCATTAAGCGCAGCGCCTGCAGTAGCTGCAGTGCTGGAAGTGCAGAGCGCAGTATAGCCGTAATGTTAGAGGCCTCCGCCAACCATCTGTGCTGAGACGGTGTATATAACACGGGTTGATGGGAGGGACCAGGTAGTAAGCTCAGTGTAACTCTAGTAGGCTGGTGTTGAGGACAGAGCTTAGCCTGCATTTGATCATGCTGCAGCTGGAGGAGCTAAGCCTAGAGGAAATGATTAGACGACCGTTACAACAAAAAGGAACTGATGTGAAACCTACCTAGTCCCGTTTCTGAAGGCAAAATATGTCAGATTTATTTCATCTACATGTAAGCTCATTCCATTCAGGAGCCCTGGCTATAAAACACGACTGGCTACTTAACTCTGCTCTTAGCTGTAGGTCGATGGAAGGATAGATTGTGTAAAGATGACATGAGTTGCTTCATTTTCCTCAAACCATAATTTGCTAATTGAATTTGTGTGAACAAGTAATGTATGGACTTCCCTTAGAGAGTGGGCTCCTGTTCCCATGGCTTTTATTGAGAGCGCTCATTCATAACTCAGTTAGGGTTGGAAAGGTAAGCATTTTGTGGTTAGTAGGTGCAGAAATGAGCTGCTCATAGACAGGAAAATGGATTTTTAAGGGGTTCCTATTTATATGCACTTTACAATGCCATAATGAACTGCAATGCTATAATGTAGTGGTTCTGGTTCTAGAGTGCTCCTGCCTTGGTTTTGCACTGATCTAACATACATGGTCCAATTAATCAGCTAGTTAAAAAGCCCTTCCTGAGCTGAACTGGGTCTGTTAGAGCAGGGACAGCACTATTAAAAAAGGGAGAAGAAAAAAAGAAAAGAAAAAGAAAATGCAGGGTAGGGCTACTCCATACAGAAGTCCAAAGAGGCCAAGAGGTACTTGTTATTTTCTGGACTGTAATCTTGAGATCTTGACTTAATTGTCTTGTACTAACAAAATAACAAAAGTTGTTTTATCCAGATCACATCTTAACCTGGGGTCACAAGAAAAAAAAAGTTGTGATCTCAAGAAAACAATTTTTATGTGCAGATCACAAGACAGTTAAGTCATGATCAAGATTACATTTCAGAAAATTCTAACAACCTTATGGCCACTCTGGACTTCTGTAACTCCAGGACCAGGGTTGGGAACCATTGACATAACGTAGATCTTGTTGCGCTTACTGCAAAAAAACAAAGCATTCAATCAATACTTCAGGATTTGAAAAAAAAGGGCAAGCAGGCAAGGTCAGGCAATTATGAGTGAAAATGCCATTTTGGTGCTACAACTCCAGCTCTTGACAAAGATGGAGTTAGGAGCCTTCCATTTCTGGCATCTTATTAAAAGCATTCGTTTTAAAATGCCCCGCTGGCACTGCCTAACACACAGCTTTGTGAAATTACCACCTTTTGGCATAATCACTTTAAAACAGCAATGCAAACAGTGAAGTTCTTATTCTCTGTACCACCCTTTTTTGCACAGAAGAGGTACAACTTCCTTAATGTATTTCTCTGACATTTAAATTCCAATTACAGTTTGACCCTCTGATGGCATCACTGTTGTGCATTCACAAAGATGGAAAAGCATCTGTTTCTAAATGTTTGCAGAAAAAAGGCTAGCAGCAAACAAATCTGCTGCTTGTAGCAGAATTTTAAGAGTCCAATTACTAAACAGTCCACAGCTAATTATGTCCAATTAGAAGCAAGATGGAGGTCATGATGATGAGGGCAGATAACTAATCTGCTTAAGGAGGTCAAAAAAGCAGCAGTTATGAGTAACGGGCCACAATTTAAGGGTCTGACTCATGGGTAATGTGCAGAGCACATGGTAATGCATCTGCTCCTGCCTACCCACCTACTCCTAGCAGTGATAAATGAGCCATGTCAAATAGTCATTGGTGCTTCCCTTATGAAACACACAAGCTCTGCCTGCCATCTCAACAACCAGTTAAACCTCACAATTACAAACAAAAGCCATGGCAAAGACTGTGCACAATTTTTCATCATGATTACACTGATATGTAATAACTGAGCATGAATAATTAACTGAATATTCCATAAAGGGAAAACAATGTTCCAACTAAACGCTATTAGTCTCCTTACTGATTACCTGGCTACGCTGTAAATAAGCCTATGCTGCCTTGTTTGACAGGACATCATACATCAGATGTGGATGATACACAGGTCCATGTGTCTAAATCTCAGCCTCAGTAAATCCTGGTTAACACTGCAAACGCACACAAACCATTCAGAATATTTTTGCAGGTTTATCCAATATAGCTGATATAACTTCCAGTTCAATTTGATGTCGAACTTCATATGAACCAACACACAGGCAGTCACGCTTTGAATTGTAAAATGGAAAAAAAAGACCCTTCATTAGCTGAAAAGTTTCTTACTTAGCCATTTAATTATTAATAATAAAATAAAGTGTACAACAGAACATTACACTTAAAAATCAAATCAAAAAAGAAAAAGAAATGGAAAATTACACTGTGGAAACCATGAACATAATAAATGGCTAAAAAAAAAAAAAAATTACATGCTGAGATGATAAATTTTTCCAAAACTCAGTATGGCAACAGTACCTTTAGCATGAAGATGTAATTTTTTTTAAAGGAAAAAACATCTGTTTGCACAGTTTCTTTTAATGTGAAAAGTTCACACATTTGAAAACTCAGTAATATTTTTCTGATCTCAATATGGCAAAAAAAAAAAAACATCTTGACTTTTGTTCAGTACATTTTTATAAATCAAGTGTGATAAGCAAAATCGGTGTCCATTTAAAGAGATTTCATGCATATAATGTCACACAGTTCTACATAGTGTACTGAGTCTGTATAAGTGCCCTGCTAACAGTCTAACAATCAAGACTAATGTGCCTTGGTCAGCCCATCTTAAACAAAACATTTTGAGACCATGCAGTAACTTTGGTCACAAGTGTCTCTCCGGTATAAGGGGAAAAGCAAATAACCAGCAACCAGGATTACTATTGCTATAATCTCAAGCCACATATATAGTGTACTGTGACTTGAGACATACACTCACCAGCTGAAAAAAAGGCATATAGTACTTCCACACATCACACCTCAGAAAATCACCTAAAAAGATCTCTTTCTAAAGAAGAAGAAAGCACTGAGGAATTGAAAAAGTCAAGAGCCGTGTGAGTCCGTGACAGGCCAGCATTAATGGCAGTCTGAGGAACAAGAGGAGACTGCAGTGGATAGGTGGCTGCTGCTGCTGGGGCCAGGGCTGGGCTCCGGAACAGGATCTGAGCTGATCTGTTCATAGATGAAGCCATAAAGACTGACATCAGGCCTCTGACTGTGGCTGTTCTTACACACCACATTAAAGTACTGCTTCAGGAGGCCATATAAAGTGCCTAGAAGAAAGAAGAGACAGTGGGAGTTAACTGGAGAAATGTGACAAACTATTAATGCGACATCATACACATCAGGAACCAGTGGTGAATCACAGAGCACAGTAAAGCCTCCAATTTAGAATATATATATGGATGCATTTTTTTTCTTTTTAATTAAAACCATTTTAGATGCTTAAGTAAACCTATTTTTGTAGGTTACGAGTGGCTTATTATTCTGGGATGTCCCTTCACTTTTACTAAGAAACATTAACAACCAAAGAAAATCAAAATGTTTTTCCAAATGATTTTTTTGTGCAAAATAGTAAACAATGTAGAAGAAAATGTAGAAGAATATATAAAAAGCAATGTCAATATTGTTTTCCCAATACTTGGCCCCACAGGCCCAGCAAAACTGTGCTAAATGTGGTTTCATATCTGAATTTCTACAAGCCTGAAGTTGGCTCTTATTCAACAGAATTCCACCCCCCTTCCAAATAAATGTACATTATTTTACACAATTATTTTTACACAACATACCAGCACCTGTCCAGGCAAGTGAATTTAACTGCTGCACCATTTAAGGTGGAACAAGAAATTCACAAGTGAACAAGTTAATAATTAATAACAAGTCAACTACAGCCCTGTCAAATTTCTAAAGTCATTTGTCTCGTAAGTGCGTCCCATACACTTGTGCCTCCAACTGTGTGACACTGCTGAAATTTGTAAATTTTGGCAGTCATTCATTCTTCAGTATAAGAAGGCCACAACCTCGGCTGATCCAGCTGACCGAGTTAGGCGGCTTCTCAGGCATTACAAGAGAAAACAGGCACAGCAATCGCTCTGGCGCCCCCCCCTAAATAACGGGATATTCCTTTATGTTCGCTGTCACAAAAACATAAAGTGGAGTACTATAGATGCAGCATTCTGAATCAAGGGGCTGCTCGATTTCCATATTTATTTGAAATGCGCCTGAAACATGACTCAGGCATGCAGCTATTTCGACTAACGTTAGTGTGGTTTGCACTGTTTGTACAATGTGTTCTCTGCACTTATTTGTGGCATACTACTGTAACAAAACTCAGACCTCATACCTCAAAATCAACTGCTCTACCGCCCGCTGCTTAAGAGGGCTTTTTCAAAAAGTCTTCAATAAATATCACAGAGGGGAGAAAAACTGCTGAAAGCGTAGCTGTACAGGACAAACTGACACATCTAGTTACATATAATAGGATGAATGGACATTTATGCATTAATTGTTTCTATTGGAATGCTATGAAAGAGCCTTCCTACTATTGATATTAGCCTATAGACTTTTCTCTGCTCCTATACCACATAGCCACTTTGTATCCCCACTTACACATTTCTGGGTTTAGTTCTTGAACTACTTGAACCACAAACAAAACAGTGTATCAAACATGCACTGAAAATAAGCAGCAAAGTAACTGCAATGTAATATTCAATTACTTAATATGTAAAATATTCATAGGTTTTTGTAAGATTGAAGCAATCTAACCTAGATCCCGACTTAACTGTGTGAAAATGGTAATGTGTGCCTATGTACTCTATACTTTACTTTTAAGACAAGGAAGAGTGCGACCTCCAAAAAGACCTTTTAAGAAGGCTTTGCAAACATTCGGAATGTGAAAATGAGCAGAGAACACTGAAAGCTTGCAAGTTTTGATCACGGACAGACCAAAGTCCTAGATTTGGAAAGCT